CTTCCTCTACTTTATACGTGGGACGCCTACCACAGCATGGCTTGACAAGTGGTGCCATGTCCGCACCTGGGATCCGAACTGGCAAACCCTGGGCCGCTGAAGCGGAACGTGCGCACTCAACTGCTGCACCACTGGGCCTGCCCGGCTTCTTAGCTTTTCTAAGGAGTGTTTTGCGGGGCCTGGCCCCCCCGCCCCAGTGGAGTCTCTGGGCTGCTTGACATGCGAGCTTGGGGCCAGCAGGCATGTCACCGGGTGCTGGAGGAGACCCCTAACTCCTGTTTGTTCCTCTTTCTCAGGAGCAAGAGCAGCTGTACCTGAGGTCAGGGGTGGTGTCCTCCGCCACCTTCGAGCAGCCGAGTCGGCACGTGAAGCTATGGGTGAAGATGGTGACTCCACTGATCAAGAACTTCTTCTGAGGACGGACAGGTGCTGGCTCGAGGGCCGCCCCAGCATGGTTTTCCCAGGACTTCACTAGCAGGGCGGTGGTTTCCGCTTTGTCTGGGATTCCTGGGCTCCAGGGCTCTTTGGTCCTTTTGTTGGTTCCATTCCGAGTGGTGTAATGTCTCAGGTCATGGATGGTCTTCATCAAAGTTTTTGAAACCTAATGCTAAATTAGGCAGCTCTTTCCCCTTCCATCAGGTGCTGCCTCTCCCTCAAGTGCCCAGCCTGGCCGTGGTGGGGTCAGCACATGCAGTGCTCTGCGGCCCTGGGGTCAGGGCCTCGTGACGCGGGGGTGCACAGGTGGATTCCGCGTTCCCCTGCTCGAGGCTGAACATGGTCCAGAAGGCAGGAGGAATGGGGGGAGGAAGCGCTTTTGGTTGGGAGAGTGGGTCTGGCCTGCCGCCCTGGCCAGCTGTGCTTGCTGGGATGAGACCGCCAGACCTCAGGGCTGCTGCCTCAGCTCCCTGACGTTTCTGTGACATACACTTACGGAGCTGTGATGTGCTCCATGCTGGCCACAGGTAACAGGTCACGCTCTACCTACTCAGAAGGAACCTGCCGTTAGTGGTGGAGGTGGCTGCTTCACCCAGAGCTGCTGGCTGTGTCCCACAGTGGGACGTGAGTAGGCCTGACCTGAACTGCCCCTTGGCTGTCAGGACACCAGGAGGCCAGCAGGTTGCGGCTGCCGTTAGAGATGGGGGTCTCTCTGTTCCAGATCCCTTCAGACCCTGACCTCACCCCTAGATGGCCCCACATGGGATCAGTGTCCTGGGGCGCTCTGGGTGGAGTTGTCCTAGGCCGTTCCAGGCTCTGCTAGTCCAGCCCTCACTGGGAGGTGAGGATGGGAATGGTTGGACCTTTGGCTTGTGGGGAAGGGGGAGAGAGAAAGAGTCACAGACAAGAATGGAGGCGTGTGTGGCTGGTGTGTTTTCAGCATTGGCTCTCTGTTGGCGGTGTGGGTTCCCGTGGTTCCTGGTACCATGGTTCTCCTCTCAACCTCATTTTTTAAAAAAGTGTATTTTATGTCATCATTTAGTTTTTCTTCAGTATTTTAATTTTTTCCAAATAATGTACAAATTTAGAGAGTAAAATACTAAAAGACCAACAAAATGCAGCTGTCTCTGCATCTGTCTCTCACTCCTGGCTGACTCAAGAGTGGGGAGCCTTGGTTTTGGCCCAAGCAGCCTCTTTTGACTCTTTTATCTGTTTCTTATGTTTACACATGTTCATATTTCTACAAATGTGTATATTGCTTTTTTCCCCCTAAAATATAAACGCTTAAACAAAAAAAAAACCCAAAACATTATACCAATGTCACACCTGATTAAAACGTTAGCAAGAATTCCTTAGTATCATCAAATACCTGGAAGATATTCACAATTCCAATTGCTTTGTAAATATTTTTTATTTCACTTTGACTTTCCCTTGGGTTTGTTCGACCTGAGGCTCCACATAAGGTCTATGCCTAGTGATTGGGTGATGTCACCTAAATCTCTTTTAATCCGGTTCCCTCATTTTTTCCCCTTGCAATTTATTTGTTGAAGAATGAACCTCATTTTTATTAGATCTGCTTAAAAGGTTTTTGTGTCACTTTCTCACAGCAGGACATCTTTAGAACACGTCATGTGTATTTATCAACAGCCAAGGTGCCCTGCCTGTGTGTGTCTCTGCCCAGTCTCTCCATCGTCAGCTGCTTGAACCTCGCCCAGAGAAAGGGCTTCCAGAGAGAAGGCCTCGGCCCCAGGGCATGGCAGCCCGTCCTTTCCATCCCTGCGTCCTGCGTGTGGCCTCTGGAAGAGCCTCACGTGTCTTCCTCTGAGGGCTGGCGGCTCCGACAGTCACCTTCCTGGGTTCTAGAAGGCCGTGCTGGTCTGGCCCACCCAGCCATGCTGTGTGCATGGGGCGCTCCAGTGCTGGGAGCACCTTGTCTTGTTCCAAGAGTGCCTGCAGCCTGTCTCCGCAGAGCCGGGCAGATCTGCCGGTTTTAGGGAACCGGGTGGAGTGGTGGCCACAGCCACACTGCCCTGGGGCAGCAGCACATCACTTAGCACTGTTTGCCTTCAGACTAGTGATTACATTGTCCTGGGGGACAATTAGACCAGAGAAGCCAAAAGAATGTGCCAGGGCACTGGGTTTCTGTTTGGAGAGAGGTTTTCGGTAAACAGCGTGTGCATTCCTACAGATTCTGTGGGACCAGAGTCAACGTTGTGCCACAGCTGGCTTGAGCAATCTGTGGCCGGCTCCCTCCACACTCACTCAGCTCCTCCCTTTGTCTCTGTTCGCTACGTTCAAGACAGTCCTGGCAGGTTCTCCCACCCAGGAGTGCTCCCCGAACCAAGGCTCCCCACTCTTGAGTCAGCCAGGAGTGAGACACAGATGCAGAGAGTGGCCTGCTCCAGGCCTCAGTGCTTTGAGATGCAAAGCGGATTTTGTCCCACCCCCTGTTTTCCCCATCACTGGTTTGCAACCCAAAGGTGAATCATCTCTTGGAAAGTTTGGATATAATTTTGTCAGCTAACCACAGTATGTACGTGTGGAATAAATTACTGTTTTATTTCTGGCTCTAAAGGCAAAATTGGAAAACCTTCCCGTTTCGTGGTTATTACCAGGGATTGAAAATGAGTTGCATGGTGGCCACTGGCAGTTTTATCTCCTCTGGTCAGAGCAGTGGCTCTCCTGTCCCTCCAGCCTGGACATGAAGGGCTGCAGTGACCCCTCCTGGCCAGCAGAGGTGGTTGGCAGCAGCCCGGCCCATCGGCCACAAGTCCTGCCTTCCTCGCCAGAGCCGCAGAGGGGCGGATTCTCCAGGCCACAGGGAGGGAGGCTTTGAGGGAGGTTTTTCCTTCTCCCTCTTAGCCCCCCTGGGCCCCAGGATTATTGTGAATTATTGGCCTCAGAATTTGGGCTTCCAAGACCTCTTCTTTACCCATGGTTTGGGTGAGAATACTCAGAAAAAAGTTTTCACAAAACTTCAGGATCAAGTTGAGCTTAGAACGAGCCCAGGTATTCCTAGGGGGCTCCCTTTACTCTGCTAAAAACATGAAGGGTGCCAGCCTGTGGGCCCTCTGAAGGCTGTCTTATCTGGAGTTTGTGGGCCCTACTAGCTGCCTTCCCTGTGCCCCTGAGTTTCCAGTTGATCGTCTCCTCTTGTCTACCCACTACCCTAACCCTCCTTGAATGGCAGCCCAGTCGCTTTGCTGGAATGTCCTGCATCAGCCATGGAGAGTCAGACAGGTCTGGGGCTCGCTGGTCTCACTTCTGCTGAGATCCTTCTGGATACAGCTAGAAACAACCTCCTGCCAGTCAGATTGGGCACCTGAGGTCTCAGCCAGGTCTGTCCCTGGGCAGCCCCAGGACCAGCACCACAGCAGATGCTTCCCTTGGGGCAGGAGCCCAGGGAGTGAGGGACAGCTGCCTGGCTGCCTCTCGTCCCTTCCCCGCTGGCTCGTGGGCAGGCTGTTGCTGACCACCTTGGGCAGGAGGCTGTGTGTGCTTGTGAACTGCCTTTCCTTGTAGGACACAGTTGTTTTGCTTAGCCCCCTCTCCCTGGATAGCTTGAGGCCTGAAGCACAGATGGGCTGAGGGACTTGTCAGCAGGCACGGGGGGCTCGGCCTTCCTCATCCCACCGCACTGCTTGCTCCCCGATTGCAGTTCACTGCTGGGAAGCCTGGCTTGTTGGGAAGTCACAATTTCTTGGCTGTGGAGCAGTGACCCCCTACTTTTAGATGGGGCACACCCTCTGATAAGCCCTGATCCCTTTCCCCTGCTCACCCCAGGCAGCAAGTTAGGCTGCTCGAGGCAGACACCACCCAGTGTGGGAAGTGAGAGCTGATGGCGAGGGGGAGGGGAGGGAGATGGAAGAAGATGAAAATGCTGCCCAGTAGGAAAAAGAGACTCTGGACTTGAGCAATTTAGTGTGGAAATCAGAGGCCTGGGACCTCCCAGGACACACACATGTTTGACGTGGTCCCTGAATCTGTGTTCATTATGTCCTGTCTCAGCCATTTCAGAAAGTGGGCAGTTGATGGGGAGGCGCATCTGCTACACACACATGGCATCTCTGTGGATGGGTTTGTTCTTCAGGATCCCGGGGTGGGGAGGGACCATTCCCATCATTGAGGAAGGCTTTCTTGTCCTTGAGAGAAGGCAAGGTGTGCTCGGGGATTGTCTGTGTGGAGGTGGCAGCTCCTGTTTGTGGGAACGCCCTGGCCCCTCATTGCTGGGTCGTTTGCATGTGGCATCTGGCCAAGGGTGTGGTGCCACACCTTCATCCCATGTGCTGCTTGTGGGGAAGAGTAAACCCGACTCACCCCTCTAGGAAGTCAGGATTTAGGGGTTTGGTTTCTGGGGGTGCTTGTCCCAGCTGCTGAGAATCGGGGCCTTACCACCAAGCCTGTGTCAGGCCCCTGGTGGCCATCAGGCACCGAGCTGAAGGCCAGCTGAAGGGAATCAACGGGCACAACTAAGTGACTGCATTGTTTTGATCCCATCCGCACCCCTCTTGCAGGCTGCCCTCCACCCTTTGGCTAGTCCAGATGTGCACGGTTATAAAGTGTTTTGATGATTTAGGAGAACAAAAAGCAACTATGAGTTCCTGTAAAAATAAGTGATAATTGCAAAGCTGGGTTTCTAACTGTAAATTGGAAGCTGTGGTAGGATCTGGCCCAGGGGAGCCTGGGCCTTGAGGCAGGACCCAGGGAGCGAGCTAGACCTGCAAGAGCAGTGCCACAGCTGCCAGGATCCACTTTGCTGCCTTCTCTTTGGTCTTCAGGTTAAAGGTCCAGACGTAGGTGGGGCCTCGGATGCGTGTTTTGTACACAGGACACTCATATATGTTCTTGGTCTCCATGCGGTCCACAGGAATGGCCTTGATGAAGATGACGGGCATGGCTGGCGTCAGCTCTTTTAGCCGAGCTTCAGCGATGACTCCGGTCTGGGTGTCCCAGCGGGCTCCTGTGGGGACAGCACGGCTGAGGGTCAGGGTGGCCTGTGGTGAGGTGACTGGTTCCTGTCTGGTGTGCTGGCTGTGATGGAAGGGAGGGGCTGGAAGGGAGAGGTCTGGCCTTGCACTCCCACCCCTGCAGAGATAGGCTAGTGCCCCTGCGACACCGGCTTTGGCCCCCCTCCTCCAGAGAGCTCAGGCCAGGTGCTGGACTGGCACGGGAATTGCCAAAGATGGAGTTGCAAAGAGGACTCCGTAGATGACTGTGCACGCTGTGACTGCCCAGGTGTCTCGCCATGCTCTGAGGAGCAGCTCTGCGTAAGGCTCTTGGTCCTGTCGTTTACACGGGCTGTGTTCAGAGCCTCATCTCTCAGCCTTCTTAGTTTCAGTGGCAGGAATCGTAACTCAGCTGACAATTACAGGAGAGTCCCTTCATATGGAATGTCTAAACTATGTGTACATACACAGTATAAATAATTACATGTACGCACATATAATTGTTACGTGTCTTTAGCCAGACTGCTATTATTTCTACTCACCCTATTTAATGATATTTATATTTCCTGTCTGTAGTTCCAAAATAAACATGGAGAATGTCTGCTGCTGTGCTTGTCTTTGGTGATGTGGGAATTGGGGAGCCCTGAGCCTTTAGCTAAGCCCTGACACCCCCACACGTCAGGGTGACGTCAGTCGCTGAGTAAGGCGGAGGTGTGTGGTGGAGTAGCTGGCTCTGAACTCGGAGTGGGTCTGAGGAAATGGGCCTGTCTGGCCTCTGCTCCGCGCAGGACAAGGCTGATGTGGGAGGGGACTGAATGAGCGCCTGGCCTCACTCCCCTCCTGCTGCTAGGTCCCGGCCACAGCGGGGGACTAGGACAGGAGCTGGGCAGAGGTGGGCTCCTGGACATCAACCCTCACCCCAAAATGCCCATCTATCCTGGGCTCCCTGCTCCAAGGCCTGGGAGGGCTGAGTTCCTCATCACCCCAAAACAGGCACTCACATCTGAGGATAAGCCTGCCATTTTCAGCAGAGCAGATCCAGGCTGGTTGCCTACACTGGCGTGTTTTTGGTCACAGCCTCTCAGCACATTCTCAGAATCATGTCACCTGTCTCACAGGCCCCCCGTGAGCGCCTCTCTCCCATCCTGCCCCCTCACAGCACGCACACAGCCTGTCTTTGCCAGAGCTACTTTCTCTCTTCCAGCCAAGGAGGACTGGCTCTGGAAGCTTCCACAGACGGGCCCCCTTGTTACCTTCCATGAAGAGCCCGTACACATAGGAGCCCTCTCTGGGGGGAGCAGTCATGTCCTCCCGGTTCTTCTTGGTCACTTCCACAGACAGACACATCTTGTCCAGCGGCCACTCATTCTTCCTGGCCATGGACTGCATGATGGCGGTGAGGAAGGACTGGGGGTTGAAGAAGCCGGCCAGCCACACGGTGGTGGGCAGGGCAAAGTCTGTTGTCCAGGCCTCGAGCTCCTGGAAGGAAACGTGAGCAGGCATAATGCTAGAACCTTTCGTGCGCATCTCAGCAGAGCGCCAAGAGGGCCCTGGAGATAAGAGATCAGTGCAGTTCGGCCGCCTGCCTGTGACGTGGCTTTACTGTCTGGCTCCATGTTAAATGAGGGAACGGGAAGAGAAGGGTCAAGGAAGGATAGCTTAACTTTGAGGACAATCTGGAAGCCCAAAAAAGGCTTTTGCTGTCGTCACCTCGCCGCTTTTAGAAGGCAGCTAATCTGATGGGGTTCACAGGCTTTTGAGCTCTGTTAGAGAGAGCTCTCTATATTTGTGTTGATGGAAGCTGCTCTCTCTCTAAGCTTACTGTTTTCTTCCTTTAGGAGGAAGTGCCTGCATTGTCAGGCGTCTTTGTGGCGTGGGCCAGGCCCTTCCGGCCCTGCTCTGACAAAGGCCAGGCCAGCAGGGGCCTCCAGGCCTCAGGGCGGGAACATATGTTCCCCCTTCCCAGCCCTGTTCCTGCCGGCTCTGGGGGCGGGGTCTGCTGAGTGTCCCGGCAGGCAGCGACTCCTATGGAAAACTCTTACCCTGATGCGGAGCAGCAGGTCAGCATACCAGGCCGCTAGGCCCATCATGGAGGGATAGGCCCGGGCCACCCACGTATCGGGCACAGTGTCGTAGAACAAAGCCGTGGACAGGTCTTCCATGTCGGTCGTGATGGTCAGTTCCCCCTAAGGGACACACAGATGGAAGTGCCTAGGGTCCTAGGCTGTGCCTCTCGGCAGGGACGCAGACCTGGTCAGTTGTGTGCCTTGTTTGACCTGCTCTTGGCAAGGTGGGAGAACCCCCTCCCTGCCCCCTGCGTGTGTTGTGAGTTGTTGAGAATGTAATTTGACACGGAGTGTGGGTCAGTGTGGTGCCTCTGCAGATGCCCCGCGGTGGCCACGCCAACATTTCCTGCCAGGGAACAGTCTAGATGACCTCCATGGCCTGTTGTGGAGCACCTACAACTCTAGGCCAGGGAATGCAGAGGAGGCAGTGGCATAGTGAGCCTGAGGGGCCAGGCGCCCAGTGGCCTGGGCTTTATTGTTTGGTTTGTGGCCAAGGAGGTGAGTCAGCCTGCGGCCGCCGGCCCACTTCCTAAGTCATGTCCCCGGGGCCTGGCTGACCCATATTTTTTTCACCTTCAGCCCCAGGTTCAGCTCCTTCAGTGAACGGCGCATTTCGTTGGTTAGGATGTTCATTCTTTCACATTCTTGAAAGGCGACTACCACGTAGGGGGTCTTTTCAGCTGCTTTCGCCATGATCTCGGCCATGTTGAACGTTTCCGGGATCTTCTCTAGGATCTCGTCCAGCACAGCCTTCACCTGGAAATCAGTCCCAATAAGTCCCGTCATGCATCTGCACCTGCCAGCCCTCCCCCAGCATCCAGGTCAGGTAGCTGCCCCGGACGTTCACAGCTCCAAATCTGGGAACAAAGGGAAGTGGAGTTGCTGAAAAATCAGGATCATGGAGGTGCAGCCCCACGTTTGACAAGGAGAAGGGAATCTTGGCCAAGAGGCTTTGATGTTCTAGTCCCATTGTCACGGCCATATGGCTGTGGCCATGGGAGCATCAGGCTTCCCTAGCCTGGTGCCTTCAGACATCCTGAGATGTGCCAGCTTCCTTCCCCCATCAGATCATCTGGCAGTCATGGGATTGTGACCTTGTCCTCCATGTGGGCTGTCTGCAGGGACTGTGCTGGTCACACTCTCTCAAGGGGTGGCCCACATGGGGTCACGTACACCATGCCCATCAGTAGATTTCTGGTTTCAATCATCAGATCTAGGAAAGGTCCCAGGGCCTCATAGCACTGAGGGTCTTCCAATCAAGAATTTGGTCTGCTTACTGGGAAGCCCAATACTTAGCTAATTTTTAAGAGAACTTGTCCAGAATATATTAAAAAGTGCAAAGGTGCTAATGCCTCATGAGATGGCAGAGGTGACCCAGACAGGTGAGAATTTATTGAAACATTCTCCGAGCTCTCTGCTTCGAGTGTTTGTGGGATCTGCCCACTGTTACCATCTAAGCTCATCTGGAGGACTGTTCTGTTGTGTCTGGAGTGTCCTGTAAGGGCCACACTTGCTCTCCCAGGACTTTTGGCTGCTGCTCTTGTGCTCGCTGGGCAAGGTTGGAGGATGGCCTGCACTCTTCCCTGGCACCCAGGTGGTGAAGTTAGAAGGCTCAGGGAGGGTGGCCGGCCGAGATGCGCCCAAGTACCTGAACATCTCCTGCCTCTCTAGGCCCTGGATACTCTTGCTGAGCCTACATCTGCCATTGGGACCTGGTAGCCAGCCTGCAGGCCCAGCCCGCGAATTTCTGATTCTCAGGTCTGGGGTGGGGCCTGAGTGTGGGTGCTGACAAGTCCCCACTGGGGTGGACTTCACGACCCCCAGTTCTAGGCCCTGCCCTTTTGCTGTCGCTGGATGGATATTAGGGTGCCTGCCTTCTCCTCGCGAGAGACTCCTGTGCCTGCTCCCGAGTCGGTCTCTTTGGGCTGCATTTCCAGGACAGTGCGGAACAGCTTCTCTGAGGTGACCGTCAAAAAGCCAATCTCTGCGTTGGGGTGCAGGCCGTACAGGTAGGGACTCTCGGGGGGCAGGTTCTCGTCGATGTATTCGTGGTAGCTCTGAAAAGGGGCGGTTGGTAAGCAGGCTGCCAAGGTAAAGCTGTGCAAGCTGGAACCTGTGTCCTCCGTTTATTAAGCATTTCTTACTAGAATGTTCCACCCACGTCTTGCTCTCTGTACAAACCCCACTGGTTCTCCAACCTGCTTTTTGGACCGCCCCCCTTTGCTCCCCAGCTACATAAAGGAAGTTTCCACTCTCCCTCCCCAGAGGCTGCATTTCAAGCCCTCTCTTACTTTGGAGGCCTGGCTTCTTGCTCAGTTATTGATATTCTGTTTGTGACGCACGACTCTCACAGGGAGCCAGCCCGGACGTCATTAATCTCTGTAGTGGCTGCGTCACAGAGTGAGCTCCTGTTTCGTTTGTTATCGTCCCCGAGAAGCAGCTCCCTCACCTTGTAATCCAGGTTGGGGGGTATCTGAAACCCCGGGGCCAGCAGGATCTCTCCCTCCAGCATCTCAGCCCGGATGTACTCCGCCAGGTACGTCCTGCAGAGCCGGCGGTCCCAGTCATCCGTGATGTGGCCGCCGTACATGATTTCCCCAAAGAGGTAGCGGAGGTCGTCCCAGGGCACCTGAAGGAGCACGGAGGCGGTTAGGGGAGGGTGCCCCTGCCTGGCTGTGTCTGTACAAACGAACGTCAGGCCTAGGGGCTCAGCTGTTGTGTGAGGGCCCTCTCCTCCACAGCAGCTGCTTCTCCTCTGTCACCCCTGCCTCTTCCTCGCCCACCAGGCCTGAGGCTCACCTGTTGCCCTCAGTCCAAGGCGCACCTTTCCTCCCTGTGCCACTGCCCTTCAGTCTGACTCTGTTGGCCAGCTGCCCTTGTCACTCTCTTTCCCCTTTGGCTTCTCTCATGAGGGGCCCTCCTCCCTCTGTCTCAGACTGCGCTTCCACCCCTAACCAGGGACGACCCCGGCCCTCCACCCGCAGCTTCCTCTGCACTTTGCATTGACAGTGACCTCGCTAGAGCTCATCTGCCAGAACCCCGAACTCCACACGTCCACCCCCAGCCCCAGCTCACTTTCTCTGCCTGTTCCTCCCTCTGTTATCCACGCTCAGACGTGGAGCCATCTGTGACTCTTTCCCTTTGCTGTCCACTTTCAGCAAAAGCAGTTTAATTCTATGTGATTGGGTGTTGGCTCTCAGGCACCGCGTATCTTTTTGGCCATGAGATCCAGTTAGTCGTATCTTCAGATGCACGATTGAGTCTTCCCTCTGAGCCCGGCTGAGGTCGCCCGGGTCATTCCTTGCTTGTTGCTCCATTCCCAGCAGCTCGTAGCCACGCGTGCCTCTGACGGGGCTGCAGCGCGGTGAGCTTCGCACAATAACTTACCGACCAGAACCTTGGCTCCCAGGGCTTAGAACACGGGCCACAGTGGGCAGTGCGCACGCGCTCAGCCTGCCACCGCCAGCCCCACAGCCTGCCCTCAGCTACTGCCACTGCTCTCCACCTCCCTTGTGCTTCTGCCTTCTGCCCTCAGCCTGAACGCCCTCTCAGTCGCCACTCGCCAAAACGCCACTCATCCTCTGAAGCCAGCTCAAACGCGGCCTCCTCTACAGAGCGGCGAATGTGTCTCTCCGGCCTCCAGGACCCTGGCGTGTGGCTCCTCCTGCCCAGGGCTCCAGCACAAGTACTCGGGAGCCACAAGTTAATTCCAAATTTCCCAGCAGCCGCTTGGGAAGAGTGAAAAGATCACCCCAACAGGCAATCAGCAGAAAAATTAACATGGTATTTTACATTCTTTTTTTGTACCAAGCTTTTGAAATCCAGCAAAAAAAGAAAACACCCCAGGTGTATTTTACCCCCCCAGTTTGGACGCCCTGCCTGTCACGTGGGACCTCGCTGCGTGCGCCTGGCCCGTCAGTACGTTTGCACCCCTGCGTTTTCTCCAAGGATGCAGCTCCGTGCGTGCAAGCAGGGCATTCGTGTAAGGTGGTAACTGCACCGTGCCTTGCCTAAAGCAGCTGTCTACCAAATACTCGCAAATTAAAGTTAATTGAATAAGAACTTGATGAATCAGTTGTCTGATTTGGTCTCATGAATTTATACTCAAAATACTAGTATTCTCTAAATTGTCATTTTGTGACTTAAAATTTTTTCTTTTCTTGGTTATCTTGAGTATGAGCTGAGCTGCTGTTTCTGCATTTTTCTTATTGGCTTTGGGGACAGCTGCTGTTTCCCTGTGAGAAATAGCTGGGTTGGGCACACTGCCCTCTGCCTCCCTGGCCCCCACGACCCACCTCCTGGGGACAGTCCTCCCCGAGGGCAGGGAGGCAGTGGGACTAACTACCAGGGACGGCTGCCACCCGTGTTCCCACACCTGCCGGTTGAGATCCCTGAGTGCTCATCAGAGACGCAATGCCAGGCCTCTCCCTGAGGGTCTGAGTCAGCCGGTCTGGGTTTGACCAGCGCTCCAGGGTGGGAAGCACTGATCTATACTCCTTGGTATCGGGAGGACGGAACGGGCCGTGGGATGCAGATGACATCATCACAGGGGGTTACTTCACGTGGCCTCCCCGGGGCCACGAGCTCGGATGAAGGAAGGGCCACGTGGTACAGGCCTGGTGCGCAGGGCCTGACCGCGACACTGCTCAGCGGGGCACAGGCTTTCCTTGTGTGCCGTTTGCCCATACCCCGCTGGTCACTGGAGCGCGCAGTGCACGTCCTCAAGCAGTCCTTAGCCACCTGGGATTCTGCATGTGTGTGAGTGTGTGTGAGCGTGTGTGTAATGGGGAAGTGTCTAAGTAAACGTCTTCAAGTTCCGTGCAGGGCTGTGCCTCCCACACGCATATGCCCGAGAGAGCTGCTCCAACGAAACTGCGGTGATGGAAATCCTCACACATCCTCTCCCTCGCGTTTCTTTCTTTGTGTTGGTGTCAGAAGACGTGCTCCTGGGTTCAGCTCAGCCCTGTTGTGGGTGAAGCCACCGCCAGCACCGTGTCCTGCCCTCTGCATATGGAGCCCACCCTGCCCGCCGCTGCGCGGGGCGCGGGGGCCGCCTGCCGGCTGTGCTGCCCTCCTGCTCGCCCACCTCCTCCGAGGTTGGGTGTTTTTCCGGGGAACTGAGCAGACAGACAGACAGCCCTCCAGCTCCCACTGGGGCGCGATCCTGGGAGGCCGTCTTTCTCCACAGTCTGGGCTGGCAGCTCCATTGTGGCTGCCGAGGGGCAAGGTGGTTTCACATCATCGACTGGCAGAGGTCATCAGAGGTGGGCCCCTTGTAGTTGTTGCAGGCTGCCCATGGGGAGTGGACGTGCAGCGCTGTGCTTGCCCTTCCCTCCCTGGACTTAGTGTCCCCCCTCCCACCCACATTTATTACAATATTGTGTGGACAGAGGAGGGGTTCCCCTGGCTCCAGCGCTCCTAGGCGCGGCGGGGCACGTCCCGCCTGTCCTTGCTTAACCGCCAAAGCTTTGAGGCTGGGGTGTTATCCTCAGTTAGCGAGGGGCCCAGCTGGGCTTCAAACTCAGGCTCCTGGGCACCGGCGCCATTTCTACCATGCCACAAAGGGGTGGGCGCCTCCTTGGCCGCCTGGGCGCTTGGAGGGGCTGCTGCCCGGTTCAGCTGTCTGACCACCTCGCTCCCTCACCCTGAGCAGGGTCTCGGGGCCTCTTGGGCAAGCCAAGTGCTGCTCTTACTCCCTGTCCACCTGTCGGTGTGAGAAGGCGCTGGTTCCACAGTCCTTGTCACTAGTGATTGGGGACAAGAGGAGGAACCCAAGGTTCATGGGGTACACAGCCCTTTGCCTCCTCCTGGGGTCACAGAGGCAGGTGTTGTGTCAGCGCCAGGCTTTTCCTGAGTAAGATCGTGGAAGAGCCGAGAGAGGTGGGGAGGACTGCTCTCAGTCCCGATGAGACGGCCAGGCCTGGGGTTCTCTGGATGGGCGGGCGCTGGGCCATCCACGGGGGCAGTGCCGCTGACCGCAGGGCTCCCATGTGCATTCACCTGCACAGTTGGTCCCACACCTGCACTCACGTCCTCTAGGCCACGCAGGCCTCCCCTCGGAGTCTGCAGTCGGCCCGCTTGCACCTCACTGCTAGACACGGTTCCTGTAGGACGCGGGCTTCCTTTTCATCCTCTGTAGCTGTATGCATATGACTACACATTCATCTTAATTTTCAATAAAAATGAAAGGAAGCGTTCCCGTCTTTCCAGGGGGCTGTTTTGGCCCTCCCTCTAGACCGGGGTTCTGTCTCCAGACGCTGAGCATTGGCGAGCCCCAGGGCCCCGGAGGCCTTTCCTTGTCCCCTCCCAGCTCACGCCGCCCAGCAGTCCTGCGCTTCCTGGAGGAAATTCATGTTCAGGTGCAGGACGGGCAGATCCCCAAAGAGATACGACCCCCATGGAGTGTGACAAGTAGAAAAAAATTGCCAGACAGCTGACAACTGCAGGAGGTGGTGGCAGAGGACTGGCTAATAAGTATACCAGGTTGGTGGGATCGTAGGTGATCCTGCTGTTTTCAGATTTTCTTTGGCTTGTGAAACCTATTTAACGACTCTTAAGCATAAGACAAGTTACAAGAAAGAGAGGGAGGGAGGGGAAGGCTGGATTAGGGGAGAACCGGGCTGGGTGCCAGGTGAGCCGGTGGCCCACGTGCCCTTACCTTGGTGTTGGCCTCCAGGTAGTTGTAGAGCACGTTGATGGAGATGGTGAGGTCTCCGTTGTTGAAGGGGTACGACCTGTTCCAGCCCTGGGCCCCAAACTTGCGCCGCTCGGCCACCACAGCATGGAAGTAGCACAGGGCGAAGAGAATGCACTTGAACTCGATCTCCTTGGTGCACATCTCCAGGGTGTCCTGTGGAGGCGCACGCTCCGGGTCAGGCAGCACCCGCACAGAGACGCCCCGGGCGGGACCAGAGTCTTGTCTTTGCCAGCTGCTTTGCAGGGGTGCAGGTTGGGTGAGTGGGGTACAGGTGGGTGGGGGGTAGGGAGATAAAGCCATTTATCTCTGAGCTGGTCTTTATGCTCTGAGCTGGTCTTTCGAGTCCCCTCCCCCGGTTTGTAAAGGCTGGGGTGGGGAACACTTTGTTATTCTTGTTTCTTTCAGAAATGCAGTTTTATCACTTAAGTTCTGATTACAAATCAAATTATTGATACTACTTTTTTTCTCTTGCTGACGAAGATTCGCCCTGAGCTAACGTCTGTGCCGGTCTTCCTCTACTTTGTATTTGGGATGCCACCACAGTGTGGCTGATGATTGGTATAGGTCCATGCCTGGGGTCCAAACCCGCGAACCGGGGCCGCCAAAGCCGTGTGTGCCCAACTTAACCACCACACCATGAGGCTGGCTCCTCAATACTACTTCTTAATAAAATATTCCCCAATACAGGACACTTCAAGACTCCTTTAGTGAGACATAATGTTCCTTTGCAATTATCAACATTCCTCATCGTTTACGTACAAACAGTATCCCAGACTCTAAGAACACCCCATAAAGCCTCCCTAGGAGGGGAGAGGTGCCTAGTAACCCTGCCTTTACGTGGCCCCATGGAAAGGCACACCCAGCCCCGATTCCGAATCACAGGTCTGTGGCTTTGTGAGATTTTACTGATGAGGCTTTGCGAAGTGGGTGGCTCCTGAACACAAGGAGCTTCTGGAAGCTAAGCTGTGCTCTGTCTCATCCACTCGGCGCTGACTGTGAGTGCCCCTGGGCCAGGATCTCTGCTGCAGGCACAGGGGCCAGAAAGCTGGACGAGGGGACAGACATCCATGAAATGGTCACGGTGGTGAAAAGTGCCAGGAAAAAAACCCCACCGGTTTATTGAGAGAGGGGCCTGTCCTGACTTCCATGGAGGCCCGGACAAGGTCTGGGCAGATGTCCAGCTGGAGGCACAGATGGGGGGCTCTGTTACCCCAACATTCCCTCCAGGTTCTTCCCCACTGCCTGTCATGGAGATGGCACGATGGCCTGTGGGCCTGGGAGATGGGCCTGGCTCGTCCCTTCCAGACATCGGCTTGCAGTGAAGGCGTGGAGACCAAAAGAGAAGATGGCCCGAGGGAGAAACTCGCCAGCCCCTGAGAATGAGGGAAAGCCTGGTGTCTGCCTCCAGAGAGTTCTCACTGGTTGGATCGCTGGTCCTCAACCTCCTGGGCCTCTGGGCTATGGGGTCACAGATGTGTCGGAGGACAGCCTGGGTAGTCCCAGCCACCACCGCCTCTTCCTGTGACAGCTCCATGAAGGCAACGGGCCCCACACTTATGAGGGTCCGCTTGGGAGGCAGTGGGGCCCAGCCTTCTTGGGGCCTCCCCTCCAGTCTTTTCAGATGCCTCGGGTGCTGGACCAAGTCAGGGAGCACTTCTGCGAGTCCTGGCCACATACCCTGGTGCCCATCCTCACCAGCAGCTCCGCCTCGTGCCTGCGTGACAGCAACTACTCTTCCCCCACTCCTCCCTACAGCCCTTCCCCAGTGCCCATGGCCCCCCAGGGGCCGCTGCTTGCCCCATTTGGGCTCTACTCTGCCTGGGGAGCAGCTCTCTGGGTCTCCAAGGCCCTGGCATACTCTCTTCTTTGCCTCTTGGCCCTGGCTACCCCCTGCTGGCCCTCTGTCTCAGCTGACTGCCTCGGCACGCCTTCCCAGCCAGGACTGGCTTCGGTGCCGCTCTGTGTGCTGACTGGTGCCGGCTCCATACTCCTGCCTGCCTCGCCACCCACCCCTGTCTAGCACGGGCTGATTCTTCAGCAGAGTGCAGCAACCAGGGAAAACATCACGCGCCTGGATTTACAGCTATGTCAAATTGCTCCCCAGAGTCCAGAGTCACTGGACGCCTCTTCTTAGTTTCCATACTGATCTTGTTAGAGGTGGCAGCAAACAGCTCCTGGGCCCCACAGTGTGAGCAGCATCCCCCTGGGTCCCTGTGTGTTATCACACTGCGTTTCTATTCCTGTGGCCGCGTCCACGTCCCTCACTAGTCTGCAGGCCAGCCACCTGCATAGCGACCTTGTTCAGCGTTCTGTCCCTGTGCCGACAGAGTCCTGGGTGCACAGCATTTGCTGTTTGGAGGAAGGGGTGAGTGACCCATTGGGAATGTCTGTTCCCCTGCTTTCAGCTCTCTGTGACTTCACACTCTGACCTTGGTGGGTCCTTTAAAAGCCAGAGGGAGTTGTTAGTTGATGACTCAGATATTTTCATATAAGCTTTTCTTTATATATTAAATAAATCAGATATAGAAGTTATGGATTCTTGGCACAATGTACTCCATAACTAGATCTTTGTTAGTTGTTATCAGAGGATATGTTTCTGCCTCAAAAGGTTTTAGACTCCAATTGGGAGGTCAACTGTGTGCACCCAGAAAGTTCTAGTACAGAACAGAAGATGGTCAGGTGCCGAAAGAATGAATGCAGATGCCAGAGGTTTGCAGAAGGGAGCACGGATGTGAGGGAGGACTCCAGAGAAGGGGCGGCTTGGGGGCTGTGAGTTTGGACAGGAGGGAGGATGCACGTGAACGAGGTCCTGGGCAGAAGAGGGAGTGGACAGACCCTCACAGGCCAGGCAGGCCGAGGCCGCCACAGCCTGTCCTGGAGTGCAGGTCGCCCGGTCGTGTTTTTGCAGCGTTCCTACGGAAGGCGGGGAGGTGGGGGGGCCAGCGTGGGGAGGGAGGGAGACCTGGGCATGGCCAGACACAGAGCCCAGCGAGGCCAACCTTACTTCTCCCGTCCGTCACCCATCGCCCTCCAGCTGTGGGGGCTGCAGCCCCACCCATCAGCAGTTGGCCTACCCACCGCGTCACACCTCAGGGGAGTGAGAGCAGGGACCAGGGAGGCCCTGCGGCCCCAGCAAAGCTGACTGGCAGTCAGGGAACCACCCTTGGGAGCTTGGCCCCTTCCTAAGGTGCTCGGACAACCAGGGACCCAGACCGCATTTGCCTGTGCTGACTTGCAGGTCATGAAACTGATTAAAAATACGCTTTTTTGCTTTATAAAGGTGTATGTGATGGATACTCCTGTAGCACTTTAAATTGGTTGCGTTTTGTGTGCAGTCTTTCAGGAGTATATTGATTTTGCCATGCAAGGTGTGTGCGTGTGTGTGTGTTGCGGATGGAGCGGATGGGTGAGAACCAGCATGGAGTCTGGTGCTCAGTTTTGCGGGCCCAGAGACTCCATTTGGTCTGGGTCATGAAGGTTGCTCAGACTCGGGGACTGACGCTGGGCACGCGCAGAGGGGAAGCCGCCCTACCTGGGTGAAGAGGTCCAGGGCCTTGTGCAGGTTGGCGTACATGCCCGTGGGCGGCTCGTTGGTGATTTTGATGGCGTTCTCCAGGATACCCTGGGGGATGATGTGGGACTCGGGGCTGGGGGCGGGCTCGGCGCTGATGAACACGCGGTAGTCCTCATGGCTGCCTGTGCTGTACCGCTCCACCTTCTTGTCCAGGGTGCTTAGCCACCGGGCCACCAGGTGGATGTTCTACAGCAAAGACCAGGACTTAGCGCCCACTCACTCCTTCCCTGCCCTGAGTCCACAAGGATGGGTTACTCGGCCGTGTCCCCTGGTGGGGCAGGGCAGGGCTCTTCCTGTCAGCACCCGTACTCCCCACCCTGCCCTCCACCCTGGCGGGGGCGCTGGACATGCTGGATAACTAAGCAACTGAACTTGTGCTCATTCATCCAAGCCCTCCACTCATGGCAAGTCCTTCCCGCCCTCCACTGCATAAGGCTGAGATTTTGTGATCCCTGCCCCTCCTCTGAGAAGTCTGGGGAAAAGGAAATGACTTGAAGCCAAGGTCTCCACCTGGGACCAGGCTAGGCCCTGTGCATTGAGGTCAGCCCCCCGTGGGGTCTGTGGAAGCTGGGCTGGCCGGCCAGCCTGCAGGTGCTTGTGGGGCAAGTGGGGATCTAGGGGGGCCGTGGTGCTAGGGTTCGCCCGAGACGTGGAGAGAGCGCCTCCTGGGCTGTTGTCGCTTCCCCCCTTGAGGGGAGGCTGGGGGTGCTTCTGTCCACTCAGGGCTTTTTGTCATTTAAATAGTATCTCTCTAGGGGTTCTCTGGCATAAAGCCCAGTGTCTCTCTCACCGCTGTGGAGTCCCTCTCGTCTGAGCAGTCCTGATGCCCCACGCCTCCCAGCTCACCCAGGCAGAGCCTCCTGCCTCCTCCGTGGGTGGCGGGCTTCCCAGCCACGTTTGTGAATGCAAGTCCCACAACCTGCTTTCTTGCCGGCCTTCAGGCCAATCCCCAGGCCACCTCAGTGGGGGGAGCCCCCACCCTAGAGGCGCAGGCACCCCTGTACCTGCAGAATGACCCAGTGTCCCCTCTCTGCAGCCACATCCAGAGCATTCTCAGCCACCACCTCCTGTCCCTGCCCCAGGGACACGTTGTGGAGTTTCCCATTGTCTATGGTAAATCCCAATTTTTTCCCTAAAGGAAAAGAAAAACAGGAAAAGCACGGGGTGATTGAATGACAAAGGCTGAGGCACCGTGATCCACAGCTGGGAATTCCACACTTTCCCCGTTTTTTTACTGTGGTAAAATGCACATAATGTCAAATTTACCATTTAAAAAACCATCTTAATGCCTACAATTCAGTGACATTTAATACATTCACAATGCTGTGCAACCATCTATGTGGTTCCAGGACACTTTCATCACCCCAGAAGGAAATCCCGTACCCATTGAAGAGTCGCCCTCCATCCCTCTCCCCCCAGCCCTGGCAGCCGCTAATCTGCCTTCTGTGTGTGGATTTACCTATTCTGGTTAGTGCAGATAAACAGAATCATCTAATGGGGGAGCCTTTGTGTCTGGCTTCTTCCCCTTGGCATCATGTTTTCAAGGTTCACCCGTGTTGTAGCATGTGGCAGCACTTCATTCCTTTTTTTTTATTATTGTGGTAACGGTGGTTTATAACATTATATAGATTTCGGGTGTACATCATGATATTTTGATTTCTGTGTAGATTACATCATGTTCACCACCCAAAGACTAATTACCATCCCTCACCACACACGTGTGCATAATCACCCCTTTCACCCTCCTCCCTCCCCCTTCCCCTCTGGTGACCACAATCCAATCTCTGTCTCTACAGGATTGTTTGTTGTTGTCACTTCATTCCTTTCTATGGCTGAATAATATTCCATTGTGTGGAGAGACCTTATCTCATTTATGCGTTCATCTGCTGATGGACACGTGGGCTGTATCTGCCTTTGGGCTGTTCTGAATGAACCGCGCTTGTTTGAACACCTCTTCTCAGTTCTTTGAGTGTATATCCAGGAGTGGACTTGCTGGGTCCTATGGTAATATACGTGTAACTTACTGAGGACCCACCACACTGCTCTCCAGAGCAGCTGCACCATTTTACATTCCCACCAGCAATGTACAAGGGCTCCAATTTCTCCACATCCTCCCAACACTTGTCATTTTCTATGTTTTTGATAATAACCACCTCACAGGTGTCAAGTGGCAGCTCACTGTGGTTTTGATTTGCATCTCCTGATGACCAATGACGTTGACATATGTCCCTTTCTGAGGCCATCGCTTGCGGGCTACACTTACCCAGGGCTTCCACGTCTTTCAAGGGGTCAACTCCCGGGGAAAGGATGAAGAAGATTGGAGTGGAGGGGCTGCTCTCCTCGTAGGACTTGGAAAACTCAACGCTCCGGCCCTCCACAAACTTGCTGCCCATCTTCTCCTCCACGAAGTTCCTGGGGGAGACGCGCTTAGTCAGACCGCAGGGGGAGGGGGCCGGTGGGCTGTGACCCAGGGGCAAGCGTTGTTTCCCTGGTGGACTTTCTTAAGCAGGGAAAGGTCTCTGGCCAGAAAGCGAGGTCTTTACAGGGGCTTTCCCCTGTGCACAGGAAGGCTGGCGGGGGGCGGGGGGTGCCTCCCACCCTGGCGGTGTTTGCTCCTGCTGGAACCTGCAATGCACTTGTCCTCGGAGCCGCCTAGTACAGACAAGTGAGAGGGGGCCTCCACGAGCTGAGGCTGCCCGTTTTCAGAGGCGCACAGGTCAACTGGGAAGGAACACTGGCTGCAATGGGGCCATGATGGGCCACAATTCAGGACGTTCTAGGAGACCAGGCCCCAGCACCAGGCAGCCGCGGATGCTCAGGGCCCTCGATGCTCCCAGTGAGGGGGTCAGTTTCTAGCAATTCCCTGTTTCCCACACGCTTCGTATCTGCTGTGCAGACAAGGGCAGCAAGAAGGAGCAGAACATAGATTGGTCCCTGTGTCCCGGCGATCTCCCCCAACTGGGGAGTTTGAGGAGGAAGGAAGTGTCATGAGAGCCATTCTGGTGAGTTTCAAGGACCACAAAGCATGGGTCATCAGAAAAATCAGAGAAAATAAAAAACGACTTTCCATAAGCACCTCTCTTTACATAAAGGCCTCTCTGTTCCGAGCCCCAGACTCTCCATTTTGAGCCCCATGAGCCTGGGGTTAGTCGAGGCCCCTGTTCTGGGAGATCTAGCATTGTTCATGGTGACCTTGGATCTCGGCTCCGTTCCCCGCTCCCTTGACCACAGATGGCTGAGTTTACTACATTCTGAAGGGATCAGAGGAGCTAAAGCTGGGAAGATTGTACCGTCCAGCCCAGTCTGACGGGAGGCCCCGGCGCAGCACGCCAGGCAGAGCTCGTGCATCCTCCGCGGCTGGCTGAGTGCTCTGAGCATCTTGTGAGCCCTTCAGGGGGACCTGTTCCCTTAGAGCCCCTCCTTCCCTCTGATTCAACGGAGAGTCTGCCAGCTGGAGCCAGGCGGGCCTTCCCACTCCCTCGGGACTTTCTGGGGACACCTTTATCCGTTGTTCATCCTCTGCTCTGGCCTTCATGGCTTCTGTAGTTTCCTGAACCGATGCTGACTACAGGCCGGGGGTGGGATGCTGTTCCTGATGACCTCCAGTGGTATTCCGTTCCTGCCTTGGGAACTGACTCAGAATGTAGGTGTTGGGATCCTTGTCCAGGAAGGACTTCTAGAATGTACCAAGTCACCAGCTCACTAAATCACTGTTGCTAATGATGTTGCCAGGCCACATGGTCATTCTCTGCGAATGAATTGATGCAGGAGAGTGTGTGGCTGGTTCCAGGCGGGCTGCACCAGTCCTAGCGCTGTGTCCTTGGCACCGGAGTGCTGGAGCCAGCTCCCAGGGGTCAACCCGGGGGGCAGCATTTACACCACGGAAACTGGCAAGTGTGCAAACCAGGGCCTTTTTTCGGAGAGCCAGTTTGCCAGCACACCGCCCCACTGTGGGCGATTTACCCCCCTCTCTGGGCCTGTGAACTGGGAGTGGTGGAAGAGGCTGCCTCCAGGCATTGTTGGAGGGGCCCTGTGAGTTAACACAGGCAGGACATTGTGAGCGTGCCCTTGATGAGTTTGCTGTTACTGTTCGCTGTCCATGGGAATTTCCTTGCATTGAAGCTACACTCCTCTATATAATTAGGAAGGTAAATCTGCTGTCCTCAACATTACACAAATGTCACGGGCCGTGATTTGGGTTCCCCTGATGTTTGGGTCTCCCACCGCTGCTAGGCGCACGCAGTCTGTGTTCATTTCCTTCCTCTCCATCACCAGTGTGCTTTCACGTGTGTTATCTTGGGATTCTCAGAAGCGCTCTGGAGGCGGCTGGTGTGGACCCCCCAAAGTACTCAGCTCCCCAATCAGGCGGTGTTCCCGCTGCAATGGTCGGGTGCCCTTCACTCAGCCCTCCCAAACTTTGTCCCACCTTCTGCCAACGCCGAGTCCAGGACGCTGGCCTGCTTTCTCTGGGACCAGCATGACTCTCCTACTTCTGCTTTCACTTCACCCCCTTCCTCCCCTCCCGCCCCATAACCCCTCCCAGTCCCTTTCCTCTTCGATCCCAGGAAGACAAAGCAAAACAGAAAGGTCTGTGAATAACCGAGGGGTGTGAGTCAGGCCTCCACTTGGCCGGAGGGGAATTCTATTAGGGACGTGGGCGTCTTTTGGGAAATCAGGCTGCTTTCAGGCTACCGGGACAAATAAAAAGCAAAGACCTCAAAGGACTCACAGCCCCTCCGAGAATGGGCCTGGGCTCGTTTCACTGTGGACTCCGTCCTCCCTCCTGTGGCAGCTCCGTCCTCAGCTGGGGGGTCAGGAGGGGCCGAATTCTCTCCACTCCAGAAGATGGATGACCTCACAGACGTCTACCCTGGGGACCCTGAGCATTGGATACGTGACGTAGCTATTCCTGGAGTCCTGTGCAGTGACAGGCCCAGCGGGGGAGTGACAGGAACGGGGAGCTCAAAGGCCTTGGTGATTAGTTTTCCAGTCAAGGAGGGGTTTCAGGTCCAGAGAAACTGTTCATGAAATTAGAACAGTTCTCTTTGCAAACGAGGCCAAACTGACAAAACTAAAAGATTTACTTTAAATTTAGCCATTGAGGGCACGGAAGTCCTCAAATGCTGATGGCTTTGCCATTGTTTTCTCCCCACAACATCCTAAAAGGACTCTGTTTGTGTGGCCACGGAGGTCATGAATGCCCATCCTTTTTTTTTTTTTTTTTTTAAATCTTGGAGGCTCACTTGGGGAGTCTTGTTTTCCCATCATTTATCCCGGGGTATCCCTCCTCAATTAGGTTAGTGCGAGGCGAAGGGTCCCTCTAACCACCTTCTGAAACACTGAGAGCTAAGGAGAACTCAGAAATGGAATCGGCAGAGTAGAATCCCGCCTCTGTCCCCCAAGAACGACATGGGCCATGCCTCGATGCCTCTGAGCCTCATTTTCTCCCTCTGTGAAATGGGGAGAAGGATGTCCACAGGGTGCCTCACCCCGTGGTGGTGGCCAAAATTGCACACCTGTTGCCTTGGCGAGGGCCGGGACAGGGACACCCAGGCCCCGGGAGGGCGGGGACACTCACTTGACGGCGTAGGTCATGCGGTCCGGCCTCATGCACCTCACCATGCAGAGCTTCTGCAAAGCCGTCTTGTTCTTCCACTCCTTGGGGAAGATTTCCTTCTCTGGGGCTTCCGACTCCACAAGCTTCTTCCACCGCTTGGCCGATCCCTCAATGTCATTATCCAGGTTTTTGAACTCATCCATCTCCGAGAGGGCCTGGGGGCAGACAACCCTTCCAGCTCTCCCCAGGTTCCACCGGGCTCCTCCCCTGAACGTTCCTTAGGAGGAGCCCAGGGCCCTGATGAAACAGTGAGCTGCTGGTGTCAACTGCACCACGGCCAAACCAGAGAAGCAGCTGGGAACCTGGGAGGGAGGGGTCTAATCTGGGGACGTGACTCTGGGCTGCTCCTCAAGAGGGCTCTGGAATGGAGGCCATTCTCGTCTCAGGGGACCACCTCTTCAGGTCTCGTTGAACTGAGACCTTGAAACCTTGGGACATGAGGGCTCCTAAGTGTGATGTCCAAGATCGGAGGAATAACCTTTACACTGAACTTTCCTGGAAATGGGAGGTGAGGGGAGCAGCGGAGGGCTGACTTCTGGACGCGCCCTGGGGCCTGTCTTGGGGCTCAGCTTGCCTCGTGCAGGGACCGTGCAGGCCATAATGTACGGTGTTGCATTCGAGGAGGAAAGCAGAGTGCCCCGAGAGCTGGCAGGCAGCACATCGCTCCCGGCCCTACCTCAGGGCGCCCTTGTTTTACTGAATGTCATGGCCAGTAGCACCTTGTAAACATCCCCAGCTCGAGCAGGAAGGGCCCAGCCTCGGGGAGAGAGCACACAGCATTCAAGTGTGAACACCGACCTTGATGCCTCCCCATCCCTGGTGCTGCAGGAAGTCCACTGGCGACACGACCCCGGCCTTGAAAGGGAACCGCAGGAGGAAATCCAGCTCGACTGGGTTCAGCTCCTTCTTCATGGACAAGACCTGGGGGACAGGGGCTGCTTAGATGTCGTCCCACAGTAGTGGGGCGGGCGGCCAACAGCCCTTTGGCAGGAGCCTGTCACCGGCGCTGGATGGATGTCGAGGAGCTCACACCGCCCCTGCAGGGGAAGCACCGTCCTGCCCCTTTGGGTCGGGGCAAAACTTGGTCTTCACGTTTTTTTTTTAAATTGTGGTAAAATACACATAACATAAAATTTACCGTTTTAACCCTATTGAAGTACACAATCCAGTGGCATTTAGTACGTTCACGCTGTTGTACAACCATCACTTCCATCTATATCCAGAACAATTTCATCACCCCAAAGGGCAGTCTCTCCCCATTCCTACCCCCCAGCCCCTGGCGACCACCAATCTACTTCTCGCTATAGGCGTGCCTGTTCTGGCTACTTCATATGAACGGAATCATACAATGCGTGGCTTTTCGTATCTGGTTTCTTTCGCTTAGCATGTTTTCAGGGCTCATCCATGTTGTCGTATGTGTCAGCACTTCATTCCGTTTTATGGCCAAATAATGTCCCCGTGCGTGGAGAGACCACGTCTGGTTTATCCATTCATTAGCTGATGGACACGTGGGCTGTTCCCACCTGTTGGCGATTGTGAACGGTGCTGCTGTGAGTGTTTGTGTACAGGCGTTTGTGTGAACGCCTGTTTTCAATTCCTTTGTGTGTCTCAATGTTCTGGGTCATATTCAGTGTCACCTTGTCACTTGTGCACGCCAGCCCCCAGGGGTCCCCGACCACACTCAGTGGCCTGGCTAGACGTTACCTGAAACGTAACCTGTGCCAGGAAGATGAGTTTGTCTCGCTCGAAGAGCCCGCGGGCCGTGTACATGTAGACGGAATAGGTGATCTCGTCCGTCAGGTTGATCACGCGCTGTTTCACTTCCTCGGCGGGGATGGTCCTCTGGATGGCCTTCTCAAACACCACGTTGAAGGCCTGGGGAAGGGGCACGGGGCGCATGGCGGCTTGCAGGGCTGGGCTCTGGTTTGTTTCTCTTGGGGGCGGAGATCTGGGGGCACCAGGGGGAGAGCCCCTCCCTGGGGTGCTGGCGCTGGACAGATCCTGTCCCCTGGCTTCGTCTCCTCACCCCCATCTGCCCTCAGAGGGTGAACAGGCACCACCCCAATGGTTGGGGCGTCGCGGATGCCAGGCGCCCCGACCAGGAGCCAGACGCGGCCAGACCTTGAGCGAGAACTGGTAGATGGGGTTGATCTTGCTGAGGTCGTTCAGGATGAAGTACAGTAGGGACGCCCTCTCCGCAGCCGGCCGGTAGTTCTCTCTCGCCTCATTGATTTTCACTTCGGTGATTTTCGCCTCTTGCACCTGGAAACAAACAAAAGGGGTTTGAGTGAAACCAGCAGGTGGTCAAAGCCAGTGAGCAGATGGGCCCACGTTGTCCAGAGCCCTTGGCTCCCTCGGAAGCTGTCTGGGAGGACTGCCGGCAGATAGCCGGAGGCTGGATGGGGACCGCTGCCCCTTCTCCCTGCCCCCAGATGCCCTCGTGCGACTGTGGCTTCTCTTCTCAGTGACCATTGGAGGAAGCCCCTCTCAGCCCAGCTGCCGGTCCCCATGTGCTCTGGCCGGGGGCTCAAGGGGGCGGCCCGGGAGATGGTTTCCCACCTTCTCCTCGATCTCGCTGGCCGTGTGTTTGGTGGTCTCCAGGTTCTCCACCAAGGCAGTGTCTCCCAGAAAGTTCCCCGATGCGGCCGACAGACGGGCCAGCAGAGAGTCTTCCAGCTCTTTCAGTACAATCTTAAACTCGTTTTGGGACTTGGTGAGGTTCGCCTGCAGGAGCAGAGACCCAGGAAGGGAGATCAGCCATTGGCACCACCTGGCTGCACAGCTGGGCGCTCGGGGCCTCTCCGCAGCTTAGCCAAGGCCCCGGGACTCGGACAAGAGAAACACGTCCAGCCTGAAAGGCAGCGGCAGAAGTGGGCACCCCAGAGCAGTGCAGGCCCTGCTCCTGGCCTCTGTGGCTGCCTGTCATCAGCAACCGTGTGGCAAGGGCTTGGGGACCGAGGGGGAAGCGTGGGGCCTGGGACCCCTCTGAGCCCCCATGAGTAGCTAAGACAGAGTGAAGGAAGTGGCCAGCGCGCAGGGCCGAGAAGTCAAGACGACTCTCATGGGGCAGCAGTTTGGTGCCTTAGGGCCGCCCGGGCGCCGCTGGGACTCTCTCTTTCGGTGAAGCGGTCATTTGATTTAGAATTAGCTTTGGGAGGTAGCACGGAAGAAGAGTGACTCATTCTGTTGTGCAAAATACATTCAGTGCAACATCCCCACTGGGTCAGGGAACCTCACGGTGACCCGCTGCCCTTCTGTCCCTGAGCCGGACAGCTCTGTGCCGCGTGTGGCGACGTCAGGCCGCATTACCTTCAGCTGCTCAAGGTCCGGGCGCTCTTTGGCCACCACGGCGGCCAGGAGCTGGTCCTCAAGCCCGTCCCTGGTGACCAGGAAGTTGATCAGGGTGCACTGGGCCTGCATCTCGGGCTTGTAGTGGGGGTTGAAGTACTTGGTGTGCAGGATCAGGCGGAACTTGGGGTGGTACTCCACCTCCTTGTCGCCGATCTTAATGAACCTGGCCGTCAGGGGAGGAAGGGATTAGAGGGGGTCCTGACGACCAGCGACAGCAACACAAACACAGACCACCTTTCACACCAGCCTGGCCGCCTGTCCCCAGGCCAAGCTGCTCTCTTGAGCCCCTCTTTGGTCACTGGGAAAGGACTGTGACTTTCCTCGCTCTAATCCTCTTCTCTGGCCTGTGACCCAGCCCTTCCAGAAGACGCACCTGCTCTTTCTCCCGCTGCTTTGTTCTGATCTTTGGAGTAATGTTGACTCGATTCTGGCTGCACGTCATACTCACCTGGGGAGCCTTTACAGAAATCCTCTGCCTGGGTTCAGCCCCACAGCCATTAACATCAGAAAGACACCGACATCCCAATTCAGAATGCCAGTACATTCCGGAAGCTCCCCCGGTGAATCTGATGAGCAGCCAGGGCCAACCCGGGTCTGCTGATCCACTGTGGGGGGTCTCTTCTCTCTGGCTCCCTGCTCTCATCTCTCTTCTTTCTGATCGAGCTCACTTTTGGGGCCTCACTTCTCCCCTTGGGTATCACCAGTCCTGCCAGGCCCTTCTCAGAGCCCAGGACATCCGTGTGCTTATTTGCCACCTCTGTTCTGGGCTCCTGCACGCACCCCTGCATTTAAAAGCGGCTCAGATCAACTCTGATGTTTACATTTTTAAAGTTAATTTTTTTATATTAGAAAAGCAATACAAGCTCAGTGCATCGGCCAGTAAACGGATAAACACAACATGGCACACCCAGAACATGGACTATATCCAGCCATAGAAGGGACGAAGCACGGACACACGCTATGCACGGATGAACCTCGAAAACACTCCGCTCAGTAAAAGCAGACACAAGAAGGCACTTGTCGTGTGACTGCATTGATGGGAAATGTCCAGAAAGGCAAATCCATGGTGACAGAGAGCAGATCGGTGGGTGCCAGGGCCTGGCGGTGGCAGGGAATGGAGAGGGACTGCTTAGTGAGTATGGGGTTTCCTTTTGGGGTGATGAAAGTGTTTTGGAACCAGATGGAGGTGGTGGTTGCACAGCCCGTGAGTGTACGAAATTCCACTGAACTGTTCAGTTTCAAATGGTTGATTTTATGTTATGTGAATTTCACCTGAATAAAAAAATTAGTAATATAGGCTTGAGATTTGCAAAATGCATCAAAAGAGAAAGAAGAAAACCATGATCATTAAGGATCGCCATCTGTAGGTAATCACTAATAAAATATTGGGGAGGACATTCCTAACTGAGGTGTGGCCCCACAATCTCTCCCCTGGTAGCCGGGGGTTCTTTCACATGAGCATTTTGCTAACATCCCTGTTGCCCACCAGGAAGGCAAAGGAAATTCCCGCACTTTCCCTCTGTACACAGGCCAGACCTCACCACTGAGGGTGTTTGCGTGGGTCAAACCACAGAGGTGGACACAGCAGCTTACTTTCCCTTTTTAATTGTGTTCCTGCCCAGTAGAGGGTCCAGCACGGGGTCCACAGTTTCGCCAATGTTCTCGATGAGCAAGATGTCCCCTTCTGAAATGGCCTGCTCGATGATGTCCAGGTAGCTGTGGGCACAGCACAGGAGCCATTTAATGACATAGGGCTCAGTGACGGTGCAATCGTGTGCCCCAAGAGGCAGCCGTCAGAGCAGGAAGGCCCGAGGGAGAGGTGACCAAGGGGCCAATAACCCATTCCTGTCCGCAACTCATCCTTCCCTAAGGGGAACCCAAAGACTTCTGTGTAAATCACCACTGGGCTCCTGGGAATGGAGGTGACAACGGAGCTGCGTTATGGCTGTAGAGCCAAACATTTCGCATCTGTGTCTCATCCATCTCCCCAGCACGCTGGGAAGGCACGCAGGGCAGCCTTTGTTACGGCCATTGTTTCTCATCTCTGACGAGGACATAAACCACACGAGAGATGAGAGATGAGAAAATGACCAGCCTGCAGTCTCCTGGCCAGCAAATGGCGAGACAGGACCCAAGCCAGGCTGGGAGCCCAGTCAGTGCTTCCTCCCTGCGGGAGCGGCAGGTAATGAGGGGAAGGGAGAAGAGCCCAGAGTTGGATTTTTTACTATTGGTGCTGTTACCCAAGGTCAAATATTAAAAAACGAAAAAAAAATCCACCTGTGGGCCAGTCTTTAAAGCTCTGTCCATCCATTTAACAAGTGTGAAATGCCTAGGGTGTATTTCCCAGCACAATGGCCCTCCAGCCAGCGGCTGCCTCTGGAACCCCTCCTGCTTGCACCGTCGTCACGCACCTCTTCTGTCCCAGGCGGATGGCTTTCAGCTCCTCGCCGTATTTGTTTTTGATCCACTTGATGCCTTGCAGCTGGGCGTCCACGATGAGGGGCCAGCGCTCCGTGTTGCACAGGATGGTGGCGTTCTCAGTGGACATGCGGTCACTGGGGAGGCCCTGGTTGTTCCAAGTGGCCACGTCTGCATCATCGGTCAGCAGACTCAAGGGATCCAGACCCTCCGTGATCGGGATGGGGACCTGCCGAAGGGACGTGCTGTTTCTTAGAAAGGGTGACGTGACCTTATTGCTCTCCAAATAATACGGTGGTTCTGCGGTTAGACAGTGGGCGAGCCAGGCCATCTGGGACAAGACAGCCATTTGTATCACCCTGACAAAGCAGCTTGGAACCTGGCCAGGAAGGATGTCAGCATCGGCCACACTGGGCCACAGTGTAAACCCTGAGCGGCCGGAGCCTCAGTCGCAGGAGCGAAGGTGAGATTGGGCTGGGTCTGCCCTGCTGGGGACCTCCCCAAATTTCCCAAGGGACAAACGTGACCATACCTCTTACCTTTAGTTTATTTATATAAGGGATCCAAAATTTATCCATCAGCTCATTTCGGTATTTCTTGGTGAAGTAGCCCACGTAGGAGACAAAGGCAGAAATCAGCAGGACGTCCCCACACAGAGTGATCCCCTGGCTTTTGAAGTTCTCCACCGATTCAGCCCAGCGGACATTTTCTGACGCCAGTCCTCCTACCAGCCTACGATGAGAACATGGGGCGGGGCGGAGGGGGGCGGTAAACGAAGAGCGCGCTCTGGGTGAAAGAGAGGATGGGCTCGAAGACCCAGGAAGGCCCTCCTCCACCGTTGACTCCCAGGAATCTTCAGAGCTTCGAACACTTACAGGACTTAGTGCTTCAACAATGAAAATGCTTTGGGGGAAATGTTTGGGAAAAAATGCTTTAGGGAAGCAAAATGAATGCTTTGTGGTGGCATCTGGGAACACTGTGCTTCCCTTCTCCAAGCCATGTGCACTGATGTCACATCTATGCTGACGACATTGGAGCATTTCGCCCCCGTGCGAAAGCTGCTGCCTGGACACCACTGAGCCCACCCTTGGGCTAGCAGGAAGTCTGGATAGAGGCGGAGGCCGGGTGGTGGCCATGGGGGTGCGTGTGGCATCCAGGGGGCACCTGGCCCTGTGTGGAGTGGGGACTCCAGGGTGTGCAGCGTGCTTCTCAGGCCACTGGCCCCAGGACTGGTCGCTGACCCAAAATGGCACACCATGAGCCTGAGAGCGTTGACACAGTTGTTGAAAGGGTAGGGCCCCATCCAGCCCACTGTGCTCTGTCTGCAGCACCCTCCGACGAGCCCTGACTTGCCAATGGCCGAAAGATCACTTTGTATTCTTGGCAGGTGAGGTCCGGTCCCTCGGGTGGTGATGTCCGCACCTTACTGAGGCCAACCCCAAGCAGCATGGGGATCTCCTGGGGTCCCTACAACACACTGACGACAACCAGTCAACGGTCACCAGCCACTGGCGCGGAGGAAATACAACCAGGAGCCACACCCTAGAACTGACTCCACCTGCCAGGGTCCTGGTGCTCACTTTCAAAAATATGGCAAGAAAGCTTTACAGCTGCGCTGTCCACTAGGGCAGCCGTACGAGCCACACGTGGCTGGTGAGCACTCGAGCTGCGGCTGGTCCTAACTGAGACGTGACTGCAGGTGTACACATGGGATTTCAAGGAGTCAGAATGAAATATGCATAAAACATCTCATTGATCATTCTTATGTTGATCACACGCTGACGTGATCAGATTTTGAGTTATATATTATCAAACTCAATTCCATCTGTTTCTTTGTAGTGTTTTAAGGTGGCAACTGGAAAATTTAAAATGATAGACGTGGCTCATGTATTCCCACTGGAAGCCGCTGCTCTGGAGTCCACATGCATTATATACACTAGAAAGTGGACGTGCGCTGTCAAAGGACCCTGGAAGCCTGCCCCCTGCACCCTACACCACGGTTTGGCTAAGGGTGGGTTACAACGGGGTGCTGCCCAGAGTGAGCCCCCGTTGATACAGTGTCCAGGCAGGTCTGGGTTATCTGGGGCTCTGCACTGCAAAAGGTCGTGTTTCCTGAAGGTCACTGAATGCATGGGGGTCCAGAGGGGAGGGGTGGGACTTTGGTCAATAATTAGTCATTAGGTTTATCCTCATGACTTTGTGCTGAAAAAGTGAAAGCTGGGATGTTGCTGCTTCCACCTGGGGCTCATTCCTCCCCCTCCCAAGGCCGTTCTGTGGGCTCGTCCCTTTCAGGGCATTGGCAAGACAGGAGGGTGGCCTGCGGGGAGGAGCGAGCTACCTGTTGGCCAGCGAGATCACCCTGTTGGTGGCATCGGCCTCCTGTTGGCACTTGATTTTCTCAGCTGTCGCTTTTTCAAATGCCGACGTTAAGTTGCTCAGGTTGGCGTTGAGTTCCTGGAAAAACAAGATGGAAGGCCCCAAAATCGAGCAACGGGAGGCATTCCCAGCCCCCTGGGAGCATGGCCGAGCCCTGTGACAGTTGGGCAAGGAACAGAGCTTCCCATAAATGCCAGGAGCCCTCTGGGGCACAGGAGCCTCGGACGCTGAGTGGCCTCCTGGCCTGATCTGGTCCCCACAGTGGCCTGCCTTCTCTTGTGCTGCTTAATCATTCACGATGGCGGGCCGTGCCAACCCCTTTTAAACGGAGATATTGACGGGCGGCGTGAGCAAGTGGCTCTGGGGTTTCCCTCGGGATGCGAGCGAGCTCTTACAGCGATCTTGTTTTTGATGCGAGAGAGCTTCTCCTGCGCCTCAGCCAGCTCTGCGTTCGCCTCCTCCAGGGCCTGCCTCTTGGGGGCCACATCGCAGTACACCTCATAGAAGCGGACGATGTTGATGCACCAGGAGCAGAGGCCCGCGGCGGCCGTGGACTTGGAGCGGATGAACTCGGGGTCAAACGTCGGGTTGCCTTGGTAGGGCCTGAGAGGGAACAGTGGGGCGGCGCTGGCGTGGGCTCTGTGGGACGCAGGCCCACGTGGTGTGATCTCCCAGCCTTCCGTGCTGCCCCCGTGCATGCGTGCACCGCTCTGGCCACTGACTACAAGCGAGAGCAGTAGGAGCGTAACGAATTTTCTTTTTGGTATCTTAACGATTACAGAAAGAAGAAAAAATAAAACACAGAATTCTGTCCCCTGAAGTGGAGTTTGGGGTGGGGAGGGGAATGGACAGTAATGATTTAAGGCCTATATTCCAGATGAAGGAAGGAAACCAGCATTTTTTATCCTCTCTGTTCCTAACGCTTTATGTGACTGGTCTCATTTTCCTTCTCCAACGTCTCCATTCATAGGCAAGAAAACTGGGTTCAGAGAGGGTCAGACACTTGCTCAAAGTAAGTGACAGCAAGTGGTGGAACCAGAGTTTCTCCATCAAGTTCTCTGGTTGGGTGCCGTGTGTCAGTGCCGTCCTGAATGCTTTGCAAACGTCAGCTCCTGGAGCCTGCCCCCGCCTTGCCAGTGTCGTCCCCCCTTCTTACTCTGGGTAAGCAGGCCCAGAGAGGCTGAGCATGTCTTCCCAGGTGACACAGCTCAGAAGGGGCAGCCCCGGGACTCATGCCGAGTCAGGCGGCCCCAGGGGCCACCCCCGCCCTGGCTCTGCTGGGCCACTCCTGCCTCCCCAGGGCGTGGTGCCCTGTTTTCCAGGATCACCACAGTGAGGGGAAGGAGCTAAGGATGAGATTTAAAAGAGACAACAGTGCAGATGTCATCTTACAGAGCAACCAGGAAAAATGCCCCAGGTGCAGTTTAGACACTCTGGAAACTAGTATTTTAAAAATGATGACGACGTCATTGAGCATAACCAAGTGAAGTGTCTGAGGAAAGGATTCTGACTGGATAATTCACAGCAATCATTGGAAAGCGATTTGAATCTAGATGGGAAGGCAGCCGTCGTCTCCTCCCTCTGGTTTATTTTATGCTTTGTCTAGGCTAATATTAAGACGAGCCTGCATCTTTTACACACACAGCAGACGGTGTGGGGTGGTGGCAGTCGAGAAGTTTGCCGGGCGACAAGGAGAAGACATTCATCATGGCGTGATTGATGATGGTGGAGATGGAGCAGCCTAAACCCTCCACCGTGCCGGAATAGTAGGTAAATTACCATTTGTCTGCGGCAAGATTATACAACAGGTACAAATCAAGCTGGGCAGCGTTTTAATAACAAAGGGAAAAGTTGTGGGTTTTTTCCACAATGTTAAGCAAAGACTCAAAGCAGAACAAATAATTGCACACATACAATATTAGTCCAACTATGGAAAAAAACTGTTAGAAAAAAGACTGAAAGGAAACATACCAAATGTTGATAGAAGCTGCTCCCTGGGGGTAGGCCTGTGTTTTTCTCGTCTGTTCTCTTATGCTTAAACTAATCTTTATTTATCAAACGTTTTTCAATCGTCCAACCCTCTTCCTCAATAAATGGGAGCTGGGAGATGTTGGGGTCTCACCTGGGGTCATGGGGTATGACTCTGTCTGAGTCAGGGTCAGGTGGACCCTAAAATTGGGCTGCCAGGGGACGGTCAGCGAGGAACCACGTGGGCTAAAGATCAGTGGGTCTGAGTGCTAACAAATGGAGTACCTCACGAACACTGGCGCCTTGGAATATATGGTGCAAAACATGGATGTCCCCCCACACACCCTTCCCAAGTCCCACCCCCACCCCGGAGGTAGCGCTGCCAGTCCTGTCGAGTGTGTCCCTCCACATGAGGTGCATTTACAGTGAGACCAGTGAAAAGGAGAAAGGATGCCCAACAGAGCCCGAGCCAGGAAACACGTGTGTGTACATGTGTGTGTACGTGTGTGTGTACATGCGTGGGCATCGTGTGTGTGTGTGTGTGTGTGCTCAGCTGTTCCTGCAGGGAATGCCTCTGGGCCCTGGTTGGCCTCTCTCATTGTCCTGTTATCCCGAGGGGTTCCTGTGGCTGCACTGTCACCTGGGGTCCTGGAGAGCTGTGTGACGTGTCCCGGGGCCCTTCCTGTGTGTTGTGTGGGGAAGAGGCTCCTAGATCTTGAGGCAGACGGTGATGAGGCTCCCCAGGAGCTGGGGACCACGCTTCACCTGCATGCCTGGACAACTCAGATCCAGCCAGATTGGCCCAGACCGCCACCTGCCGTCTTTGGGGTTCCGCCTTGCTCCGTGCAGCCCCAGACCCTGCCCCACCCCTGGCAAGCTCAGGCTTCCCTTGGGAATGCACATCGCAAGGTGGGGGGCTGGTGAGAGAAGATTCTGGGACCATGCAGGCTTGGACTTAATGTGCTCCCGACAGACCCAAGAACTCCGTGCACCTCACCTGGTGCGGCCGCACCCTCACTCACTTAAACGCTTTCAGGCAGGCCTCAGGGATGTGCTCCTTGTCGAACTTTTTCAAGGAGTCCAGGAAGGTGTCCACTTTGCCCATCATGATTTTCGCAGCTTTCCAGCTCTTGTCCTTGGGGATCTTGCCCCCGGGCGCAGTGAGGATCATGACGGCGGCCGTGACGTTGACCACGGCATCCGGGGGGGACCCGAAGGACTTCAGCTCTGTCAGGTTGTTCTGCAAACGACAGACAGATGGGACGGACCTGAAGGGGATTTAGCCCTCTGAGCAGGACCTGGAGGCCCCAGTGAGGACCCCAGGGAATCTGCCTTGAGCTCCATTTGAGTCGACTGCCTGGCGATTCCTCTCACGCAGGCTGGTTCCCGTTTCTTTCTTTCTCTCCCTCACCTTGTTCAGAGTGTCAAGAGCTTCCTGCGCGGCCAGCAGGGCCGGCTCTGCCTTGGCCAGGTCCGTTTCACAGGCCTTTTGTTTCTCAGTGACATTCTGGAAGGAAGCCAGACAGGAAAGTTCGATGCAGGTGGGCCATCTGGGCAGCCGTGGGCAGGGGGAGCCCTGGGGAGCCCTTTGCCCCCCATGCAGCCCAGACCAGGGGGTCTGAGCTCCCAGAGAGGCTCAGCGCCTGCTGCCCTTGGCGCTCCTGGGCCCCATCTGGAAGCTGCCCTCCCCCTCCACACTCCTGCGCCCCTGCCCCTCCACACTCAGGTCTGGATGCTCCGTGCGACAGCAGACTTGGGATTCAGAAATGGCCCTGTCCCTTCCATGGGCTCCAGCTCTCAGAACTGGAGGGGAAACCTGGGCCCACACAGACCACCCCCTGGCACTGAGGCCTTCTTGTGTCCTGGTGCCATTATGTGAGCATTTCAGAGGCGTAGCTCATCCCCTGGAGAAAGTGAGAACACGTCCATTCACCTGTGCATTCATTCGTTTATTCACACGTTCATGCATTCATGCATTCATTCGCTCTCCGGGTCGGGGGAGCCCCTCCGAGCCTTTGGATGCCAAACAGAGAGACCAGCAGAAGCCTGGTAGCTGTCAATCAGGAGCGCCATCTGCGTGATCAGAGGGGTGACGGAGAGGCAGCGAGGGCTGGGCTTGGCTGGGCAGGGAGGAGGGACAGGAAGGAGGGGATCTCTCTGAAAGACCTTCCCGGAGATTCCCGTTCCACACCCTACTCTAGGGACGGCGTGGGACATGACTGAGGGAGCGGGGCATGGCAGGCACTGACCCGGCCGGCTGTGCTGGCAGCTCCCAGAGCCTCTTCCCTGGAGCATCCCCGGGGGGCCCTTTCTGGAGGCAGGGGTCGGAGAGGGGCAGGCGCCCAGACATTAACAGCTGCATGTGAGCGTCGGACAGCAGGTCAGAGTCCAGGGTGCGGGTGTGGGTCCTGGTTCGGGTCCTGACTATGCCACTAGCTAGTTTTGAGACCTTGGGCACATTGCCGACCACCCCGGGCCTCAGCATCCCCAGCTGCCTAACAGGGTTGCGGTTGTACAGGTTACAGTGAGAAATGGAGAAGAGCTCCTGGCTGCCCTGCCTGGCCTCAGCCCCCGCCCCACTCCAGCACCAGGTGGGACCAGCTCCGGCCCCTCCTCCTGTCCAAGGCATAGAAACCACTTGTTGGCATGCCGTCCTCCATCTCAGGGGACAGCAGACAATGACTGGGACACTGTTAATATAACACTCATGAGGACGAATGACTGATGACACAAAAGCCATGCAGGGAGGGGTGATGAGAAATCAAACCAACAGTGCATGGACCTTCAGCTAGGAGCCCACTCGGGCCAGTGACTTTGGAACCTTGGGGGCTCCCTGTGCAGCAAGTCTGAGGACCAGGGCTCCCACCCAGTCCTCTCCAGCCTTAACGTGCTCAGGGGCCACGGCCTCTTGTTAAAGTGCAGGGCCAATGCAGCAGAGGTGGTCTGGGGCCCGAGAACCTGCATTTCTTACCAGCTCCCAGGATGCTGCCACTGTGGCCTGGGGACTGCACTTGGAGGGGCGCAGCTCCAGGACAGGCATTTCTCTAAAGGACAGCCCTCTCCAGAGCTGGGGGCCCTGAGCTTCCGGGAGACACTCTCCCTCGGGGAGGTCCTGCTGGTTTGGGAGCCCTCTCAGCCTTCGCTTTGCCCCTAGGAGGTCCCGACTGCTCAGGGAGGCCCGGCGGCAGAGCTCTCCTGAGGCCACGCGTGGCTCCCTACCTTGTTGATGACCTCCACCTTGATCTCTTCCTCGTCAGCAATGGCTTTCTCTTTGCTGACTTTCTCGGTTTCCACACCCACCACGTGGATCAGCTTGTCCGCATTCTCATTTTTCTGCTTGAGCTCAGTCTCCTGAATCGCCAGCTTGGCTTTTAAATCATCCACCTGGGGGAGGAGACACCAAGACATGGGCAAGCTTGGGCCCCGGCCGCCACACGCTGCCCTCCTCTGAGGTGGGCCGACAGCCACAGCAGCCACGGGCCAAGCAGAGCAGCAGGCCTATCAGTTGCTTATGATTCCCTGTGACTCGTTTCAACACGTCTTTGCAGCTTCTCCAAGGTAAGTATTTATTGAGCACCAATTATGTGCCAAGGGTCATAAGCATAAGACACATTCCCGTTGCTCAGGGAGTTGGTGCTCAAGGTGGCTGGATAAAAAAGTGTCAACGGAGTCACAGTACCGAGGAGTGCTGGGGAGGCTGGTGGGGCAGTGAGAGAAAGCTTGGAGCCAGAGTCAGAAAGCTCCCTCCAGAGCACCCGGGAGGCCCCAGGCCTGGCCAGGTGGGAGGGTGTGCTGGGAAGGGGTAAGTGATAGGGTGGGACATTCTTCCCCATTCTTGACAATTTCTACCTCGAGGAGGCTGCTCAGTTGCTGTAAGGGTCCCCTCCTGGGATGCACTCACTGTGTCCCAGGACCGCGTCTGGAAGGCACGTTTGGGAAAAAGAAATGGCCTGTTGGGCTGAGCTCCTCCCTGCTGCCCTTTGAGTGAGCTGTTGGAGTGGGAGCAGGCTCCTCCTTGGCTCCTCCAAGCTCTGTCCTCCTTGGACACCCCTGCCACCATGTTCCCCTCCATGCCCCCATAGGGGTGGTCCTGACCTGTTCAGCACTGTCCAGCACTGCCTGTGGCTGGGACAAGCCAGCCTGGCTCCAGTTCAGCAGGGCTTCCGCTAAAGCTGGGGTTCGGGTTCAGGCTCCCTCGAGGGCAGAAGGGCTGGGCTGCCCTCATCGCCCGCCCGCCCCACCCCGTGCCCTCACTGCGCTCCTCAGCTGGCACACACCTCGGGCAGGGAAGCGGCAGCTGTTTACCAGGCTCTCTGGCAGAGGGCAGGAAAGGCGAAGAAGCCGAGACTACGTCATAGAGGATATTTAAAGCCAGGCAGAAAATTTAAAAATCAATACGGTGTGAGACAAAGTGTGGCAGAAGCCTTTCGATCTGGGCCCCACAGCATGAGTGGTGTTTTGGAAACGATACACATTCATCGACGGCACTTGACCGGATAAGCCAATCCCGCCAGCCTCGGGACCCGAGGGAGAGCGCCCACCGTAACGCCAGCATTACGGAAGTGGTTTGAATCTATTTTTCATGTTAAAACCCATAATAGACTCTAGGGTATGAGAGTGGAAGTTTCTCCAAGGCAGGATTCCTGTTCCTCTTACTTCACTTCACACATGTGGGGGAAGGTTCCGGAACCCGCCCCCAGAGCCCCTGTCTCTGACCTGAGAAGCTGTGCTCTGCAGTTTCATCAGGCCGTTTTCCAGCCTCTCGATTTTGGCGACCAGCTCCATCCTCTTCTTGGCCAGCAGGTTCTGGTAGAGCTTGATCTGCTCCAGAAACGTCTTGGGCGTGGTGTAGTTGTAGCGCCGCTCGGTGGCCAGGTACACCTTGGACATCTCGTTGACGGTCGTGTGCACGTAGGACATGAACAGGCTGATGGAGGTCTTGACTTCTGGCTACAAAGACAAGACAGGGCCGTTCATCCCCCATTCCCCGGCAGGCACGGCCACATTCCGACAGGGCCCCGGGGAAGAGGCGGCTGTTGGCCACGGTGAGTCAGCAAGGCGGGGCTTCCCTTCCTTGCTGGGCACCCCGGACGAGCTGCACCCCCTCTCTCAACCTTGGCGGTTGAACTGTCAAAGGAGACAGCAACGCCTGCGGGGCCCGTTGTGGACGCTGCCAACATCGCCCCACCGAGGGGTTAGCTCAGTGCCAGAGACAGCAGAGTTCATTCCTGTTACTCTCCCTCTGATTCACACACAGCTGCTCGCCTGGGAAGGCACAGGGCCCAGCAGCATGTTTGAACGACCCTGGTGATTCAGCAAGCATTTATTGTGCATTTCCTATTCTGGGTCCTGGGGTTTAGTAGCTCCTTTCCTGGCCGCCTCTGTCCTCGTTCCACACCAGGGTCTCGGCCCCCACCACCCGGGCCTACCCCACCTGCCTGAAGACGCTCACTGGGAGCTTTGCCCCAGGAATTATCCAAGCGACATTAATTTCAATTCAGGCTAATTTGGGCATGTGTTCAGCCAACCCATGTTTTTTCAGCATCGACTCTGCAGCCCTCGCTGGTGCCAGTGGTGGGGCCACTCCCCGCTCCTAGGAGACCCCTGTGTTGGGGACTGAAACCCTCATCTGTGAGCTCGGGGGAAACGTCCTAGCTGCAGCGTTCCTGGGAAGGGCGCGTCTCGCAAGTGAACACTCTAACGATGACAAGCAGTGGATGTGCCCATTTCAAAAATGAGGGTAAAAGTCAATTTCAGGTTTCTTATCCTACTTCATAAATGAATATGTGTTCAAAATACGTAAGACAGGATAACAAAGTGTGGTTTATCCCAGGGCTGCTCATCACTCGCACTGGCTGGGTCAGAGTTGAATGGTCATTTCTAGGGGCAATGAGCTCAAACGGCAAAGTGGGCACCACCCTTCAATTAAAAGAAAAGATGCTGTAAAAGAAAAGAAAAGGAGACGTATTATTGCCCCATCACACTTGTCACGCCCCATGGAAAGGGCAGGTCAGGGATGAGGGAGCAGCCCTGGGGGAGCCGTGTTGGAGCCCAAGGCAGGAGGAAAAGTGTGCGCCCCCGGATACACTTATCAGAGAGAACACAGGCTCTCCGATCAGCTCCCATCAGGGACGGAGTTTAAGGCCCGAGTTGCTCAGTGTGTTTGCATGCAGGCGTCAACCCTCTTGAACTGCAGCGGCCACGAGGGCTGGGCACCCTGGGCTGACTGGAACCTCCGTCCCCCGGCGCAGTGATGCAGGGCCGTGACCCGAGCAAACAGCAGCCTGCCTTTTTTACACTTCTGGTATTTGTTCATCGTGAATGCTTTAGCATCAATTTTGATTTTTAAAAAATACTGCATGAAAACTTCACTGATCTTGATGGCTGAGGTTTTTGGGGCCCCCTTAAATTTTGTGCCCAAGGCAAGTGCCTGACCTGCCTCACCATAACCCTGGCCCTGGCGGCAGGTGACCCGGGATCACTTGTCTCCCATGCAGCCAAGCCTCCCGGCCCTGTGAGTGCAGCACCGAGGGGGGCAGAGGAAGCCCAGGGACTCACCCGAATGCCCTCCGTCTCCTCCAGGAAGCGGGCGCTGACCGACACCAGGGCATCTTCCGGCCACTCGTGGAACCAGTCGATGGCCGTGCAGTTGACCACGGCAGGGAATTTTCTTGCTCGAACACGTAGGACAGAGCCCACGGGAGAGAAACACAGAATCACCTAGGTGAGGGACACAGATGAGCCGCTCATCAGGGTGCTGAGGCCAAATCGTGTCATTTTTGCCGAAAGCCCATTTAGAAGGAAAAGGCTCTGTCTTCAGATGTCTGGGGAGTGTGTTCCTGGTTCCGAGTTTGAAGTGTGGCCATTGTTTTGCAATGGATAAATGCTCAACTGACTTTTCGACCCTCACCAGCGATGTGAGGGTGCTGGGGTGCGCAGCCTCCTGAGGTGGCTCCCACAAAGGGGTCCAAAAAGGCCGGATGAAGGACGGAGTGGGGAATGGGCAGCCACGTTGGGCAGATGAGGCCGAGAACAGGAAAGGCTACAATCCCTTTGGCAGGTCGAGTCCCCAGGGACATGGAGCCTCCTCCAGGCCCCCAAGGACGGTCGCTAATTCCTGGACAGACTGGGACCCCCTGGGATCCCAGCTGCAGTAACTGCTGTGGGGACGGGCCCTGGTGGCCCTTTTGCTGGGCACTTCCTTCTCACGGAAGCCTCAGCCTCCCGCCCCCTCCTCGTTCTGTGGTCCCTTCTTCCGTGGGCACAGCAGGTGGCTCACTGGACGTGGCCGGTCCCCTGAAGAAGAGCCAGGCAGAGCACCGAGGAAGGGGCTGGGCGCAGGGAGCATCCACCAGGGGACTCCTAAGCCCCCACATCACATTCACTCATTGGGTTGTGTCACCCAGAGGGGACGTAGAGAGGAAACTTGCTTCATTTGCATCAAGCAGGGAAAAATGACAGCCAGCAGGTGCCTAGAAGAGCTATGGGGTTGGACCCTCCCCAAAGGGCAGCGCAGCCAGGCCAGGGGGCAGCTGCCCTCATGGGACGCTGACAAGGAGGGAGAAAAAGCTCCAAACTTCTCCCAGTCTAACTAGGGCGGTTCAGCCTACCTTCCCTACGAGGAATGCTCAAGGTTATCTATTTAAACTTGCCAGGGCCGGCGGGGGTGGGGAAGGTCTCATGTATAAAGCACTTCTTTTGGCCACGAGATACCTCCAATGGCCCACATGCATCAGGCAGCCCACCCACTCTCCCGGTGGACCACCACAGCCTGCAAGGGGGCAGCCGCACCTCCTCACAGAGCAAGGCCCAGGGCTGGGAAGGCAACAGGCACCGCACCGGGCTGCCAGGACCCTGTGAAGACGAGCCTCCTACCTTGAGCTGCCTGCGCACTTTTTCGATGAAGAATTTCCAGCACGCTTCCCGAGTGTCGGCCATGCCGAGGGACTTCACTTGCGGTCGCATGGAGGAAATGATGTTCTCCACCTCGTCCTCCAGGAACAGCCCTGGGATCTCCCCCGAGGCCAGCAGGTCGTTGATCAGCACCAGAAACTGCTCCTCCGCCACCTGGGAGTCCGTCATCAGGAACACGGAGGGGACGTTCTTCACAGCCGACTTCATGTACTGCGCCGCCAGGTCAAGCTGGGCCCAAGGAGGACAGGCTTAGGGTCCTTGCCGAGAAGATGCTCAGGTAGAAGCGTCCCCCACAACCACCCGGGAAGGGACACCTGGCGATCGGCTTCGTAAACAATGTGTAGGGTCTGTAGAAGGCAATCCACCCAAAGCCTCGAGTGGAGAACACGCTCACTCATAGCAGCACCGCTCACGACAGCCCAAAGCGGGGAGCGAGCCGAGCGTGCGCGGACAGGTGGCGGGGGCACGGTGGGGTCCATTCACGCCGTGGAAGAGCATGCAGCCTTAAAAGGAAGGGAGTTCTGACACTTGCTACAAGGAGGAGCCCAGAGGCCATTGCGCTCAGTCAAACCAGCCAGTCACAATAGGACGAATACTGTATGATTCCACCTACGCGAGGCACTTAGGGCAGCCAAACTCATAGAGACAGAGAGTAGGACGGCGGGGGCCGGGGCCGGGGAGGGGGATGGGAAGATGAAAGAGCTCTGGAGACGGGCGGTGATGACGGTTGCACGACCATGTGAATGTACTTAATGCCACTCAACTGTATAGTTAAAGTGATAAATTTTGTGTTATGTATGTTTTACCACACAGAGAAAAAGGAAAAAAGTCCTGAAATGGAGACCTTAAAAAAGGCCCGTAAGAAATCCCCACAGGCTTGGATTGGGAGCCGTCACCCTGGAAAGCAGGAGCCCTCCTCAGAGGAGGCCCACACTTCAGGTGACTGCCAGCACTCTACTAGCAGGATTTAAAGAGACAGCTCGACAAATCAGTGCATGGTCATTCTGGAAGAATAAATGAAGGAGATTAGCAAAAAAAAAGAAAAAAAAAAGAAGTAGCAGCATGTTACAGAGTGATGAGGATTATTTTAGGCTGGTTACTTTTAAAAACTGCAGATGAGAAGGGGGCTCCAAGGAGTGGAATTTGCTTGCCCTTCAGATGAGAGACATTTGCATTTGTGAAGGAAGTCTCCATCTGTGGGGGTTGTCTCCCTTGGCACCAGGAGGAAGGGGGGATGGCCTTATCTCTGGAAACTCTTAACGGGGAAGGCAAGGACTTAAGTTATTTACTGTCTGGCAACCTCATGTAACTGACCACCCCCCCAACATCCTCCTTTGTCTTTAGCTGAAGATAATATTTAAGCGGTGGCTTCTGTCATTTACTTAATCCGGTTTGATTCTTATCTAAAAGTTATAGGACCACCCAATAACCAGGCCCTACTGGCACTGATACCATTTTAACAACTCTTTTTACATATTCTTTCCTTTGTCTCATAAAGAGATAACTCACATACCTATGCCTTAAATTTAGCCTTACTCTCCACCCATGTTTGCAGCAGAAGCGGCAGCAGGAGCTCCCCATGCCAGCAGCACCTCCTCCTGCCCTTGGGTCCCGTTCCCATGCTATTCCACACTATTCTCTAAATAAAACAGCACTACTGCCAGACCTTGAGAGTCCAAGAAATCTTTCTTTCGACTCCTTGGCTCACCGACCACGCATCATAGAGTAGTATGAATAGCTTGCTATTTTTGAAAAATACACCAATTTACATGTCGATTGTAAACATACGTTAAAAATGTCCGTCGGCATCATCTAAGTATCACTGTGAATTTTCAGTTTGCTGATTTGCTTTTCTACAGTGCCTCACCTTCCTGTAAGGCCTGCGGGCCTCCGTACTCGTTTAAAAGCTCAGCTCTGCCCTGTGGGAGCAGCCCGCCCCCCTGGCATCTCTGTTCAGAGGAACATCGCCGAGGTCCCTGAGCGGGAGTCGAGGGGGTGGGGGAGTGGTGACTGGGGTCAAACGTCAACCACAAATTCCGTGCGTTTGATGAGCTAAAAAAAAAAAAAAAACGTCAAAGGCAAGCCCTGGGCTTGGAAAGGCAGAGGCCACAGGTGGGAGTCGGCACCGGCAGCACCCCTGGACTCGGCCTCCTGCTGCCCTGGAGACAGAATCGCTCTTCTCAGTTCACAGCGCTATCAGCTATCGCGTTCGTTGGTTGGAGGCCGACAATCCCGGAGTTCGTGCTATGTGTCTACTATGGAGGCTTAGTTGCAGGTGTGGGTCCAGCGGCCATCCCCGGGGAGGAGGAGCGAGGAGAGCAGGCGCTGATGGCAGCTTCCGGCAGGTCCGGAGCACAAGGGCCCGTCCTCAGGAACACCGCTGGCGGCTCTTCACGCCCGCAGGTGGAATGCCTGGGCGGTGGGGGGAAAGCTGCGAAGTGGCACCAAGTTCAGATTCCGATCCGGCTCAGCTTGGCTCGCCAAGGCAAGGGAAGCTGCTTGGAGAGAGCCTACTAACTGCTGCAGGATCCAGGCCAGAGCAGAAGATTCTGGAAAGACCCAAGGCCCGTAAGGCCTGTGAAGGGAGCTGAGGGCTCGGCTTGTGGAGGACCGGCCCCCTCGGCCCTGCGACTCCTCTTCAGCTGCGTCTTCTCCTCCTCGCTCTCTCTTCAGCTCCTGCCCCTGGTTCTCTCAGTGCCCCCAGGAGAGCCTGCTATGGCCAAGACCACAGGGCCATCTGTCTGGATTCTCTGTGGCCTTGACCCCACCATCTCAAAGCTCCACCGTCTCTGGGCTTCTGGCCACAGCTCCCACCGTGGCACTCGCTGCATGCCTGCTGACAGCTGCTCTGTGCCGTGGCCCTCGTCCTGTCCGCCCCGGGGATTCCGTCCTGCCTCAGCCTGTTTATCCTCTCTTGCATGGTCTCCTCCACTCCCACCCTCTTTGGCCGTGTGGCCTGTCCTGACATCTCCACCTCCCACCTTTTCCTGCATTTTCCCACCTCCATGTCCACTTGCGTGTCAGTCATCTCCTCCCAGTATCCCCTAAATTCCTCAGACGCCCACATACGCAACGCAGCATTCATTATCGTGGTTTCTCCCAGCATTTGCGTCTCGGCTGCCCTTGCCCCCAGCCCACTTCTCCCCCGTCATCTCCTGTCTGGTTGAGGGCGCCATCATGCTAGAACTGCTCCAGCTGCAAACGGCATTGTCAGCTCCAGAAGCTCAGCTCCTGCGGGTCCCCTCTCTGGCTAGAACACACTGCAGAGGCCCTTTTCCTCGCTGTAGCCGTCATTGTTGCCGGTAGAGAGGAAGGAATGTGGAGACAAGATTTGGGAGGTGGGGGGCTGGCCCCGTGGCTGAGTGGTTAAGTTTGCACACTTCGCTGCAGGCGGCCCAGTGTTTCGTTGGTTCGAATCCTGGGCGTGGACATGGCACTGCTCATCAAACCACACTGAGGCAGCGCCCCACATGCCACAACTAGAAGGACCCACAACGAAGAATATACAACTATGTACCAGGGGGCTTTGGGGATAAAAAGGAAAAAAATCAAATAAAAAAAAAATTCTAAAAAAAAAAAAAGATTTGGGAGTGGGTCTCAAGGAAGTGGGAAGAAGGGGTGTGGCCAGGGCTGCGAGATGGACAGGGAGCTTTCTCAGACCTTCGTCACAGGTTGCACAAACACAAGGCCCAGCTTCCGCCCTCCTCTTGGTCTGATGGCCGCTCCCCGGCCCTCCTTGTTCAACAGCAGCTGCAAGTCAGGGAGGCCACCCGGCCTGCTTGGACCATGGCCGCCCCTCACTCAGTTTCCAGGGCTTCTCCACAGGGTCCGGCCCAGCTCTCTGGGCTACTACTCCAGCCTTGGGAAAGGTCTCACAGGAATAAAAAAAGCACGCTGCCACCTGGCCTGGGGACTGTGCGTGGGGAGCTGGGGTCAATGGGTAGGATCCCAGCAAGGCGCCCGCCTCCACGCTCCCATGGGGCAGGCAGAGCCCTCGCTGGCCCACCTCTAGGTTCTGGTTCACGTCACTCCCTTCTCCCTTCTCACTACACTGCCCGGTTCCAGCCTTGGTGGGGTCACCGGGCTTCTGCGGCACCACCCCACCGGTCACCCTGCGGCAATCTCTGCTGTCTTCAGACCGTCCTCCACTTTGTTCCAGAACACTGCCAGGTCTTGCTCCTCTTCTGCTCAAACATCTTGATGGTATCTCGTTTTCTCAGGACTAAGTCCAGGATTTTCCACGTGGCACATGATGTTCCCGGGGTTGGATCCGGACCCCTTTCCTGCCATATCTCTGATGTCCAGTGGGCGCCCACAGATGATGGAAGGGATTTTATGACATAATATCTATCATGTCATTGTGAATGTGTATGTTACACTAATAACACATACATATACATATAACATCTTACTGTGACACTGTTATTAGAACAATTACATCTTGTAACTGCTCAGGAGTCTGCTTCCCCTAATACAAGCAAAGTCTGTTAGCCCTGTATCTCTCTGGCCTTCCCTCCAAATCCATAGAAGCTGCTTAATAAATGATACGAATGGTTAGTGCAGAGCCCGTTCACTGCGGGCGTAGAGTAATGAATTGCGAGAGAACGGATCACGGAGCTGCTACAGCCAACGCCTTCGAGTGAAATAACACTGTTAACACTGAACACCCACCGCTGGCCCTCAAGTGAGGGACCCGGAACAAAATCCTCATGAGGATGGAGCGGAGAGTGTGAGGCAATCATGAAATAAACCAACGCTATTTGGCCAATAGAATAGAAACTTTTCAATGGAGAAAACTCAGTAAAAATACACAGCTCCAGATGCAAGGATTCTAGCCACCCTGAGTGCCCTTGGGGAGATCAGTGTGAACTAGCTCAATCGGCCGAGGTGAGAACCGGGCAGACCCATGGCGCATGGACTCAGTCCAGGAGGTAGGGTTTGGGAGAACCTAGGCTGGGAAGACCTTGTCCCTTAACACTTGGATTTAAAAATCCAGTGGGTTAGTACCTTGATAGAAAGAGTAGAATGCACTGGGGACACTGACAACCAGAAGCCAGATGCCCACCCAGAGGTTGCCGTCCCTGGCACAGCCTGCTTGGCCGTGCTGGGAGAGCAGGGCTGAGAATTAGCTCTTTGTCCCATTGTCCTTTCCAGGGCCTCTGCCCACAGACCACCCCCTCCCACAGAGGTCCCAGGGCGCCACGCTCTGGCTGGGCTCCAGATCCGTCCAGCGAAAGCCGCCGGGCCAGGGCTGCGTTGGGGCCGTGTGGCATAGGGAGGGTCCTCGTGGGTCTGGACTGTCCTGACCAACAGAAGCAGCCCCAGCACCAAGGCAGAGAGAGGTGCCCATGTGACGTGGTCAAATGCACTTCAGTTCCGATCTGAAGCACTGTGACGACTAATCATGTTTGACTAGCACAGTTCCCCGAGAGAGCAAATTTTCGGGAAAAAGAAATCAATAAAGAGCCGCGGCAGCATGTCTTGGGGATGGGAGCCCTGTTTACACTAGTGTTTCTTTCATTAATTCAGAAAGCATCCATCCGGGGCCCCGCCCATGCAGTTAGACAGCCAGTGACGGTTCTGAGAACTGGGGACAATGCAGAACCATCCAGTGACCAGGGGCCAGAACCAAGTCCCTTTGCTGCTGTTGCCCTTGTCAACGGTATGGACTCAAATCTCCCAGGTAATTGAGACCCACACTTCCTTTCACCTTCGTCGCATGGGCGTGGGCACTGGCCAAAATGTCTCCTGGCCTTTACTTTCTAAGTTGAAGACCCCGCTGGTGCCATTCGGGGGCTCGGTGCTGGCTGGCTTCATTTTGGAAACGGGAGTGCTGAGAGTTTTCTCCGCTTCCCCTCCCCAAGGGCGGCTTATTGAAAAGCGGCGTCTCACCTTGAGGTCCGGGATCCCGTAGCCCTTCTTGAGGGTGATCTGAAACACATCCAGGGCGCTGATGTACGCGGCCAGGCGCGAGAGGCTCTGCTTGCCGCTGCCGCCCACCCCCACCAGCAGGGCGTTACCCCGGGGAGACTCCAGGATGCGATTGATCCTGCAGATGTGAGCCACGGCGTCTTCAAACAGCACCTGGAGACACCGAGAGAGGCCTCGACATGGCACCATGCGTGGACTCACCTCCTTGCAGAGCACGGGGTCTCATCAGTCCCCCAGCAACGTTTGCCGTGAGTTACACAGCCCCAGAGTGCCATTGGGATGTTTACAATGAGACAGAAGGAGAAATCCGCATCCGGTGCTGTCAGCTCGAGCACTACTCACCAAGTTCATGACCGCATTGACTTCGTTGTAACTGTCCAGGACGTCCACTAGGAGCTTGTTCAGGTGAGCCGTGTCAGTTACCGAGAAGTATTTGGGATCGCCGATCCCTTGAGCAAAGTGGCAGAAGATATTTGGTTTGGCAAATAAGAGCTCATCGCCAAGATCCTAGACACGAGAGAGAGGATGCTTGTGCTGTTTGCCACCACGGGCACACAGATAGTCAACAGCAGCCTTAGCTCCTTACCATGGTCACGTCAGGATGCCAGGCCGTCTTCAGGGGCCCAAACCACTGCTGCCAGGGGCTGTGCAAACCACTGGACAAAATTCCCTGATGAGCTGGTCCAATCCCCATCATATCAGGAATGAACTGATCATCCAAAAAAGGCAATTGTGCCAAGAAAACCCAGGACACCGGAGCCGAGCACAGTGACCCCAGCAGGGTCGTCCTCCGCTCCAAGTGGATGGAGTGAGGTCATCACGGCCCGATCTACTGAGGGATCAATTTCTTCTCACTCAGATGGACCCCCTCGTGACAGAGTCATTTTGTGGGACCCAATGTGGTCCTTCCCATCCCAACCCAAGGGCCCTTCCGAGAGGGCTGGGGTTATCATTGGCCCCAGGCACTCTGCCCGCTTGGAGCCTGTCTGGGCTCAGCAGAGGAACTTGGTGGCTTGACTTACATCAAAGAATTTCTTGGTGGAAGCAATGGTGATTCTGCGCAATATTTCCTGGTCTTTTTCCTCAACCATTTTGTCACCGTACACTCTTTCAGCTTCATGCAGCCAGAGGCGAACGAGGTCAAGCGGGGTTTTCAGGACCTCTGCTGTGGAGAATAAGAGGCCCTGCCCCGGACACAGCATGGTCAGCATCTTTAGCTGGGCTACCGGGAAAGCCAAGTGCTGTACGTAGATGAAATGAGAAGATGGGCACTTCCCCGGGGAGTGATCCACTAAGGTCCTGATGCGATGTCTACTCAGGGCCAGGAAAGCCACTGATTGCCAAGACCATGCAAATCCTGGAGGCTGGAGGGGGTGTCTGTGGCCTGAGGGACGGGGGGAAGTTTTCCTCACAGGACAGGGCTGAGGGCTTCATCCTTTAATGGGGTGGCTGGTAGAGAAGGGGTAAGAGAGGCTGATCGTGGAGGGGAGCCAGACTACCAAAGGCACAGAAAAGTGGGTTACAAACTTGGGCTCTGCAGGAAGCCTGGCTGGGCCCAGTCCTGCCTTGGCCATTTGCCAACCAAGTGACCTGGGCGAGTTCAACAGGTGCTTATTGAGGGTCTGCACTCTCCTGGGCTCTGGGAACACAGTGACAACACAACAGACCCTACCTTCATGGAGTTGGTGTTCTAGTAGGGAGATGTAACTAGGCAAACAAAATAACAAGGTAATTGCACATTGCGATGGGTGCTATGAATGACATAAACAGAGGCAGCGAGACAGGGTGCATAGGGATGAGGAGGGGCCTCTTGAGGGCGTGACATTTGAGCTGACACTTGAAGTGGGAGGAGATGGGCATGACTTAACCTCTCTGAGACTTGGGCTCCCCTTCTGTAAAATGGGAACGTTTGAACATATTACATGTTGTTTGGAGGAGAAAATAGAGGTGTAAGTGGCCAAACCCAGTGCTAGGCTCACACTAAACAGTCGATAAATAAGAGGAAACATCATCACTGTCATCACCACCACCACCACCGTTATCATCATCACCGTCACCATCCTTGTCACTATCACCATCATCACTATTACCATCAATTATCATCATCACTATTACCATCACTGTCGCTATTACCATCATCACCATCATCACCATCATCATCATCGTCATCGTTATCATCATCGTCACCATCAACACTATCATCATCATCACCACCATCAGTATCCTCATCATCACCACCAATTATCCTCATCACCATCACTGTCACCAATACTATTATCACCATCATCATCACCATCACTATCATTACCAGCATTGTCACCATCACCACCATTGTCATCATACTATCATCATCGTCATTATCACCCTCATCACTATCATTACCATCCTCATCATTATCACCATCGATATCATTATCACCATCATTATCACTGTCACCATCACCACTACCATCATCACCATCATCATTAATATCATCACCATCACTGTCGTCAGTTCATAGGTCACTTTGTTTTCTCTCCTGAGAGCAGCAAGGAGGAGAGCACCTGTGGATCAGGGACTTGGCCATAAGGTGGCATGACATAGAGCTAAAAGAGCAGGTACCTGGAAAATATTGGAGAGGTCCCTGAGGTTGAAGACATAGTGAAACTTAATGGCGGTAGGAAGAAATGTCGTTGTGACCTTCTGATGCAGGGCTGTTATAGGAAAAAGACACATCGATTCTTATGTACTCTTAATGGCCTCAGGAAGCGCAAAGCTTCAGATATAGTTTCTAAAGCAAATGGACTATCAAATGGTGACTTAAGTAAGAATGTGCGCAGCTGAGGAGGGAAGAAGTCTGCCGCCCTCCTGACGTGTAAATCGTTTCTGTATGCTGAACTTCCTATCCTCTGCCTCCCCCTCTAGCAATCGGATTTCACTATAAGCTCCTCTTGAAACATAGCATCGTTTAAAAATATTGATTTAAAAGTATAAATAAAATATTTACCGGGGGAAAATCTGAAGAAGCCATCAGCCCCATAAAGCAGTGGGTTTTAATGACAGGAGAGGAGATGGCCAGCTTACCCAGGGCCGAGGCCACCAGCTGGTTGCTCATCCTCTGAACCACCATGGGGACCGAGCGAAAGGCCAGGTGCTGGGACAGGATCGTGTTGTAGATGGTCGCGAGGGCCTCCTGGCCCGGGAAGCTCACGGCAAACACGCAGAAGTGGCGCTGTCCGGAACAACCACAAACCCGCGTCAGGCAGCTCTCGGGCACCAGCTCACGGCCCGGGCCACCTTCTTGGGAGCAGACTCTGTCCTCATCGTCTAAGGTCTTTTGAGCATGATCAGAATGGACAGTTTCCCTCCCCGTGTCTTGTATGTGGTAAAATTCCATTAAATATTGATTATATCTGAATCAGCCAAGTTTACTTCATGCTCTCAAGACAAATGTTGGCAGAGGCAAGAGCATGTCTCAGAGCACAGACCTGGGTTTGTATTCCGGGTCTCCATCTGCTTAGATAATTCAGAGGTGAGGTCCTGCCTGGGTGGGGTTGCAGATACAACACAGAATATCCTGTTAAATCTGAATTTCAGATAAGCAACAAATAATTTTTTTTTTTTAGTATAAGAATGTCCCAGATATTGTACGGGACATGCTTATGCTAAACAAATATTTGCTGTTTATCTGAAATTCAGATTTGACTGGGCGTCTGTATTGTTATTTGCTAAATCTGGCAGCCCTTTGGGATCACAGGGAGGGCTGGCTAGCCTCTTGACACCCCCGCTCCCCAGAATTTCCTGACACGTTCTGAAAGGTTGGGGAGTTCTCTGGAGGATGTCAGCCCGCAACCCTAACAGCCCAGATCAATGCTTTGACTCTCATTTGCCTAAGGGAGCCTCAGACCCACGGCAGCTGAGCGAACCGAGATTGACTGCTGCCTACCTGAAGCCTGGGGTCGATGGTGAAGGATCCAGAAGTGGGATTCATGCACGCCACATACTGGCAGTTATGGACATCTTTCAGTGTCAGCTTCTGTCTGTCATACCTGCACGAGGGAGACCAGTGTAGAGGTGTGCCACCGGCCTGGAGGAGCCATCTCCGGCCCCCCACCCTACTCCAATAATGCCTTGCATGTGGTTAAAAAAAAACCCCAATAAATATGAATTATATGTGAAACAGCCAATTTTGCTTCATGCTGTCAAGAAAAATCTTTAAACAGGAGGCAACAGAGTGGCTTAGCGTGTAGGTCTGGGTTCAAACTCTAGCTCTTCCATTTAGTAGCATCGGGACCCTAGGTAAGCTGGTTACCCTCTCGTGCCTCAGTATCTCATCTGTGCAACGAGTCATTATGAGGATGGAATGAGCTAACACACGCAAACACACTTGGGAAGTACCTGAAATACAGCAAGTGTTTAATAAATGTTTACCACCCCCCCCCCACAATCATTGTAGTTATTAATCACTATGATTATGATTATTAAATAGGCAGAATAATTTCCTTGATGCCAGGGCACTGCTAAACCTTCCAGGGGCTCAGATGGGTTTAAAGGATATGAAGAGTTTGCGCGTCTTTTCATGTACTTGACCTTTTGGGTTTTCCCCCATGATGCATTTGTTCCCGTTGGGGGTTGCTGCCTGTTCTTGCAGCTTTACAGGAATTCCTTGACCACTCCAGATAATCCTCCACTGTCAGTTTTAGACACTGCAAGCATTACTCCCATTCTGTAAACTCTGTGTGTAGGTTTGCCCCTGGTGTCTCTTGAGAACAAAAGTCCTTAATTTCTATGTAAATCAAAGTAGTCCTGTTTTGGCCTCTACTTTCTGCTTCGGAAACTTGTGTTAAGAAGGCCTTCCCTCTGCAGGTCACGGAGACCTTCTCCTCGGTTTTCTTCTGCCGACCTCCTACTCTCTCCTTTCGCTTGTGGGTCTGCACTCCACAGGGGCCGCACCCTCGTCTACGTGCCAGCTGGTGTTCGGAGCTGCTGTTCCTTCCACACTTGCTGACAGAGCCACTGAGCAGCCCACCCTTCCCTGTTGGTCGTGGGGCCACCTTTCTCTGATATTCTAGAGGGATCTTTCACATCTGACTATGCCTCCCCCTCCTACAGATCCTTCAGGATAAACTCGGGCAGGTGTGGACCCAGGGCTGAAGCCTCCTGACTCTGAGGGCCCTTTTGAAAGAAAAGAATACAAAATATCTCAGTTTAGCAAATTCTGCAGGAATGCGTGACCCGATGAACCCACTCTGAGGGCGTGGAACTGGGGGCTTCCCGGGCCTCACAGTGGCGCCCCCTTGAGGGGACATGGGCGGCCCTCACAGTCTCTCTCCTGTCTTCCCCTCCTGCCTCCTCCCCTCAGCACGTGTTCTCGGCCCTGGCCATCCCACACCACTATCAGCTCCTCAAAGACGTGGAGCTCTCTCCAGGCCCCGCTCAGGGTGTCGCTCTTGGCCCGGCTGTCACCTCCCCGCAGCTCGCCCTCGCTTTTCTGCTGTCCGTGCGGGTTCCCACAGCCCGCTAGCGCTGTGAGCGGGCGCCGGGTAGCGGGGGAAAGGCAGGCGATGGAGTCAGACGATCATGGGCCTGACATCCAGCTCTGCCGCTCCTTGGGGCTGGGACCGAGAGGAGGCGACCACCCCTTGGTGCCTCTGTTTCTTGGCAGTAAGGGGCAGACTCTGAGCATCCTCTGACTGACTTCTGAAGGGATTTCTCAGGTTCCTTTACTTTGAGAACCCCCAGGCGTACCCAGGCCACTTGCCAGATATTTCAAGAGACGCTTATTTTAACCGCACTAAATGTTCTGATCTTTCCAAACTGCAAACTTCAACCTGCCACCCTTGGCTTTCTGTTGCCCTGGGGAGAAAGCCTGTCCCCTGCCCAGTGGCCCATGGGTCCTGGGGTCCGGCTGCAGCTGCCCTGGGCGCCCCACCCTCTAGCCATCACCCTCCAGCCACGCTGGCCTCCTTTGGCTCCTCCACGTGCCATCCTCCCTCCTGCCCCAGGGCCGGTGCACGTGGCGTTTCTCTGCCCAGGACCCTCTCCCTTCAAGCTTGCACGGCCAGTCCCACCTCAGCCACCTGCTCGCAGCTGCAGTGCGGCCACCCCAGGAGTGTCTCTGAGCCAGCAGTGGGCTCCTCCCTGACCACCCTGGGGGTCTTCCCTGAGAGCTCTCCCTTCACTCTAACTGCACCTCTCTGCCTCCTCCACCAGATGGACACCTCGATGGAGGAGGGACCTGTCTGTGTCTGTGCTGCTCCGTGGGAGCTCTGGGAACAGCTGCCAGCCTGGGGCCTAGCAGACGCCCAGGGCTTGTCTGTGGAATGGATGAGGAGAGGAGACCCTGATGGACCCCCGGGCAGCCCTGTGGCCCCCTCCTGGCCCCTGAAGCCCTGCCCCTCACCTCAGCCCCACCCCCACTCACTTACCAGTGCCCATGGTCCATGTGCTGCCGGATGAGTGTGTGGGGGGCCACCGTCCCGTACTTGTCCACCTCCGGCATGTTCATGTCGTCGATGAAGTAGATTAGCTTCTTGGTGCCTGGTGGCCCATAGTTCCTCCCTGACTTCTTCTCCAGCGGCTTCTCCAGAACCCCTAGAGGAGGGAGCAGGTTGGCCATGCTGTGCCGGATAGACGCCGGGGGGCCCAGAGCCCCCTGCTCCCAGCCTCGGGCCCCCCGCACCCCTGCTCCTGGCCCTGACCCCCACCCCCGCATCCCTTCTCCCAGCCCTGGCCCCCCGACACACATCCTTGCTTCCAGCCCCGGCCCTGGCCTCACCCTGCAGCATGGCTGAGGTGGTGTAGAAGTTGAAGGGCACAGCCTGCACCAGGTAGCTGTCGCTGTCCAGGCTGTCCAGCTTGTCTCCCATCAGCACCGACTTGCCCGTGCCCGCATTCCCCACCAGCATCACCGGCCACGACTTCTCCATGAGTAAGTCCATGAAGTAGCGGATGCGGATGGTCTCGATGGTGTGCACCAGAGAGGCCTGGGGGGAGGGCAGGGACAGCGTTTCCTCCTGCTGACTTCTTGCAGACCCCAACAGAGGTCTTGGGGTTTGTTAAATCCCCAGGTTTACTGAAAAGGTCCCACTGTTGAAAATCGTTTGCACTTGGACATTCCATCAGGAAGCGTGGGCTGGGGCACCGAGTCTTGCTCCCAAATGGTCAGTAAATGGTCCCCACTCTGGGGAGGTTACCTGCAGTGGGACGTCGGGGTCCAGCTCGAAGGCGGGCACTTTGTCCGTCCACGGCAGGAACTTTTTGGTGTCAGGGTCTATGTAGTAGTCAAAGATGGTCCCCTGCGAGGGGAACTTGATCGTTTTAAACTCGTTGATCCACCATCTGCTGAACTCGACTCGATAATCTATGAGCTGTTAGAAAACAAAAACGAAGCCAGGGCCCAGCTAGAGGAGGTCGAGAGGCCCGTTCCCGGCGGCTGGGTCCCCTCGGCCGCGGCCGCTCACCTGGTCCTGGAACATGGCGCCGCCGAAGGCCCAGAAGCAGGCGAACACGAAGTAGAGCTCGTAGAGCTCCTTGGGGGAGTCGGGCGGCGCGTTCTTCTCCGTGAGCAGGCACTCGAGCAGGTACAGGATCATCTGGACGACCGTGACCTCGGGCACCGGCGTGATCTTCTTGAACCCAAAGCGCAGCTTGTCTAGGCACGTGGGCAGGTACTTGTCGAAGAGGATCATCAGGTTGGCCTTCTCCGACTGCACCTTGCGCCTCTCAATCCAGCTGCTCACCACCCTGGGGGAGACGGGAGGCGCCGGTGACGGGGCCACCACGTCCCTCTCGTTAGTGTACACCTCCTGGTGCCTCTACATCATTCTGGTGCTCCCGCCTGGCGATGAGGCCAGTCACAGACCTTAGGAGGGTCTCATGAGGATCCTGGGGGTGTGCTCGTTCTCTGGGATTCTAGCTGCGGGGGTGCTGTAAGCCTACAACAACTGGGAGCCATCTTTGCTGCCTCAAATGAAGCTAATATTGAGGGCAGGAGAGCTGAGTATAGGAGGAGAGAGGAGAGAAAGGTTTCATGACAATATCTGGTGGGGGGCAGGGAGAGAAAGGATGGGAAGGGAAGAGAAAGGAGAGAAGAGCAGGGATATCTTATTACACCATCTGGACTCCTGGATCCAGCCATGCCTGATGAATGCCCCGGTGAATTGAGCCAATAGACTTTTTTTGTGTGCTTCAGTGAGTTTGAGTTGAATTTGTCAGGTTCAGTGGAAGAGTCCAAACCCATGCAGCAGGCAATCCTGAGGAGCCATGGTGGGTTGTCTGGCACACAGCCACCTCTGGAGTGGGTGGCATAGAGGCGGTCCACCACAACGACAAGGGTGTGGACCCTGGAGCCCTGCTGCCTGGGTTTGTAATGGGCTCTACTTGGCCAGCAGTGGCCTTAGGCAAGTTACTCAACATGTCGGGGTCCCAGATTTCCCATCTGTAAATGGGAGTGAAGGTAATAACTCCCATTTCAGGGGACTGCCTGGGCTGATATTTACAAAGCCCGTGGAAGGGAGCGTGGTCCACAGCGAGTGCTAAGTAAGTATCCCCTAAAAGCATGCAGAGCGCCTGCTCCCTCGCCAGTCGAGGAGCCGTCATTTCCAGGATGGGAGCATAAGCAGGAAGCTCACGTCACCGAACAGCTCTCCTGGCCGCCCAGCCGACAGGCGCGCCCTTGTGTCTGCGAGTGAGCCAGCTGGAGCTCAGGCACGGGAAGCACTGCTTCTTACTGCCCCGCCATCAGACAGAGACACGAGAGCTCCAACCCTCTGCCCCACTGCACCCTGGATCATCCAGGAAAACCCATCAGGCCTTTAGACAATCCATGTCTGCACGCAAAACATGGGCCCCAGCGCCGGGCCAGTCGGGAGCTGGATTCCAAAGACAGTGGCTCTTCAGAATAGAGACCAATTTGCAAGTCTATACATAGACTGCAGCGTTTGCCTTCTGTTTTCAAGGCGGTTGTGTCAAATTTTAATTTTGCCTTGGTTGGAGTCATTTGGTGCATGCAAATGCGCATGCCGGCTTTGATTTGAAACTTGAGCCCGGAGAGACACACGGAGGATGAGTCGGCTTCCCTGCCGGTGCTGAGGCGGGCTCCTGGCCCTGCCCCCAGGCAGCTGGGACCCGTCAGGCCCTGGATCCTCGCTTCACTTCCCCCCAGGATGAGTTCTTCCACCATCTCGCCGCCTGAGTCACTGCTGCCCGGCAGCCACCTGCGGGAGCGGGAGCACAGCTCTCCCTCTGGGCTGGTGCTGGTCCGTCTCTCAGACTCTTCACTTCTCTCCTCCAGCAAAACTCGGGCCTCCCTCGTCCCCCACAAAGAGGCGCTCGTCTTCTTGATCACCCCTCTGGGGGCCCCAAGAACTGCTCCTGGCTGAAGGGCGTGTCTCGGGTTCCCACCTCTGCCTATACAGGCTTACCTGCTGGCTCTCTCTTCTCCACCCTGCCGGGCGTCCCCAGCGCGCCCCTCCAGCCCGGCCCCTTCTCATCCCTGCCTCTAACAGCTGCCACGCAGACTGTGTTTCTGGTCTCTTGCCTTGTCTGCTGCCCACCCTGAAAACTCTCAAACGTTGTGTAGTGGGCAGAATGGGGGCCCCCGCAAAAGACATGTCCACCCGGGACCTGTGGATGTGACCTTATTTGGAAAATGGGTCTTAGCACATGTGATCAAATTAAGGACCTGGAGATGAAGGCATCCTGGATTAGGGTGGGCCCTAATCCAATGACTGGTCCTTAGAAGGGGGAAGTTGGGACACAGAGGCACGCGCAGAGAGAAGATGGGCTGAGACACGGAGAAGACGGCCATGTGACTAGAGTGAGGTGCCTACAAGCCAAGGGACACCCAGGGTCACCGGCAGCCACCAGAAGCTGGGAGAGAGGCTGGAACAGATGCTCCCGCAGGGCCTCCAGAGCGACCAGCCCTGCCCACACCTTGATCTCGGACTTCTGGCCTCCGGAACTGGGAGAGAATAAACTTCCATTTTGGAAGCCACCCAGTTTGTGGTCCTTTGTCACAGCAGCCACAGGACACTGACAGAAGTGGGACAACAATGTTGCTAGAGAAGGTGACACAGCACTGCTGGGTCTCCATGGCCCTTCAGCCCCCTGTAGGTCAGGCCAGCCCCCCGTCCTGTCCCTGCAGAGGCCACTGTGCTCAGGTGCCCATCTCAGACCCTGGCCTTGCCATGTTCCGGCACTTGGTCTCACTTCCCACTGTGGAGGCTGAGAGGCTCATCACGCAGGAACCCCTGCACCTCCTCCCTCTCTCCGCCCACACACTTGCCCGCCCCTGGAAACACCCGTGCCTGCTCCCCATGCTCCAACATCACCCTCATCCTGAAAAAACAAACTTTCCTTCTCGTCGCCCCAGCTGCTACAAGACTCATTTCCAGAAAGAGCTGCATTTCTAGTGCCTCCTCCCAGTTCCTCCCCAATGAACCGCCACCTGGCTTCTGCCCCATCACGCCAAGAAGTTCTCCATCCTGTGCCACCCATGGGCTTCCAGCTGCAAGTCCAGTGGCAGCTTTTCTGTCCTTGGCTCCTGGACCCTCTGGATGTGACCCTCTCGACCCCACCGTCCTCCGGAAGCTTTTTCCTCCCGGGGTATGTGGGACGCCATCTCCCTTCTGCCTTTGGGGCTGATACTTCTGGAATCCCCCATGCATTTCTCTTCCTCTCAACACGGTCTTGGTTTCCAGACTTCTCTTGCCATTCTCCGCAGCTCTCCTGGAGAATCTAGTCCCCCTGCATGGAATTTCCTAGGGCCGGACACACAGTAGGTGCACAGAAAGTACAAGTTGGATGAATGAAGGAATGAACCGCCTGCAGCCAAGGCATTTCTCCTGAGCCTGTCGGCCCTGGAATGCTGCACCAGGATTCCTACTCAAGATGCGGAAGGGTGAGGCTCCCTGTCCTGGCACGCGCTCTGTCAGTGACCAGCCTTGTGTCAAGCAGGAGCACGTGCCTTCAGAGCGAAGTCTTCCATTTCTCAAGATTTCAACCATCGCAAACATCCATCCGTCCTCCCTCCCCATCCCCGGAGACCACCCACTGCCCACCGGCATGAGCAGCTCTCCTCTTCACGGCAGAAAGGGCCCCTGTATACTGGCCCTGCAGCTGGTCCAGCATCCTCACATTTCCTACCAAGAGCATCCTCGCGCTTCACGCTCCATCCAGGAAACCCGACCACTGCCTGGCCCTGGGAACCTCACGCTCTCGCCCCCCACGTCCCTGTAAAGGCTGGTTCCCGCCTGGAGTGCTCCCCCCAGTTTTTGTCCACCTGGAAACTTCCCTCTCCTCTCAGGTGTCAACTCCTCCAGGAAGACTTCCTGTCTCCAAGACAGGCTTCGCCCCTCCCCCCTTACCCTTGGTGCAACCTTCCCTTTCATTGGCTGCCATGTTGGAGCCTCACTGTGCATTCGCATCACTTATTTACACGTCTGTCCCTCATCCTTTCGCCACCATGACCCTGGTGCCTGGGGAGGGCCCAGCACACGGTACTTATCGCATGAATGAATGAATGAATGAACGCATGCAGGTGTCCCTCTGCACCTCGTCTTTCTCTGCCACAGTTTGGAGCAGGAGAACTAAAATCCCACTCACGGGTTCCAGCCTAGGTCAGCAGGGTTGATGTAGAGGATGCCAGCTCTGGAGACGGTGGCCGGGGTGGCTGTCCTCAGGTGGCTGATCTCGAACACCAGCCTCATGGTGCGGTTCAGGGGGATCCGCTCGTTGCTGGCCAGGGTGAGGACCTGGGAAGGGAGACTGGCCTGTGAGTTTTCAGCGGCACGTGGCTGTCGTCCTGATGGTGCGTCACACGATGCCTCTCAGAACCAGGAGGAGGGAGCCAGGGAGCCCGCACCCACGCCCCACAGCTGACCAGCTTCCCCCAACCCGGCGTTTCTCAGCCGTCCCTGATGCCAGTGCCCCCACCCACCCCGGGACAATGCGAGAGGCTTCCAGACGGGTGCACCAGGTAGGACTTCCCTGTGATAGTAAATCTGCTTTTTCTAACCGTGACCCCTCCCCTTCCCCGGGAATTCCTGAGTTCCCTCCACCTGACTGAGAACCCTTTTCTTAAGTTACTTCTAGATAATTCTGAATGCTGTTTCTGCCTTCTAGGATATTAGCTATCCTTTCCACGTTATGCCATATGTCAATTAGACAAGGATGCTTTCCACATTTGCACCCTTTACCCATGCTGCTGCTGCTGGAAAATACCTAAGACAGGGCACACAGGACAGGGCGTCATATGAGGAGCACATCTCGTGACCGGGGACTTGCCCTGTTCATAATTTTTTGCGCAGAGTTCCAGACAGACCCCCCCCCCCCCGCCAAGTCCCAGTCTACGGCAGGTTCTGTCTGTCATGTGTGGCAGGTGGTGAAGTGTGGCATTTCCCTCGAGCTCCCCCCAGTTATTGTGGTTTTGGGGTTAGCTCTGGAATCCAGGAGTCCTTCGAACCTTGTTGTCATCCATGACAGTGTTGAGAGATTCAATCCACATGGGGTCTATGTCCCCATCCAGGACGATCCACTTGGGGCCATCGTGAGTGATGTTGGCCAGGTCCCGCATTATGGTGGAGAAAAGGCCTAAGAGAGAGCACAGCTGGTGTGAGCGAGCAGGGCTGGTGTGAGTGAGCAGGGCTGGTGTGAGCAGGCTGGTGAGAGTGAGCAGGGCTGGTGTGAGTGAGCAGGGCTGGTGTGAGCCAGCAGGGCTGGTGTGAGTGAGCAGGGCTGGTGTGAGCAGGCTGGTGTGAGTGATCAGCACTGGTGTGAGTGAGCAGGGCTGGTGTGAGTGAGCAGGGCTGGTGTGAGCAGGCTCGTGTGAGTGATCAGCACTGGTGTGAGTGAGCAGGGCTGGTGTTAGCAGGCTGGTGTGAGCCAGCAGGGCTGGTGTGAGTGAGCAGGGCTGGTTAGAGCAGGTTAGTGTGAATGAGCAGGGCTGGTGTGAGTGAGCAGGGCTGGTGTGAGTGAGCAGGCCTGTGTGAGCAGGCTGGTGTGAGTGAGCAGGGCTGGTGTGAGCAGGCTGGTGTGAGTGATCAGCACTGGTGTGAGTGAGCAGGGCTGGTGTGAGTGAGCAGGCCTGTGTGAGCAGGCTGGTGTGAGTGAGCAGGGCTGGTGTGAGCAGGCTGGTGTGAGTGAGCAGCACTGGTGTGAGTGAGCAGGCTGGTTGAATGAGCAGACTTGCAAGCAGCCAACAGCAGACCAGGTGCTCTCTGAAGTGCTCTCTGAGGCCACGGAGGCTGAGACCAACCTTGTCCCCTTCAGTCCCCACTGGGCCTGACCCTGGCCTCTCTCTCCTGGAGGTGGCCTGTCCCTGCTTCAGAGGGACAGCAGAGGCCCTCACACAGGAGGCCATGGGCTCATTTCCCACCCTTGTCCTTGACCCTGAGGACCCTCTTTTATGTCCGCACCCCAGGCCCTGCCCTTTGCCCTCCTCTGACCCTGCCAAGGCCTGCCCCCACTCCAGTCTTGTTCAGTTCTTTGAGGTTCAGCACCCCTACGTGGAACATGACCCACACTCGGCACTCTACCCTTCCATTCCTTCCTTCCTTCCTTCCTTCATTCAACAAAGGTCTGCTGAGCACTCTCAATGTGTCAGGCTCGGAGCAGGGGACTTGGGAACAATCAGAGCCCCTGCCAACCTCCATGGAAGTGCATTCTAGTGGGGGAGAAACGAAAGATACAGATGCAGATATAGACATGTCACATGACAGGAAGGGTGACCAAGCCACGAAGAGAAAGCAGGGCAAGGGGTAGAGAAGGAGTAGGGGCTGGGGAGGCCTCTTGAGGCAGGACGCAGGAGCAGAGCCCCCTCTGGGTTCCAGTCTAGGAGGGGGACGCACGGAGGCTCTGACGGGGTGAGTGTGGGCAGCATCCCCCTGGAGCCATGTGCCCTGCCTCTTCCATCCTCCTCAGTGCCCATCTATCCACCTGGACTGTGTCTTGGGCGCCCCGAACCTCCCGACCCCTGTCCGCACCCCCAGCCTCTCCAGCCCCTCCTCCAGTGTCCCCTGAGTTCTCTCTACAAAGTGCAAACCCCGTCAAACCCCTTCCTTGGAGAAACTCCTTTCCCAGCACCCCACGGCTCCGGGGCCGCCACAACCAGGCTCAAGCCTGCTTTCCAGGCTCGCCTCCCAACCGCCTCGGGGAGGGGGCCCCTTCCCCTTGGCCTGCTCAGGGCAGGACCGCTGATGCTCAAGCATCCCAAGTCCTTGTGGCTTCCAATTCCTCCCAACCTGGGGGTGGGGATCCATGTTCTCACAGCTTTCATAAGCACCGTCATCGTGCGCCGTGTGTGTGTGTGTGTGTGTGTGTGTGTGTGCTGCCCCGCCCCAGGCCTGCTGAGGGTCTTTCTCAGGGGCCTCGCCAGGCACGCGGGAAAGTCTCACACGTTCACAGCATGGAGCACGGCCGAGTGACCAGAATCAAGTGGGCCCGGGTGTGATGCCTGGGGACCCCACGCCCTGCTCGGCCCCTGGGGCCAGCGCTCCAGTACCGTCTTTCCATTCCCTGGTCGCCGGGTTGATGATGCCAAAGAGCTCGTCGCAGGTGACGGCCTTGGGGTCCAGGTCCACGGCGACCGGCTTCCTCTTCAGGTTCTGATAGGTCTTGTTGAGCGACCTGAGGACCTGCGTGGAGGCGGAGGCGTTCACGGGGGCTGCTGGGGCGCCATCCACACGTGGGAGGGGCCCCTCGTGCGAACCACAGGCAGAATCCCTGCTCTGGTCTGTTTTGCTTTGATGACACACTGGTGAGTTTGTCCCCCTAACAACGACCCGGGTGACAGGAAGTGAGCTGTAAACCTTCTCATCTGCAGACGGCAAAGCCGCTTGCCTGGAGACCACGCTAAGACCTGGGACAATTTTCATGAGTTTCCTGATGATAAAAGTAAAATGTGCTCATCGAAAAACAAACTAAGAGGGGGCTGGCCCTGTGGCGGAGTGGTTAAGTTCATGTGCTCTGCTTCGATGGCCCGGGGTTCACGGGCTCGGATCCTGGGCATGGACCTGTGCACCGCTCATCAAGCCATGTTGTGGCAGCAACCCGCATAGAAGAACTGGAATGACTCACAACTAGGATATACAGCTATGTACTGGGGCTTTGGGGAGAAAAAAGAAAGAGGAAGCTTGGCAACAGATGTTAGCTCGGGGCCAATCTTTCTCACCAAAAAAGAAAAAAAACCCGGAACTTTAAAAAAAAAAAAAGAAAAACAAATTAAGAGAAAAAAATGACCCATAATTCCTCCACCCAGATGAAAGGGCTTTTAAGGACATTTGAGGATGTTTCATATGTATATGTGTGTAAACAGACAGATATACATATATATATATTTTTTTTTTTTTTAGAAAATTGTGTTCATACGGTTTCTGCCTTTTAAAAAATAACTTGCTGTGAGCGTCCCAAGGTTACTAGTCTTGGGAAATGACCTTTAAGAATAGCATAACAGTCTATCCTGTGGGCGTCTAGCTGAACTCTTGGCTGGTTTAGAATTTTCCGGTGTTACAGATATTAGTGACATTGGCCACCACGCCCTGCTTTTCACCATGCCCCGGGCAATGGCAGGGGACAGGAGGTTGGCGGATGGGGGGCTGGTGCAGGGAGGCAGGCGGGGCCAGGAGGGCAGGGAGCTGGCCGCAGGAAGGCAAGTGACTGGTGTCGAGAGGGAAGGAGCAGGAAGATCAGAGAACCGAGGAGGAGCAGGGCCTCATCAGTGGACCAGCGTCCCATGGCCGCTCCTCGCCTCCTCCTCTACCCTCCCACAGCTTCCTTCCTGGCCCACGACACCTTTCGAGCCCCGGATGCACTGGGCTGGGGCCCCTGGGGTGGGGACCACTGTGCTGGAACCATGCAGGGCCCTTCGAGGAGGCCCAGGGCGCGGCCGCGAGGGTGGCGTGCCTGAGACTTGCCGCTGCCTGCGTTCCCGATGACGAACACGGAGTGCCGGACCTGCAACAGCTCCTCCAGCTGCACGACCTTCAGCACGAAGCTGTCCTCTGCCTGCAGCTTGAGCTCCACAACGCTCTGCTTGATGATCTGGGGGGGACATGCAGGACGGGGCCTGAGCCTGTGGTGCAAGGACCAGGTGGCCTTTCTGGGTAGGGGAGCTTCCTGCCTAGCGGAACATGCCAGAAGAAAATGGCGGCCCTCCGGCGTGGATGTTTGCAGGTCCTGCCATTGACGCTACTGAGACCTCCGTGCAGGGGCTGGGTTTGCCCCAAGCCCCCTTGGGTTCCTTGCTCAACTCCCTAGTGTTGAGACAGGGCTGGCCAGGGCTGGTGAGGCGGCCTGTGGGCTCAGGGTGTTTCTCGTAGCAGAGGGAGCCGTGCGTGTGTGTCCATCGCTGGCTGGCAGACGTGGCCACCTACCCCAATGCTGCCCCTGACTCTGAGGTACCAACCCGACACGTGATGGAAAGAGCCGTCCTTGGCAGGCGGGAGGCCCTGGTGCGGCTGGGCTTCCAGGCTGGACTCGAGGTCCTGCAGAACCTACCTTTTCAAAGTTCAGGTCCCGTTTCCGAGGCACGTCCAGGGCTGGGAAGAGGTCCCCGATCAGCCCCATGAACACGGGCAGGTCGTCGGTCACGATCTTGGGGATGTTGAAGTCCCTCAGTGCCCTCATGAGCACCTGGTCCTCTGCCCGGCTGGGGTCGCCCCTCTTCAGGGAGCCAGCCACCACCAGCACGGACTTGATGGCTCGCAAGCCCCAGTCATAATGATCCTGTGGGCAGAGCGTCGGGTGCACGGCCGTGAGCACGCCTTCTCACACTGGCCAGTGGGGGGCGCTACTGGCACGTGTGGAGGCTTCACCGGGCCAGTGTGGAAGCCAGTCTGGGTCAACGGAGTCTTTAATGTTGTCCCGCCCCACCCTGTGGGCCCCAGGACACTGTCTACACACCTGCTTCGAGAGCAGCTCTTTGCACAAGGTGTAGAGTGTGATGAACTTCCTGGCCAGCAGGCGGGCTTCCAGAAAGCCCTCGGCCACCAGCATGATCTCGCATATCAGCTCAAAGTCGGGGACCACCATAGCACAGGGCCTGGGGGAGATAGCGGGGTCTGCCTGGGCTCCTTCCTCTTCCTCCCACGCCCCACCTGCCCCTCCTCAGCTAGGTGCACACCCCTGCCAGGAGGCCCACACCATCACTGGTCAAGATTCTAGGGCCAGGTGTCGGACTCCCGGCCCTGCTCCCCTCTCCCCTGCCCACCTCTCTTGTTCCCCCACACCCTCCACATGGAGGGTCTCCAGGCCCTGCAGTCACTCCATGCGACCCCTCTGAGAGTCGCCCTGAACCCTGGCTTCCATTGTCTTGTACCAACAGGCAGATTGTGCCTCAAATGGGGCCCTCCAGCCCTGGGAACACGGGCAGCAAGAAGTCCACCATCTGCTTGTTAAGGAGGCCCTGGCCCGCTAGTCCCCTCTGACCCGGGAGCCCTGTCTCCACAACTTCTCCGCCCCCCATCTCGCCCTCTGCCCTCCTCCGCCCGTTCTCCCAGGCACTTCTTCCTCTGGCCCGGGCCCACACACCGGAATAAGGCCTTTAAGTTCTCGGGCAGCTCCGTGCGTCCCGCGTACCCAGGGTTCATGGTGATGAAGATGCCGACCGTGGGGATGAGACTTATTGTCTCTCCCAGGAAATTAAAAGTCTTTTTCTTGGCCCGAATTGCATCTTGGACACACTTTACCTAAACAATGGGCACACAGACACGTCAGCATGGGAACGGCCAGCTTCAACAGGCCGGACGGGTCTTCATTTGTGTTAAAGCGTGAGGCTAAGAATTTGCAGAGGACCCTCTTGGTCTCTTTTTGTGAAAAAAAAAAAAGAATTTTAACTTTTGAGATGATTGCACATTCAAAGGCAGTTGTAAGAAAGGATGCCCCACTCGCCAGCGTCTGGCCCCGAGTCACAGTACCATCTCGCACAATTATAGTGCAGTATCACAACCGGGACACAGACACGGACCGTGGAGACACTTTGGCACAGTGAGGACCAATGTGGCCCTCCAGAGCCACACCCACCTCCCTCCCGCCCCCACCCCTTCCTTGACCCGGCAACCACTGATCTGCTCTCCACTTCCGTCCTTCTGTCATTCCACGGATGTTACTAAGTGGGATCGGCCAGGGTGTAACCTGAGATGGGCTGTTGTCACCCAGTGCACTGCCCTGGACATCCCGCCAGGTTGTGTCTGTATTGATGGTTCCTTCCTCATTATTGCTGAGGGGTGTTCCCCCTCCTGGCCATGTTAGGTGTCCCGTTCCTGCCCTGGCAGTGACCCGTGGGAGGATGGACCTTCTTTAAGAAAGTGGTACTGGGTGAAAGCTGAATTTCAGGGATTAGCTGCTGTCCATTCTCTGCTCCTGCGGAGGTGGCTGCAGACCTCCAGGCTACCACTTGAGGGCACCCGGCACTCACGGTCAAAACCTTCCAGAGGCTGCATGTCCTAAGTCTCTGCCTTTAGAGCAAAGCTCACGCTAGGGCTGTCCTGGACTTTCCTCCCCAGCCCAGTCTGCCCGGGGATAGCTCACACCCTGGCAGGGCTCGGGGCTGGGGTGGGGACCTTAGGACTCTTCACTGCCTCCCCTCTTGCTCCTCCATTCGAGTCATCAAACACTTACTGCCTGATATGGTCTCTACATAAATATTCTGAGGTCTGTTCACTGACTTTGGCGGTTGGGTACTAACTCTGCTCCTGCACTGGGGGTGGGGGTCAGCGGCCAGCACTGCCTGCGGGTCCTGGGGACGCTGGCTGCCTGTCATTCTGTCTTTGCCTTACTGGCCTCCACCCCAGGGCTCAGGGACAACTCCACGTAGGGAGGGTCATAACAGTGGAAGGTGCCGGCTCCCTGTGTGCACCTCTAATCCCGCCAGCAAACCCGTGTCATTGAAACCATTTTACAGATTAGAAAATGGAGGCACAGAGAGTTTAAATCACTGCCAAGCACAGAATGAAGGAGACAAATCAGTAAATTTAGATCAGGGTTTACACCCAGGTTGTGGGTTTTGAGAGGCCGGGGCTGGTTTCACACATCCACGCCCTCCTCTGCTCCCTCCGCCCGCCTGCCTTGCGTACCTGAGGGGGCTGTTCAGCCTGCCCCGCAGCCTCACCTCACACGTGGTCTGGAAAGTCCAGGGGGCTTGTACCTACTCATCTCTCTATTGTGTGGGTGGGGGGCGGGTCTGAGCACCATCAACATCCTGACTTCTGGGTCCTTTTGGAATATCACAGTTGAGCCTGGGCCCCAAGGTTGGCCTCAGCTTCCCTGCGAGGACCTGGTTCTCAGCTCCAGCGCATAGGATCACGGAGGCACGTGTTTACGATGCAGCAATGCTCGGCCAAACATGCGGGGCGGGGCCCCCATAGGCAATTTAACTGGCAGCCAGGGGTCATGCCAGCCCAGGGCTGCCCCCTGACCTGGGAGCCCTGCTTCACCTGTCCATGCTGTGTCCTGCACTCTGTCATGGGTGTTCCCAAAATACCCAGGCACATTGCCTCCTTCTCTCACTCCCTTCCTTCTTTTCTCCTTTTTCTTTCTATTCTCTCCCAGCACTCTTATCTAATTGTTAAACTCCTATGCATCCTTCAACGCCCAACTCCACTGATAGGTATAAGAAAGCCGTCTGTCCAGGTCCCCCAAGCAAAATTAATCACCCCCTCATCTACATTCGGTTACGTACATGCCACCGTATGTGACTCTCACTGTTTTCTCTTCTGTGTACGTGTACCCCGCCAGACCGTGGGCCCCCAAAAGACAGGGCTGGGGTCTCGCTCATCCTCGTGCACGCCACCCCTGGGGCAGGCGGAACTGGCTCTACAGGAAAGCTCATGAGCCAGAGGAGGCCCAGCAGTGAGTGCCCGGGCTTGGCCCCGAGACACGGCGGGGCCTACCTGGACGGCAATCACGGACAGGACTTCCACCGAGATCCGGTTAAACTCATCGAAGCAGCCCCAGGCCCCAGTTTGCGCTAGGCCCTTGTAGATGTTTCCACAGGACTAGAAGGGGAGATTGGAGAAGGGCGCACTGAGGAGAGGAAGAGACGCGGCGAGCTGGCCGAGGCCTGCCCGGAGCCTCCCCGCCCTTGACAGTCAGAAGGGGGAGCTGGCCCCGCCCTCAGTCTCAGGATGGTCCCCCAGGTGGTGAGGCTCAGAGACAGATGGGGAGGACGCCACCTGCAGGCCAGGCTCCTGACCTCAGGGCCCACCCCCTGACTCCCCTCACCACCAGAGGCTGCTTAGTCCTGGGCCTTGAGGGGACCCTCTCTCCTGGGGCCCTTTGAGAACTGATGCTGTCCAGCATAGTCTTTGATAACAGCTGGGACCTGGCCCACCCCTGCTCCCCTCCCAAGCCTGCCTGCTTTTCCTCAGAAGCCCTAGGCTGAACTACGACAGGGGCGCTCACTCTGGAGTCCCCAGTTGCTGGGGCAAGCTTGGAAGTGAGGTTGGGAGGATGTTACCTCCACAGGTGGGACAAGACATTTGGACTTGGGCTTGTCAACCCTGGGAGCCTCTTCCAGACACACTCGTCATGCCGAAGAGGTCCCAGCTTCCTGGGAGGGCCAAGGCCGCCAGTGGGGGGGGGGGGTTGGGGGGGGCACAGCTGCTCAGTCCATCCACTGGGCTCCTCCCCAGGTTCGGCCTGTGGCATCCAGACAGCCAGAGCTCACTCCGGGCGCGGAGGCCACAGCCTCCTGGGGAGGTGCTGTATTTGATCCTCCACGGGGACCTCTGACCCCACCTCCAGGCCTGGGACACACACCTTGTAGTCCATCTGCTCGGAACAGTTGAAGACGTACACCATGGTGCCCAGGGCTCTGCCCAGGTCCTTGGTTGTCTCTGTCTTGCCGGTCCCAGCGGGGCCAGCGGGCGCTCCGCCCATGATCAGGTGGAGGGACTGGGTCAAGGTTATGTAGCACCTGCAAGGGACCCCTGAACATCTCGAGTGCCAGCAACCCCACAGCCGCCCGGCTTCCTCTTTTATTGTGGTTTCAGTTCATCGTGTTAATGCTACACCTGCTCAGCCCCAAGGAGGCACAAAAGGGACAGGGCAGGGGAGGAACTCAGATGTGACTAAGGAGCAGACACCGTACAGGCGCTGTACCCACCACCGCCTTTGGGAGGTGGGCGCGTCTAGTAAAACAAGAGTGGCCACATCACGGGCACTGGGGCTTTTCTCTGAGCAGCTTCTGGTCTGAGTACTCTTTGGGGTTAAACGACTCGCTCAATCCTCAACAAGCCCATGAGGATTCATGAACTCATATCCCCACTTTGCAGGCCCTCAGAGAGCAAAGCAACTCCCCCCCAGGCCACTCAGCTGGTGTCAGGGTGAGGGAACAAGAACGCGGCACCTGAGGCTGGGCGGCCGGCAGGACTGACTCTGCACGCAGATCCCCCCACCCAAATGTCTGGTTCTTGCAGCCTCGGCAGCTTACATTTGGGCCCAACAACCCAGAGGTATGGGGAGGAACCCAATGAAGAAGTGTGATTTCCTTTCCTGAGTCGTCAGGGCCGGGCACCAACGCCCTGGACAAAGCAGACGGGGCGTCCTCACCTGTCGGTGAGCGGGGTGATGACCAGCCGCGGCGTATTGCCCAGGTACTCATACGAATACTGGATTTGGGCATCACAGATGTTGGCAAAGCAGTGGTGTTTCTCCTCGTCCCAGCGATGCCGCAGCTGGGACTGCCAGGTGAAGGCCTGGGAGCTCTCCACCTGCACAAGGCGCGGGAGCCTAAGAGCCAGCCTCACCCCGGGAAGGCCTGCTGGACCACAGGCCGCCCCCTGAGCCCCACCCGGGGCTGCTCCCCACCCTCGGCTGCTCCTCCAGTGCCCGCATCAACCCTAACACAGCCCCAGCTGCACCTCACTGAAGATCGGGCACCTCCAACTGGATTGCTCTTCAGTTGATTACCAGGGGCGAGTCCAAGAGAGGGATGGGGGGGGGGTGGCCACTGCCAGGAATAGAGTCCCCTCCCCCAGGAAGAAGTGATAACAGGCCTGGAGTCCCCGAGCGCCGGGCCCTTCCCCGACACCTGCCTTGGCCAGGATCATTTTGGCTACCACGTCCCGGGCGTGCACGTCGATGGTGCAGATGGTCATGATCTTCATCCTGTCGCCTGCACTGAGGTTTCCGATGAGCAGGGTGATGAGCGCATTCAGCTGACTGATCTGCAGGAGCAAAGGCACCTTTGCTGGACACCAAGTGGTGCCAGCCAATCGCCACTGGGGGGTCTGCAAGCTGAGGGGGTCCCTAGGGAGCTCACAGTTGGGTAGGGAAGACCACCAGGTTCTTCTTTGCAATCATGGAACACAGAAGAAAGTTCTGGGATATCTCTCCACTAGGGGTCGGGTAAGCTATGGAACAGCCCCCCAGTGGAATACCATGGAGCCACTAAAAATGATGTGGTAGAAGAAAATCTAATGCTGAGGGAGGATGGTGGATATTAAGTAAAAATAGAGGGTTTTATATATAGTTTGCATATTTTTATGTATAAGTCAATTATATGCAAACAAAAAGATTAGAGGGCTAGATAAGAATCTGGAGACAGTGGCTATATCTGGGGAGCTTTTCCTCTTTCCATTTAAAAATTATCTTTAATTTCTAAATTTCTAACCAAGAATCTTAAAAAAAAAAAAAAAAGACTCTCAGTAGCATTTGATGATTTCCAGACAAGAAATCAGAGTTACATATTTCAGAAGTGGTTACTCTTGGGCAGAACCACCCGGGGTTGCCGTCATTTGACTGCTTTAGACCAATGGAAACGACAGGTCCACAAGGCGCTACCTTAGACGATTAAGGAGTTCCTGGTAATCTCCTGGCAGAGTTTCAGATGGACGCACGGGACCACACACCTGCTTTTTGTTGTAGTCTTTGATGGCATTTTCGTAGCCTTCCTCCAGCCTGGAAAACGCCAGGCCCACCTCGGTGGTCCACCAGATCTGAGTGCACGTGAGCGCAATCTGAAAACAGACAGCGCCCCCCCAAGGCCCGCACAGTGAGCATCGTTCTACTTCCAAGGAGGCAGTTCACACCAGTCGTTAGTCTATGCTTTCCGCAGGGCTGTGGTTAACAGGGAACGCGAGAGTCCAGCAGACCCGTCCCCTCCGCGCTGTCCGTGCGCCCAGCCACGCCGCAGACCTGGGCTGGGTAGTCAAAGATCCACTGCTCCCTCGGCTTCTCCTCGTACGTCACCACGGCTTCCGGGATCTCGTGTCGGAGCGTGGCGCACATTCGGTCCAGCACCCGGTTCAGCCAGACCTCTACCTGGGGATGGGGCCACATTGACCAGAGAGGCTGTGAGTGCACCTGGTTCCAATGACTTATTTTGTTGTAAAAAAAAAAAGAAAATTTACCATTATCACCCTCCTCCTCCCAGGGGTAGAATTGTCAAGGTTTTCACAAGGCGGTAAGAATGGCTTGCTTGAAACATGTGGCTGGGAAGCCCAGCGGTGCCCAGGCAAAAGGTGTTGCATTGGGCGTTTGTGTGCATACGTTATTTCTAGGCAGAGGAGGGAGGGGATCAGAGAAAAATCTAGAAGAGAAGACAGGCTCTGTCCAAGCCTCCGAGGCGTTGCCGATGTTCCGGACACAGCGTCTGTCCCCTCATGTCCCTGGCAGGTTCTGACTAACGGAGACCCCACCTGCTCCTCAAGAGCATTGTCTCAGGGTCCAACATGGTCGTGGGACAAACTTGCTGACAAGCCTAGTTTGTATTTTAGGATATAAACCCTCAACTAACTGCCACTGGGGGAGAAACTCACATGGGATAATCAGGTTGGTTTCTCTTTGTAACTAAATAAAGCTCGGGCAGACCTCGCCTGTGTTGGGAAGGAGTTAAGCGCAGGAAATGAATGTGAATGAACTGCGATGGAGGATCTCGTCCTGGCCCCGCCAGCCACATGCTCACAGAGCAAACCTGCCAGGCCCTCAAACGCCAAATTGGTGAGGCTCAGTTTTTCTTGCGGGAGGTTTTCTCTTTTTTTCCCAGCTGTTTTGCCTCCAAATTACATTTTGCTGAGGCTAACGTCAAAGCTGATTCGGTTTCTTGATCAAGAGTTGGGCAATGAGATGAGGGGAGAGGGGCAGCCAGGGCGTTTGCTATTGACAGAAGGAGCCGGCCTTCTCGGGCTGGGAAAGCTGGAAAAGGGAACCAGCTGGCAGCGAGGGGGCGAGACCTCTCTATCTATCAAAGCAATAAAGCTGATGATTCTGAACAGGTGGTAGAACTTGGGGGTTCAGGCGTGTGGCCCCCTTCAAAGCAGTCCCCTTGGCCACAGGAAACTTCAGTGGCATTAATAAACTCAACTCTCCCCTCCTCTCCTCTCCTCTTTCCCAAGGTGCACCTCATCCTCTACGGGTAAGGCTGTGCTGGAAATTCTATAAAGAGGCCCTTCACGCATTTGTTCTAAGAGAGGCAGAGGAAAGAGGAGAGAGAGACAGTCAGAGGCTGGTAGCTACGCCGACACACCTGAGGAGGGTGTGTGGCTCTTACGCCGCTGCACTGTCATCGTGGGGGCTCCCTGTCTGTTCACTCTGTGACTCGCACACTCACCTGCCCTGAGAGGTCACACTCTCGATCAAAATCCACATACTCGTCCTCCTTGCTGTACATGCCCAGGCCGAATTTGAGAGGCTTCCCACTGGCATCGAGTCGGAACTTCAGTTTACACAGGCTGTCGAAGAGCTTGGACAGGTGGCGGCTCACCTGGCGAGGGGGTGGTGGGGGGAGGAAACACTGGCTTATGCAGCCGAGGGATGTGAAAGGCGGATCCACACGGCCTGGGTCTTGCTTGGGTGGCTTTAAGCATCCTTCATTTTTTGGAATATAGTCCCCTCCTCTCTGATCTACGTTAACTAAACATGCCTCAGCAAGAAAGGGCACGGCGCAAACTGCTCTCAGGCAGGACCCAGAACCAGCCCAGGAGACCCGGCACTTTAGAGACCAGTGTCTGACCCCGAACATCTCTTTTCCTGGAGAAGTTCTGTCCCAGGCACTGGGCCCGTTTCCCTAACTCACAGACTCAGATCCTAAGTTTCCGGCCCCCCCTTGTGCACTCATCTCCTGAGTCCTGTAACTTTTTGATTCAAATATAGTCGCGTTCCCTTCAGCTAGCTGGTTAACCCTCTCTGTTTCAGAACAGCCTCGAGGAACATTTTCTCCCTGGCTCCTGGGGCCTGAGATTTATTAGAATGAGCCCGAGGGCGACCTAGTGTGTGGGCGTATCTCTCAAAAACAGCTTCTCGCTAAGCCCCTGGCATCGAACCCACTTTCCAGATGAGGAAAATGAGGCACGGGTGGTAAAGGGCAGGATCTGAGATGAGTGCCTGGGCAGCTTCTGGCGTGGATGAGCTCATGGAGGGGATACAGGGACATCCATGGACACGCCTCCAACATCCTAAGGGTACCCAGACTTGGGGCCGCCTGGAGTCTGGAGGTCGCGCCGGAAGTGGGCCCAAGTTCAGGATGCCAGGGGCTCGCCTACCTCCACGGGGTCATTCCCATTGGAGAGAATGTCCAGGAGGTCAGCCGAGGAGACGAAGTAGAATCTTGGGAAAGCCAGTCTTTTTGTCTCTAGATATTCCGCCAAGGCCTTTTCACACACGGCCAAGCTGGGAGGAGGGGGGTGGGGGGCTGTGGAAGCCTTCTCTGCAGCCCCCCCGCTCCCGGACGGACAGCCCTGGAGACGCCCAGTCTGTCGTCCACAGCCCCTGTGTAATTCAGACCTTCCAAGCTGACGCACTCCTTCTTTGCCAGCCCCTGACCCACGGGCATCCCTGGGTAGGAGGGAGCACTGTTTAATCTCCGGAGATGGTGTTTCCTCCGATGGGGCAGCATGGTGGGATGTGGCCGGGAGCATGAGCACCGGTGTGAGGGTAGGGGAGTGTGGGGGGGATCTATGGGGTGTGGGAGGTGTGGGGTGCAGGTGAGGGGTGTTTGCCCGGTCCAGGCCAGCAGGGGGCACATGACTGGGTTTCCTGCTGCTGCGACAACCCTCGTCTGCACAGGTGTGAGGACGACCTACTTCTTCTTCAGGTGCTCGAGTTTGTTGTAGAGACCCGGTTTGTTGGTGGCTTCCACCACGTTTGGCGTTTTCACTGCATCTGCCATCAAGGCCTGGGAAGAGACGGGGGCCGCCAAGGTGTCAGCAGCCCCATTTTCTCCAATGTAGTCGTTTCTGGAAATGCCCAGGCTGTGCTCACCTTGAATTCCAGGTCGATTTCGTCAAAGCGCTTGGAGTCCTCCGGCAGCTGGGCACGGATGTCTTCAGAGCCAATGAAGATGCTCTCCAGGTGGCTCCAGGTTCTTTGGACCTCAAACCAGATGGAGATGACCGAGTCTGCCGTGGACAGTTTCTGCTGCCAGCTCGTCACCTCCTTCAGGAAGTGGGACAGGTACTTGGACATCATCAGGTTCTGCAGCTGCACCTGGTTGTCCTCCAGCGTCTCCACCAGCACCTCGTCTGACTTGAGCATCATGGTGCCCGTTCGCGGGTGCGGCTCGTGCTCAAACTCCATGGTGGACCAGGTACTATCCAGGGCTTTCAGCACCTTCAGGGGAAGAGAAATTAGGTCAAAGAGCATCTGGCACGAGGGGCTGAGAAGGACCCAGAGTTTCCCAGAACACAGAATAAACCCCACCGTAAGAAAGCCAAAATGTTTACACCAACATTATTCATAGTAGCTAAAAGGTGGAAACAACCCAAATGTCCATCAATGGATGAATGGATAAAATAATGCAGTCTATCCCTATAAGGGAATATTATTTGGCCATCAAAAGGAACAAAGTAGTGATACACTCTACAACATGGATGAACCTCGAAAACATGCCGAGGGAAAGAAGCCAGACCCAAAGGCCACATACGTATGATTTGATTGATGAGAAAAGTCCAGAATAGGCAAACCTATAGAGACAGAAACCAGGCTAGTGGTTGCTTAGAGCTGGGGTGGGGGCTATGAAAGATGGGGGGGTGATAGCTTAAGCGGTATGAGTTTTTTTGAGATAATGAAAATGTTCCAAAATTGACTAATTCTAATATGTGATGGTTGCGCATATCTGTGAATGTGTTAAAAGCCATTGAATTGTGCAGTTTAAATGAGTGAATGGTATGGTATGTGAATTATAGCTCAATAAAGCTGTTAAGAGAAAAAACAAGAAAGCCAAGATGTGACAATTCAAACTCACAAAACAGGCCAGGAGAGAGATCTGAACTGCCAAAGGAGCGCTCCAGAATTTCCCCGTGGCCTGGAGCTGCCCCAGCCCATGGCCCATTAACGAGCCCAGGTGCCGGATGAGGCCCGTCCTCCCGCCCGCCCGCCTTCAGCTCCTCAGAAGGCCGAGGACGAGGCAGACAGGACCAGACTCTGCTCCGTGAACGGAGAGAGTTCAGGTTGCTCCTAAATGTGCATACCACTGCATGCAGAGACGGAGCTGTAGACAGGAACGGGACTGGGGTTTTCTTTGGTAATAAACTCTGGAAATGTTTTATAAGATTTCTGTGTGGGTTAGGTAAGAGAAGGCCCAGGAACCTTTCCTTTTGTGTGAAGTGACCGCTGGACCCCACGTGAAATGAGAGACTTGCAGGCGCTGGCCGGGGCCGGCAGGCCCAGCGTCATCCCACACAAAGGGCATCTCGATGCCAACAAAGGGTACCTTCTCCATCCCGGACTCCTTCACAGCTTTGTCCACGATATTTCGGACCTCATCCTCGTAGTTGTGTAGGTTCAGCTGGAGTAAATCCGCCAGGGTGGTCTCATCTGACATTTCAAATTTCACCTGGGGGGAAAAATAGGAATGTTCCATGCACGGTCATTTGTACTCCAGTCGAGGACATCTGTGTCCTGGGAGACGCAGGGAGTGAGTAATCCGGCTGCAGAAGGAGCAGCTGGAAGCTCTGAGTCACCATTCACTGGATCCATGACTTGCACGAGTTGCCTCAAGCCTTGCCTTTCCTCCCTGTAAAATCGTGTGATAGCAGAAGCCACCTGCCGTGGACTGAATAGTGTTCCCCAAATTCCATGTCCCCCCGGACCTCAGAACGTGACCTTATTTGGAAAAAGGGTCTTTGTCAATGTTAAGGATCTTGAGATGAGATCATCCTGGCTTAACTTTGTGGGACCTACACCCAATGACAGGTGTTCTTAGAGGAGAAAGGAGGGGGAGATTTGACGTGCAGAAGGAGGCCATGTGACCACAGAGGCAGAGACTGGTGTGATGTGGCCACAAGCCAAGGAGTGCCTGGGGCCCCCAGAAGCTGGAAGAGGCAGGAAGGATCCTCCCCAGAGACTCTAGTGGGAGGGAACCCTGCCAACAGTTTGATTTCAGACTTCTGGCCTCCAGAGCCACAAAAGAGCACATTCCTGTGGTTTCGAGCCCCAAGTGTGTGGTCCTTTGTTACGGCAGCCACAGGACACTGACGCACCACCTCAGAGCTGGCGTGTAGTAACAGGCGTGGCTGAGTCCAATAGCAGGTGTCTGCATCGTGCCACTCAGTCCTCACATCCCTTCCCCATCCCCGAGCTTATTTTCTTCTCTCACAGACAGATGTTTCCGAGCCCGGGTTCTGAGCTCGCCACGGAAACCGGTTTAACCAACGGCTGGAATTGAATGTCTCTCGATGATGTTTGGGAAAAACTCTGGCCGGCTCTCACTAAGTCCTCAGCTGTGCTGAAATCCTGGGGCATTTTAGTGCTAATTGGTCACTGCCCGGGGATCTCCCAGGGCACCTGGATCGGGCGCACAGGCCTGCTGGCCAGCGGTCTGGACCAGCTATGGTCTCGGGACTCAGGTACTCAAGACGACCCTTCCGTTGTCGCTGTGTTTCTCTCTCCCCGGGCCCAGGCCACCTTCCACGTGCTCCTGCAGCCCTTCCTGCTCTTCCCTCCCCTCGGAGGCCCTGCCTCCTCTACACTTGTAGAATCATTCCCGAGCATTCCACCGGGCCTTCCGAACAGGACCGTGTGCCCTGGGCTTTCTCTCTTTGCCTCCCTCAGAGCAGAGGCCACGTGTTCTGTCTTTGGATCCTGGCAGCTGTGTGGGGGCCTCTGCAGAGCAGCTGTCCGGTATAGTTCTGTTCAATGTTTGCTGACAGTGGGGAGCGTTCCTGTTTGGCTCCCGTGGGTGTCAAGGCCAGTACCCCCCACTCAGGAGCATCCTCAGGAAATTTGGGCACTAGGACTCTGTGCTCCTGGGGAGTCTGGGAGATCCAGCTGTTCATCCACCCTAAACTTCCTGAGCCTTGTGGACATTCAACCTACAACCAGAGCCGGCTACATAATTTGCGGGGCCTAGTGCAAAATGAAAATGATGGGCCCTCTGTTAAAATGATTAAGAATTTCAAGATGGTGACTGCAGAGCATTCAACTCTGCGCAGGGCCCCTCTGAGCGCAGAGCCCTGTGTGACTGCCCACGTCACGTGTGCGTGAAGCCAGCCTTGCCCACACCCGGCTTGATCAGCACCAGGCCTGGTCGCCCGGCTGAGCAGCTCAGGCCGGTCCGTCCTGCAGCCAGGCCGGCCGCTGTCAGAGGCAGTGCCCTCCAGCCCCCACGGCGAGCGGTACCTGTGTGGCCTGCATGAGTTGTTGCCAGTGGCGGTCCCGGATGGCGGGGTTCTGCAGCTCGCTCACGGCGCGCAGGGACGTGATCATGTTCTTCACCGTGTTGTCCAGCCCCACGAAGGCATCCCAGGATTTCATCTCCTTGTCCAAAGACCTCACATCTTTGGCAAACTTCTTACAATCTATGTCCATCTGCTCAACATTGATGTTTTTCCACTTGGTGGTCTTCCAGTCGTCGATGCTGGTATTTACCTGAGATGCAAACACCCACTGTCTACTCTTGTCAGGGAAGATACAGGAAGAGCTGCCCCGCCTCACTGCCACTGCTCGTGGGGAGCAAAACCCAGTGAGGAATATTTAGAACTAATAACAGAGTTTGGTAAAGTGGGTGGATACAAGGGGAAATCAACCTGGTTGTAAAGCTACAACTTAAAAGATAAAAAAAGTTTTAAAAACTTTTAAGGGTACAACCTAAAAGTTAGCAGTTAAAATATCCTTTGGCAAAATCCTGTGGTGGCCTCGTTACTGCTCCCCAGGATCCAGCTCCTCCTACTTCTTGGTGTGGCCACGTAACTTGACCAATGAAACGAGAGTGACACCTGACCCTTTGGGGGGCAGGAGCATGTAATCACTGACACTTGGCTCAGGGTTCGCTGCGCCTGCCCTGGCGATCATGGAAGCATAGGGATGTGCTGCCTGGAGGCTCCTGAACTAGGAGCTGGAGTGTGGACTTCGCATGGACGAGAAATACACTTTCATTGTTAACTACACAGAGACGCCTCTAGGGCTGTTAGTTACTGCAGAGCAGCCTAGTTTAGACTGACTGATAAAAATATAATAGAAGACATTTCATTCACGACAGTAGGAAACAAGATGCAGAAGCTACCTGGGAATAACCCTACAGAGTGGAAACAGCACCACGAGGCCTGCAGCCTTCGATTCGCAGGGCGTTGAAAGTGGCTGTGAAGCTGGCAGTGCTCATCCTCGAGGAAAACAGGGATGGTGACCCAGGTGCTTGAGGCGGAAAGGCCTGAGCTTGACAAGCACACATGTCAGATAAGACACAAACTGGGGGTGTTTACGAGAGATTGACCTTGAAGATACAAAAACTCAAAACCTCAACCCCCATAGGAATCAATGGCCCTTTCTGGTGGTTTTAAGCTTCTTCTGTATCCTGTTATCATAAAGTGTCCTGGCTAGTTTGTTTTGGACACTTTTTTTGCGAAATATCCTGACTGTAGATGCTTAGTCTTATCCCCTGGGAAATACACCCTCCATCCTCTCGTCTGTGCTGACTGTTGTTTCCTGGGAACGTGCAGTATGCGGTTCGTTCTGACTTTAGCAACCGTGTTCTGTGATGGCACTCATAGCCAAGAGACTCTAATTCAGCTAACTGCAAAAAAGTAACTGTCAGGCAGCTTCAGTCCACACTCTCTCTTTACGGGCATTTGTAATGCAGCCTAAACTCCAAAGACCTTTTCCCTCTTTGGAAGAAATACGTAGACTCGGTATGGCCAGAATGAAGACATTTACAACATTTTACTACGGTATATTTAAAAATGAAATAAACGAAGAGATAGAGCACGCTCCTGTGTGGGAACCCTGAGTGCTGCCAAGGGAGCAGCTCTCCCCAGGTTAGCTCGCCGGAAGATCCAGCTCATTTAAAGTCAGAATAATTTTCTTTTGGAGGGGAGGGGGATTTGACAGATTCTGAAGTTCATTCAAAAGGATAAGAGAGAAGAGCTAAAATATCTTCGAAAACAGGTGAGCCAAGAGGAGAGAAACTGGCGGGAGCTAACACATGCACGTACGCCACCTACAAAGCCTTAGTGTCGGGTAGAGTGACCGGAGGAGAGTAGGTGCCTCCATCCAATGCGCTTGTTGCATCTTAACAGCCGAAGGATAGTGGGAGCAGCTCCTCTTGGTGCCGGGATACAGCGCGTGCAGAGGCCCCCCCGCCCTGGGTACCATCGATGTCAGCCTGCCCCCCAACCCCGTGCCCAGCGGCTTGCCGTCCCCCTCACCATGACGATCATGTCCCAGAGCTCCTTCAGCAGGCGGACCTCTTTGTGACAAGCTTTGAGCTGCTTGTAATCTGGGACTGTGACCTCGAACAGGCTCCCAGACTTGCACAGCGCCTCCATGATGCCCTCCATGGCCGCGATGCTCTTTTGTTGCTGCGAGCAGGCGAGGGAGGCAGTAAACGGGGGGCCCACGCCCAGCGGCACCGTCCTCCCTTCCCTCTGCTGTATGCGAGCAAACCTTCTCAGAGCCATCACTGTGCTGTCTTTCCCCCACACACCTGTACAAAAACCCTCCAGCCAGGGGAGCAGCGCCCTCCCCTGCCCACCTTCAAACGCCCCCTCACTTCTGAATTCACGGGAAAGTGGTTTATCTTTGTGCTTTCAGGCCCGAGGACTGACTTCCAATGGACATTGTACGAATGCCCAATTTCCTCCTGAGAGTCCGTGATTTCCTAGAATTTCCCCAATTTTCACACTATAGACATATTTTTATCTTATTAAAAATTATGTAAGTAATGCTTGATTGCTTTGAAAATGAGAAAAATCTAGACAAAGAGGAGGAAAAAAAGAGTCATCCCAAACCACATGACTCAGAGCGGACGGCTGCCAATGCTTTGGTAGCAAGCATGTTGTATGTTTGCGTGGGCACAAAGGTGGGTAGCCCAGTGTACGCACTCCGCCGCAGAAGGGCCTGTCTCACGCGTGGATATGATTACCTAATGGAGCCCACATGGGTCTCTTCAAAGAATCCGCCTGGGGCCCTGTGGATAAGGGCTCCGGGGGCTCGAAGGAGCGACTGGGAGCATCCATATTCTGGTTTAGGGAATGTGGCGTGAGAAGACGGCCATGGAGAAAGGGCTGGATTTTGACCTTTGGGAATGGTGGGCATTGAAGCTGAGCAAGCCAAAAAGCAGAGGCTTGGGGGAGGGAAAGCATGGGTGACCCTGAAGGACATCTTGGGGGTCCCTTGCACTCAAGCCTGTGGGCTGCAGAGTGAGGCAGAAGGGGGGGCTGGTCTGGTCACAGTGGGTGCTGAGCACTGTGCTGGGAGCAGAGAGGCATTGGTGGTGCCCCATTGTGCTCCCGGGGGCTCCCCGACAGGCCCCATGCACCCCACACCCTCCTGACCTCCTGCCCCGTGAGAGCCCTCAGGGCCTGAGCTTGAGTGCTTTGCCGGGTCCAGCAAGTTGTAGAACTTGCATGTTGGACGCTGACCATGGACTTGGACCGTGGGAACAGAGAGGGGACACGGGTGAGGCTTGGCCACTGGCTGCAGGTGGTGGGCCAGGGAGAGAAAGGAGTCAGGGACGACAGGTGAGTGCTAAGCCCGGTGACAGGAAACTGCTGAATGTGAATGGGGTTGGGGACCTCCGAGGGAGAGCAGAGCTGAGCGGCAGGGCGGGTCTGCGAGGCCGCAGGAGACTCAGATGGGTGTGAGCTGTGGGCCTGGAGTGGAGCTCTAAGCAGCCCCCCATGCAGGGAAGACCACATGGAACGTCCGAGTTTGCAGGTACATGCACATACACATGTATACATACACACGCACACACACACACGTGGCCTGGAGGACAGCTGCACCGAGGCTGTGTTTCTGGACCGAGAAGAATGACAGCTTGAGAAAACACGAGAAAGCAACATGGTTCCCAGAGTTACGACCCCATCTCATCCTAGAGCAACAGTACCTTGTTCAGGGACTTGTAGGGGTCGGGGTCACTGAAGGAGAAGGGGGCTTCTCGCCTGAACTTCTCTCTGAACTCGTGCTGCTTCAGCTGCAAGAGAACCGCACGGAGACGGCTTGCATTGCCCGTATCCAGCCTGGATTGCCATGGCTCCCGCAGCCCGCACGCTGCTGCCCCCATCAGAGAGCCTGTACCCCGAGGCCCGGCCCCACCGGGGGGCCGCACTACCTCGAATTGCTGGCACTTCCGCCTCAGGATGTTGACCTCGTTGGCCTGGAGGGGCGCCACGTTCTGCTTCACCTGGATGGCCAGTTTCTTGGTGTTTGTCCACTGCTCTGGCAGTTCCTACGGCAGGAGAGGCCAAGGGCCGTTCCTTTCTCTGTTCTTTTAAAACTTTCTATTGTGAAATAATCATAGACTCACAGGGAGTTGTAAAAGCGGATGGAGAGTCCTGCATGCCGTCCCCCCGTCCGGGTGCTGGCATCTTACACAGCTCTGTCAACAGCCAGACCGGGAAGCCGGCGTTGGTGTGTTTCTCTGAACTAGACGACAGAACCTCTCAGTTTTCACCCCAATCTATTTGTGCAAGTGTGTGTGTGTGCACGTGTTGTGTGAACATGTATGCACATGTATGTGCATGCATGTGTGCACGTGTGTAGTCCTAGGCAATTTTACCCCATGCATAGGTTCCTGTAGCCACCGCCACAAGCCGCACACAGCACTGTCCGTCACCACAAAGACCTCCCTGCGTTCTCTCTGTAGCTGCACCCGCCCACCCGACTCTGGGCAACCACACACCTGTTGTCCATCTCTGTAAGTTTGCCATTTCAAGAACGGCTGTAACAGTCAGATGAGTTTTTGTATTTTCCAACTACTCCACACTTGGGAAAATATGTACATATGATCATAAAATATTTTAAAGAAAAAAAAATCCCAGCCCACGAATTCTTTGCCCACAGATGGAAGACACATTGTTTCACTTTCTCCTGCAATTGACAAGCGCTCTCTGTAGGCAGGGGCATGCCTCAAACGCCGTATTGATCACACCAGCTACCCCATCCATGGCCCGGAGCCCCTGGGGACTGGCCGCACACTTCCATCCCGGTCTTTAGCTGGGCCTGGGCAGGGTGGCAGGGGAAGGCACCGCCCTCTTGTTTTCAGTCAAAACACCATGTGCTCCGAAGCAGGCCAGGGCAGCCCGGGGTCACCGTGGTCACTGGCTCTGCGTGGCTGTCAGCCTTCCAGCTCCTTCCCCCTTTGCCCCACAGCCTGTTACCCTCTCAGCTGTGGGGTCTTGGGCACTGGCTTGAGTCAGCTTGAGTCAGCACCTACCGGCAGGGGGAATGCGCCTGTGTGACTGGACACAGAGCCGGGGCAGAGAAGGGGAGCCAGGGAGGAGAGGCAGCCGGATCTGGGAGGAGGCTGGAACTCCAGCGGTGGGGGGCAGCAGCCCCAGGACTGTCTTCTCCATCCCTCCCCACTAGCCCAGTCGCCCACCAGCTGCTGTGGTGCTGACTGTTGACCTTGCCTAAACCCGCTGTAAAGTGCCGTGCAGCTTCAAGCCCTTCTCCCTCACTGCCTTGCCGCAGCCAGCCTGGCTGTCCCCCCCTCCCCGGCCATGGCGAGGCGCCCGCGTCCACCTGCAGCTTCGCGTGCGTTTCCTCGGGGATCTCCTCCCCGTAGGTCTTGAGCAGCTCGATGGTCTGCTTCAGGGGTTCAAACATGGAGTCAGTCGCCGCCTGCCTCTCCTTGACCTTCATCAGATGGCCCATAACCTCCACAAGGCCGTCATAGTCCCCCTCCTTGAGGGGCTTCGTTAGGCCAGTCCTGGCAACTTTCATGAAGGCTTCCAGGTCGGCGAGGCTGCCGAAGGAAGGCAAGAACCACCAGTGAGGGCGCCGCCCGGGGTGGAGGGAGGCCCGTCTGAGCAGAGGGACCGCAGCCAGCGCTCCCCGCTTATTTCACAAGGCCCCGCCGAGGGAGGCACAGCTCCTGTCCCTCTCAGGACACCGGCTGCTTGTTGCGTCTCTGCCCACATGTCACCGCACGCCTCGCCAGCTCTGCTCAAACTGACCAGCAAGTCCTGGCGTAAGGCCACATCCCAGAGAGCCTTGGCCGGCCTCCCAGAGGGTGCTCCAGTCCATCGTCCTCCCTCTGGCCCCACACAGCCCACGGCTGACCACTACCTGTAACGGCGCAGCTATGGTCCTCACACGAGGCTTCCCCGCCAGACCCAGGCTCCCAGAGCTTTCCCCAGCGTCTGGCGCCCAGACACTGCAGGTGCTCCATGATAGGGGCTGGACAGAGGGACAGAGCCTTCGCTCACAGCCAGGTGGCCCCTTTCTGCTGGGACCTGCCCTTGGTGGGGCCACTGCCTCCTAGCCTGGCCTTCGCCCCCGTGTCCTCCCTGGCGGAGGCGCCCCCCGACACCATGCGCTTCCACGGAAGGCTGTTTGTGGAGGCCCCTGGTGTATTTCTCGGGCTCTCCTGGGCTGTGGTCGCGGTCAGGATGACGGCAGGGTGGGTGGCAGGGTCCTGGCGCCCACCTGTTGATGACGTGGTTGCTCAGGTGTCGCTTGAACATGAAGCTCCAGCGCTTGACGGTGCTCAGGAGGGCCTGCTTGAAGGGGCGGCAGTCGCCCTGCAGCCAGCCGCTGAACACCTTGGTGTTCTCGCTCCTGGACACCTCCTCGTACAGCTTCTCATACGAGTCGATCTGGAAAACAGCCTCTGCTCACTGGGCGGGCGGCCGTGGGGGTGACACCGGCACAGGGCGGGTGCCCCGCACAGAGCCTTGGCACGCGGGAGGCCCTTACTGCCGGCTAGTCTCCTTCTCCAGCACCCCTGGGGGTCCCTGTGCCCAGCAGTCTATCCCCAGCCCAGGATAACATCAGAGAGGGGCAGCATTGGGCAAGGCCAGCAGGGCTTCTGAAGAAGAACAGGACAAAAGCCACTGGAGGTGAGTGTGGCCATGGCACCTGCAGGGCTCCCCTTAACTCTGCCCTCTCCACATGGCTTCACCTTTTCAGGGCTGGCACGTTCTGCCAGCCATCCCCATCCTTGTGCGGCAAAATGTGCCCCCCTGTGCATCTCTCCTTGGGTGCGTCACCTCCACTCACCAGCCTCTCTCTCTCTCTTCTCTGCCTAATCAGGAAAAGAGGCAGCGGCTCCTACACGAACTATGTTTTCTTTTTTGCCTTTTTTTTTTTTCCTGCTTTATCTCCCCAAACCCTCGGTACATAGTTGTATGTCTTAGTTGCAGGTCCCTCTAGTTGTGGGATGTGGGACGCCGCCTCAACGTGGCCTGACGAGTGGTGCCATGTCCGCGCCCAGGATCCGAACCCTGGGCCACCACAGCGGAGCGCACGAACTTAACCACTCGGCCACAGAGCCGGCCCCTGTTTTCTTATGTTCTATGTTCTGGATGCTCTGGCATCGGGGGCCTCGCCGGCCCTGGAGGGACTGCCCCTCCCAGGGAGAGCTCGTTCCTAGAGATGGCAGACAACTCCCCAGGGAGCACACCTTTCCTACACAAACAACCAACCCAGAGCCCACACGCCAGCACCTCCTTTATCAGGCTCTCACAGGGTCCTACACTCTGGCCCAGTGTTGCCCCGTCCTGATCACCCCAGGCCAGGTGCCAGCCAGTCCCGACACCCCGCAGTCCACTGCAGCGATTCAAACTCGCCAATCCTCAGCCTGCTTGCCTTGCCTCTCCTGACCGAGAAAACCCCAATACAGGCTCTTGCCCATGCTGTCCGCTCACTCCCTCTGCCTCCTCCCCCACCCTGGAGCGTCCTCGTTCTCGTGTGGCCGCGCATGGCCTGGCGGGCCCCCTCCTCTTGGGAACCGTGAGTCACAGACTATCTTTTCAATGGCAGTCGTCTCTTGACTTATAATAAAACCTACATTTTAAAACCATTCACCCCTTTCAAACCAAGACCAGCGATCCTCCACGGGGCAATTCCGGAGGCCAGGAAGCCAGCGGGCGGGGCTCACACGCACCTGCTGCTGGAACTGGGCGAGCGTGGGTGGGGTCTTGGGAAGGGACATTTCGGCCCGGCCGTCCAAGTCCTCCGGGGTGACCGCACGCCCGTAGATCAGGAAGTTCTTCATGAACTCCTGGGGGTCGTCCGTCCAGAGATAGGAGTACCTCTCGAAGGAGTCCTGGTACTCCTCGGCCGCCTTCATGGCAGTGATAACCAGGTTGGACACCTCCTCCCTCATCTCTATCAGGTCAGTAACGTCTTCCAGGTCCGTCTGGAAGGGGGCAGGAGAGAAACAAACAGGTGAGCATTTTGCTGGCGTTCAGGACTTAGATTTGATCACCTCGTCCTGGAGAGCGGCTCTCTGTCGGCAGAAGCGTTGCTAACCTCTCAAGATGGGAAATAGGGACGTGTGCTGATTTGCAATGTTCTCCCATGAGAAGGTGTGCTGAATGTGACTTTGGCCCAGCAGACCCCAGGGTGACTCATGCATCGACTCATTCATTCAACCTGCTGTGTGCCACTGGGGACGGACAGGGCTCACACGGAGGCTACAGCCCCGGTGGGGTCAGACGTTCATCAGAGAATCACAGACACGAAACATCGCAAGCCCGGCCCTTGCTCTGAGGGGCAGTGGGGAGGAGGCCGGGATGCTCCCTGAGGAAGCAACCATTGGTCTGAGAGCTGATGGACGGGACAGGGAGGCAAAGAGCAAGAGAAGCAGCAAAATGCGTGCACAGGCCCTGCGCTGGGAGGAAGCAGGGTGTTTGAGCTGTGGATGGCTAGAGCAAAGGGCGTGCGAGGCCCCTCTGGACAGGAGCTTTAGAGTCCCAAGTGACTGAAAACCCAACCCAGGTTGATGTAAGCAAAAAAAACAACTGCTGGCTTATGTAACCAGAGAATCTTGAGATGGGGGCTGTGTATCAATCATGTTTTTTATTTTCTGCATTTTAAGATGCTTTGACAGGTTAAAAAATCTTGCTGGCTAGGGAGATACTGCCCCTCCCAGGGCCAGTTCTTAGAGACAGCCAAGGATTGGGACAGGGAGCGAGCACGCCTTTCATGTGCAAACCAACCAATCCAAGTTTACACCCTCATCCGCCTCCTTTATCCGGGCCTCCCCTTGCCCTAATCAGCCTGGGCTAGGCACCAGATAACTGGGCACCAGCCCTAAAGCCCAGAGCCCAGCTGACATGATGCACACTGGCCAGACCCAAGCTGCTTCCCCGGCCTGTCGCCTTTCCCTCGGAGACCCCAAGAAAGACTGGCCAGGGCTTTCTCCTCCCTCTTGCTTCTCCCTCCTGACCAAACCTGGTGCTCCCCGCTGTGGCCCTGCAGTTCCAGGAGAACCGTGAGCAGCACCCAGCTTTTCTTTCAGTGGCACTGACCTCTCCATGTCCCTCTGTCACCTCCATAAATTAAAATCTCGTGGTGACAGACGAGATGGGGGGTGGCCCATAGACTGGAGTGTGGTTTGATCACCAGGACCCTCAGCCTGCTTCGCTCTTCATCATCTTCTTCATCAGTAGATGAAGCCGCTCTCAGGGCCCCAGGATGGGTGCAGGAAGTCCAGACACGCATCCCGTCAGATCCCAGAGCACATGTGGGCGTCTGGCTCTCGTTGGCGTGAGTTGGGTCCCACATCCGTACCTGAGCTGATCACTGGTGGCCAACTCTATTCTGAACTCCGGAACAGCTTGCTGCATGCGCCTGGACCAGGCAAGTCACCTTTTTGTGGCTCAGAAATCCTCAAGGCATTTTCTCTGCCTGACGCCATCTGCCTGGAAATCCCCTCCCATCCTTTAAGGCTCAGCTCACATGTCATCTCCTCTAGCAAGCTGTCCTTGACCTTGCCAGGTATTTCTTCTTGTGTCCTCACCTCACTACACACACACACACACACACACACACACATACATACATGCACACAAGCACACACGCACCCACACACGTGCATATACACATACCTGTCCCCCTAATAGTACAGAGCATTTTGCCGTATTCGTTATTACAAATAACACATGCCCATCATCAAAAATTTCAAGCAATGTAGAAATATATAAAATTAAAAGCCCCCCTTGCATCCTCAGTGCTCCCTCCATCCTTATTCCTGTCCTGTTTCCCAGAAGTACACACTCTGAACAGTTTGGAGTGTATCCATGGAAGGACAGATTTGTGTTTGTTTAGATGAATGAAATCATTTCTAAATGTTGTTCCACAACTTGGTAAACACTTAATAGCACGTCACGAGCATCCTTCCACCCCTGGCTCATTTTTGTGACTCCCCCAGATGCCTTTGCATGGATGGGCCAGAATCTATTGAACGACTCCCCTTTTGATGGACATTGAGGTCTTTTCCAATTTTCGTTTTACTGTTATAGAAACAATGCTCTGACAAACATGCCTCCTTAGACCCCCCCCTGCAGGGGCGCCAAATTCCCTATGCCTTTTGCCTCCCTAGAATCTGATCTGACTATGTCCTACTCAGCAGGCCGGTGTTTAACGCATGTGGAGCGCCACTGGATGTTTGTCCAATCGCCTGAGCGCTGACAGAGTCCCAGCATTTAAATTACAGAAGGCAGCGGAATACCAGGAAGCGGGGAAGAACACGCCCTTCACGTCTCACTGGGGGTGGGGAGGCGCCGGAGGAATGAAAGCCAGGCCGACTGGGGAGAAGCCACTTTGGGAAGACGTATGGGATTTCCAGAGTAGGGACAGAAATCAGGTCTGTGGTCCTGTGATAGAACTTGATAGAATGGAAAACCTCTCGCTTCTCGTCACATTCAGAACCATCATCATTTAAAATGTAAATAACCAGGCATTGCTGAGTTAGGAAGGCAATTCTGAATTAGGAAAGCAATGGGTGCCCACGCAGAGAAAGCGGGTGGGCTGTAGGAAGCCCAGACTGACCTTGTAGCTCATTCTGCCCTTGGCCAGTCGGGGGATGAGCTTGGCGACATTGTAGATGTCATTGATCAGGCTCTCGATCAGCGCCAGGAAGCCACGGGTCCCACCCATCTCCAGGGACGGACTGAAGACCAGCCCATCCTCTTCCAGCTCCATGCGGACCTCAAACAGCGGTGCCACACTCTCCTGAAACAGGTCATCACGGGGGTCAATGCCTCGCCCTTGGCTGAGCCATTCTCAATGCCCAGATGTTCACTCTGGGCACCAGCCAATGTATAGGGCTAACTCCCACTGGCTGGGACCACTTTGCAGGGCAGGTGGCCCCAGTGGGTTCTTCAGCAAGGGGTCTGAAACCACCATTGGGCCAAAAGCAGGCTGGAGCAGTCCAGGGCAGGAGAGGGCAGTGATTCTAAGTGCAGACGAGAGACCAGCTACCTCCGTTCAAAGCCTGAATCTGCTACTTATTAGCTCTGTGGCCTTGAGCAAGACACTTGACCCCCCAATTTCCCCAAATATATAAAATGAGGATAATAATTTTATAGAACAGAGACAACAACTGTCCCCATCTCTTTGGGTTATTGTGAGGATTAAATGGCTCGGTAGCATACAGAGTATGCAGAGTCGTGGCTGGCTCACTTTTAAGTGCTGGCAGCCACGGCCACAGTGTGTGGTGGGGTCACAGCCAGGCAGGACAGCCTTCCCTGTGCTCTGAAAAGGACGAGCCCTCACACCCATCAGAGGTTCCCGTTTACAAAGCACATGCACACAGTAACCCTGCGTGTTCCTGGATCCCCTCGTGAGGCTGCAAGGCTGAGTGGGCCAGCCTCTGTAAGGCGATGGGATGGAGGATAGCTGGACATACCAGTGAATCCCAAAGCATGGGCCAAGGCCCACGGGTGGCCATGAGATCCGCTCCATGGCCTCTTATCTTCCTCCAAACAGAGTTGCCTGTTGGCCCTGGGAGTGGTTGACTTGAGAGCCCCCTGGTTTGCTCTATGACCAAGGGAGGGTGTTGACTAGTGTCTGAGTCAGATGCTAAGTGGTATGAAAGTTCAATCGTCATGAACTCAAATGACCAGACTTTTCTAAAGCTGCTAGCTCAGGGGGTCTGCTCTTCTCACTGGGCCACTTAGGGACACCCTGGGACTTCTTGAGGAGTACATTTTGTTATCGGGGCGTCCTCATAGTTTTGATTGTGACTTTGCTCACTTTGAAACTGTAATTTATGACTTATAATTGTATGTTAACTGTAAATTGGTTAATTCCGTTGCTGACACCTTGCAGGGCTGTCTGTTGCATGGGGAAACTTGCAGTCGGTGGTGATGACTACTTTCATCAACAGAATGTAGGGTCCGTGAGTGTCTGGTGACCACCGGCCTTCGAGGCACACGTGCTGGGCTCAGGCACAGGCCATCCGCCCTCTGTGGCTGGTACAGGGTGTCTCAGTGCCATCCCCACCATCATTTCCTGGAGGGGCGGGGGGGCGCTGGGGGTCTTTGATCCTGCCCTACTGGCCATATTCAAAATCATTTGGGAGCCATATAACAAAAAGACATGGGTAGGGAAGGGCTCAACCCCACGGAAAACGCTGGAGAACGTGCCGGGATGCAACGAACCTGCACATCCCGTCCCGTTTGCTCATCTGGCTTACACTTCCACCCACCTGGCTGAGAGTCGAGTAGGGTAGGGGCTGATGTTGCTGACAGGGCCCCCCCCCGCCCAATCAATGTGAGTAGGGGCTGTGGTGCCTGCTACCCGTCACCTGGAGACAAGGTAGGACAACCTCCTCAGGTCCACTTAGGTATTCTACGGCCGATTCATGGTGCGGCAGATTTAAGGTGACCAGGTGTCCTGAGTGCCTGGGACTGAGGAGGATGCAGTCCCGGGATGCAGGACTTCCGGTTTTAGCACTGGGGTGGGTTAGTCACCCTAGGCAGATTTTAATGTCTGTTTGTTTGTAAAGAAATAATCTATCTAATATTTGTAACTCACATCTGTAACCATGTTGTCTATCAGGTAGTTCAGGGATTTGCGGATGAAGTGGTCAAATTCCTCCAAGACCATGCCGTCGATGTGGTTGACGTAGTCTTTCCAGGAGTAGCTCGCTGTGTCCGCTCTGAACAGCTCTGCGTTCTCCTGCAAACAGCAGTCAGCTGTCATTCCACTGGTTCACCTGTTCCCTCTTTAAGCAACGTGCTCAATGACTCTCTGGACCCCCCTTGCCCTTGTTCACATCCTCCGGATGCCCGGCTCTGCTCCCAGCTTCTCGAATGTGCTGGGCTCTTTCCTATGGCAGAGTCTTGCGCAGGCTACCCTCTCCCATTCTCGTCGCATCTGGCTTCTTCTAATAGTTTAGGTTTTAACCCAAATGTCACCTCCTCTCAGAGGCCCTCCTTGACCACCCTCCATTCATCTTAGGTTTGGTTCCTGTCCCTTCCCCCACCTATATTCTCTCTAGCAATCCATTATTTGTGCCCATGATGGCACAGATGACAACTCTGAATTCTTTTCTTTATTTGACTCTGGTCTATACGCCCCCCCTTGGAGCCAAGCTTCATGAGGACAGCGATTGACTGTCTTTTCCACCATTGTACCTCCAGCACTCAGCAGTATGCCTAGGACAGAGTAGGAGCTGGTGGATGGATGAATGGATGGGTGGGTGGGTGGATAGATGGGGGAGTGGGAGGGTGGATGGGTGGATGACGGGATGGATAGGTAGACATATGAATCTGTAAGACACCGAGTGCGACAGGGAAATACAAAGATGAATAGGACCCAGTCTGTACCCTCAGGCAGGTATATTCCAATAGAGGAGAGAAGACACAGGCTTAAATAATTTCAGCGTAAAGTAGAAAGAAATGGTTAAAATGACTATCATGGAAGTAGAGGACTCTGGCAAATCTATGTGACCTCAAAGCCTTGTCTCATTGGCTAGCTGGCCTCTGCCTCACCAGGGTCCTACCCCACGGCCCTGCGTCCTCGCCCGCCCTCTTCCTGTGCTCTGCACTGCGATCCCTTGCCTGACCCTAAGCCAAATGGATTTGTCCTGGGCTTTGTTTACAACACTTCTGAGAGTGTTAGCAGGGTAATTGCTTAACTCTTTCAAGTAACATTTTTGCAGTTTAACATCTTAATTTAGTGGGACTTTCTGGCACCATGGCAAAGAGGGAAGGAAGAGGATCTGGAAAAAAGACAAAATATTTTTTGGTCCAGTCAAGTCACTCCATTGGGGTAACGACCTTCCAAGCAATGAGGTGATCATGAGAACAGCCAGCGAGAGACCCTCCTCCCCGTGGGGCCCACTGGTCTGTGTGGGTGTGGTGACCCATCATTTAAGTCCATACCAATGATTTGCACCATGCCCTGGGAACCCCAGAAAACTGCCCTGAAAACATCTTGAGCTCAAGAGAGAATTCTCCCTTTTTCAGGCCAATGCAGCGTTCCACCTTTCACATTCGCCTCAGATACAAAAGCTAAGATGCAAGCTGGATAAAACACCTGCCAAGTGAGGGAGGCACAAGGACACCCACACTGTTAGGAATCTAAGCAGAGCTTCCAGAACGCCAGGCTACCATTTTGCATTCTCCCTCTGAACGTGTCAGCAGGGACATGGGCTCACGGACCGTTGAGACTGTTGGCAAAAAGGAATCTCCTGCTCTCTAGGCAGCACAGGAGGTGTGCGTCCTCACATATCCTGATTTGAGCGTGTTGGCACAGATACGCCATGCACACACCCCCAATGTTCCTCGCTCTTCCCACTGGTGAACCATGGGCAAACCATGAAGGACGCCGGTTAGACACAGTGCTTGCCCTCGAGCAGCTTATCTCAGGGAAACAAGAGCTGTTGACTTTGTACCAAGATGTCACTTGTCTACACCAACTTTGTGCGGGGTAGGGGGTGCTGATCCCCTTAGAACAGAGGGCAGACACGTGACGAGGGGACTCAGCCTTCAAAGGGCACGTTTGGGATGGTCTGCTATTTTCAAACAAGACTGTTGGACTAAAGATCACAGACTTCTGTGACCACTGAGCCATTTAATGAAGAGCAAGCAGGCTCTCAATGGCCCTCCTGGGCGTGTCCTTACTGCAACCATGGCTTGGATCTTCTGGCCAGCATCCTTGACCGCAGCGTAGCGTCTGTTGAGATTGAGCATCCTTCCATCCAAGTCCAACAGAGCCTCTTTCTTGTTGTCCTTTCTCTCAAACATTGGGTTGGCAGACCAATCCTGAAAGGAAGACGCGAGAGAAAAGTCTTTGGAGAAAACGCTCCTTCACTGCACACTCTCTGATGTGAACATCCCTGTCCGTTGCTGACCTCGGAGAGGCCTAGGCCCCTGAGAACTGTTGACCAGAGAGCCTTAGATGACAACTCAAAACCAGTCAGGGCCTTGAGGGGCAGAGAGACGTCTGGGATGCTTCACCCAATCAGGCCCAAAAGGAGTCACTCTTGGGGAAGGAATCTGACTCTCTTGTCAGGGCACCAAAGGAGCTGAGGGCGAGGGAAGCCATAAATGAAGAGGTAGGGGACAAGGCGGCCAGATCCGGAGATGAATGTGGAGATGATCAGAGCTCCAGAGAACAGAAAGAGACACATGTGACAGAACAGATGACTAAACACGGTGTTGATGAGCTGAAGAAATGCTGCCATTTTCAGATGGAAACCCTTAAGGGAGTCCAGGGAACATTAACAAGAGGAGACGCATGTCTGGAAACACCCTGGTGAGGGTTCTGAAGCTCGAAGATACTGAAAAACTCCACACACCTCCAGACAGAGAGAATGAGGACATGAAAAGGAAAGTCATGCCATTGTCCACCTTCTCAACGTTGAAGCTACAAGACAGGGACTGCTGTGTGCTGAATTGTGTCCCCCACATGTATACGTTGTGGTCCTAAACCCCTAGTGCCTGAGGATGTGGCCATATTTGGAGAAAGGGTATTTAAAGAGGGGATTCAGTTAAAACAAAGTCGCTAGGGTGGGCCTTAACCCGACATGACTGGTCTCCTTACAAGAAGAAGAGATCAGGACACAGGCACACACAGAGGAAAGATCTCTGAGGACACAGGGAGGAGATGCCATCTCCAAGCCAAGGAGCGAGGCCTCAGGAGAAACCAGCCCCGCCTGCACCTTGATCTCGGACTTCCAGCCTCCAGAATTGTGAGAAAATAAGTTTCTCCTGTTTAAGCTGCCCTGTCTCCAGCACTTGCTGGAGCTGCCCGAGCAGACTGACACAGGGATGTTTCTAGACTGTTGAAAGAAAAGGACCACATCAAAACATCCTTTACCTGGACAACAGACAGCCACAGGTGAGGTCAAAAGAAAGATATTTTTGGACAAGCAAGGACTCAGAAAGTACGTCATCAATGCAGACTTTCTGAGGAAATTACTTGAGGAATTACTCCATTCGAATGAAAACTGAATCAGAAGAAAAAGTGGTGAGCCATGATTTTCATCTGTGATGTACTGAGTACATCTACGTGGGTGGTGATGAAATGCACGTGAACTGTAACATAGAAGTTTCATGCTGTGAAAAGCCAAAGGAGTCTCCAAATAGAAGAGATGTGTTCTAACAAAAAACACTAATGCTGGCCAGGATCAGAAATTCCAAATGATTTCAACCCAGGAGTCTGTGGGGGTGGAAAGGGAGGTGGTGGATATCAGCCTGCTCCGAAGCGCGATCTCGGCGGGGGTGCGTGGCGGGGCTGGTGGGGCATCTTGGTTATTTAATTTTGATATGCAAAATATAGCATAAACATGATTGTTTTAAAAATAAAATAGAGTTACATAGACATTGCAAAGTAATGGGAGCGGGCATTTTGAAAACTTCCTTTTGGAGCTATCGCTGCAGATGTCTGCAAATTAGGGCGCTGACGACAGACCACAGGGGAGGCTAGGGAAGGACTCCCCCCCGCCACCCCCGTTCTCTGCGTTGGGCTGGGTGAAAGGGACCGTGCTGCTTCCATAAGGAGCGATGAGCATGCTGCAGGCAGAGCCGAGTTAGCGCATCTTTCCCCTCCTTGTTCCTGGCACCTGCCTGGCAGAGAGGGGACCCTGCACGCACACTTGCTGAGCTCAATGGAACGGAATTGAATTCTGCAGAGGGACTTTTTCTGCCTTGGGACCACCCTGACATCTTTGTGCGGTCCAGAGCCTCAAAGAGCAGGCTCCCGCTGCCTGTGGCGCGTTCCGTGAGCATCTCCGCGGGGCCCGTTTTCCCCAGGAACCTCTCCTGGGTCTCCATTTAAGCCCCACTCTGTGCCTTGCAGCTTACTCACCTTCATGGCCTGGGAAATTCCATCTATATTCTGCTTTGCTTTTTGCATCCTGTTCTGCAAGTTATACAGAATTTCTCGCATCTCTTGAATATATTCAAACACCCCTAAAATATAAGCGTAAAGGACTCTCACAAAGTGAACGACTTAGCGAAATGAAAACTTCTCTTGAGCTGGCTTAACACTCATTATTACAAGACAGCACCTGTGTGAATATCTGGAACGTGAAGCAGAAGAAATCACTGCGAGTTCCCTGAAAGGAAGTGCTGAGGAATAATGCACATTGTGCCTCTCTGGAAGCGGAACTTCCCTATCCCCAAACAGGCGGATTATTAATTCCGCCCAGGAACTCCAGGCTCCTGATGCCAAGGGACCCCCATCCCTGGGCACCCCAGCCCCTCCAGCCATGGACAGAACGCTGGAGAGACTCGAGCTTCCTTAGAAAGCTCTCAGAGGCCTGGATTGGAGCAGCTGGAAGAGACATGTTCTTGGGCGGAAGTGAGAAAAAAGAAGCACACGGCTTCCTTGCACAGAAAGGTCCAGGTGGAGCCAGGTTCGGGTCAGTGCACAGTCCCTCCTTCTAGGTGAGGTAGTGGAGGCAGGAGACGGCATAGGAGGGCTGAAAAGATGGCGCAAGACAAGTTGGAAGGTCCTGATGGAGGGGCAAACGATGGCAGTGCTGTTTACCCAGAGGCGGGTCCTGGGGATGAGGTTCTTCCGCCTGATCCCACGGTGGGATGGAGGGAGGAAGGGGACTCATGGGGGCACTTCTACTTCTCGGATCTCTGCCCGGAGCCAGCGGCAGCGTGCCCGCGTGGAAGACCAGCACACTGCCCCGGCCTCCAGCGAGTCTAGTTCGCAAACTTGGAACCCTCGGTTATTGCCAAGGAGTCTTTGCCCATTCTCTTTGTACGTGACACAGATGGGCTGCTGGGACCGGGCAAGCAGGTGCAACTATCCTTCAGCTTTAAACGAAACCCCGTTGCGGTCAGACTGGACCCACCGAGCCAGAAGGCAGAAGCGGCCACTCGGGTATGTTTTAGGACAGAAGCCAGACAGGTCGGACCCCACCCCCCACCCCCCACCCCCCAGTTTAGCCCTACGTGAAATGAACATGGCCTTGGTACCTTCCCCGTTCCAGAACAACGTCGTTTCAGCGCTCAGTAACTTCACATCGATTGCTTCCAACTCCGACTTCACTAGTGGGAATTCTACGTCCATCACAGTGGTCTTTATCTGCAAAACGAAGCCTACAGTTTCAGGGCCTTTGTTCCAAATCCAGCCAGACCGAAAACTGTCTTACGGTAAGGACTTATTACTCGGTACCCACCAAGCCAGTTACAACTAGTGTTATTTGATTGAGAATTACATGTAAATCAAATTTCAGGAGATTTCAACGTTTACAATTATTTTTATTACCCAGGATTTATGTATATACTTAACTCTCAATTACCCATGTTATGGGGTAGAAAGAGAAGGGAGTACAATAACACAAAAACAGTGAGTGTATAATCCAAAACTTTTAAAAATCTGGCTTAGACTCATAATCAGAGAATCAGGGAAACACACATGGGTGACTGGGGCATTTCTGGGCTCAGAATCTCTCCTGGGTCATGAATCTAATGCTCGAGGAGTCCAGGATCGCAGAGAAGCTGTTCAAGCTGTTAACAGATCAGAGTCAACAGGAGTACAGGTTCCATAGCGTCTTGACACAGTTCCAGCTGCTTCAAGAAACTAATTTAACGCTTGAACGCCTCAACTCACAAAACAGAGAAAAAGGAGGAGAGTGTAGACAGTTTTTATAAATTATTCCTTTAAATAACAAGCACCGTCCGCCCTTTGTAACATCCTTCTATCTAGCAACATTTTGATGTTTATATAACTTTTCAAGGACATTTCTACTCTATAAAGAAAGGGATGTACACAGAATTACAACTGTACATGAGACGCTGACTATTTGCCTTTCAGAATAATTCTTTACATACATTTAGTCCTTTAAATGGTGCCCCCAGCCCCACCCCCACCCCCGCCACTGCCTTCAAATGTTTTCAGACGATTAACTCTTAGAAAAGTGGGTAAGGGCAGAGAAATAAAGCTTAAAAGCTATTACCAGTGGAAACCAGACAGAAGTAAAACAAACGGTCTCCAGAATCATAAAGCGAGTTCGTGTGAAATATGATTCCATTCATCAGAGTCGGGTTATGAAACAATTACACGGGGCGGCTCCTCCCAGTCATGGAGCCCTTGCTTAGAATACATCCTGAGTGAGATAACCTCACCACGTGCCTCTTTAGGATGTTTGCAACCAAATCCCGGTGAGTAGAGTCAGAGGGGAGCCCTTTGCACGGAATTTAAGCAGCTGGACAAAGGTGCTGAGTTTCCAGTGACCGACCCGAGCAGAGACGGCAGGCTGCGGCGAGGTCAGAACCCAGGGCCAGCCCCAAGGGGCAGCCGAGGTGGGTGGGGGCCGCTCCTGGGTGGTGAAGCCTGGGCTGCGGCTCTTGCCCACAACTCATACGGTCACTCAGAGACTCGGGAGGGCGATTTATTGACCATTTCTCACAGTAATAGCCCAGAAAAGTAGCCAAATATTACTATGCCGTTGTGACAGCCAGCGTAAACAATGCTTGTGGTGAGAAGATCCGATTAATACCCCCTGTTTATTGCTTTTCAACAGGCTGTGTTATAAATCCACACCTTTAGGGCATTTTTCCCAGCAGCGTGATCTGGGAGAAAAGCACAGTCGAGGGGTCCCGCAAAGACCCCAGCAGATTCCCCAAAGCTCCACACCCACTCTTGCCTCCTTCACACATCAGTGCATACTCGCAGTCTGGAGGCCCGCGGTGTCTCAGCAACAGAAACCATGCTGAGAATAAGAAGCGTGTCTAAGGGGCCCAGGAGCATCTCCAAAGACAGAAAAGAGCATCCACGGCTGCAAGCGCTCAGCTCCCGTCTGACTGCCCAGCATCTTTATCAGCAGAACAAGACCACTCAGCTGAAGCCAACGCGCGTCACGGACTGAACAGCCTGTGCTCGGCTGGGCTTTGTTTGCAAATACAGAAATGGAAGATCAATTTTTGGTTTTTTTCTAAATAACATTTGTTGAGGGTTTTTTTCTGATTGTAGCATTGTAGAAAGTCTTTTACACTGAAAATAACCCACAAGCACTTTTCCGCATCACTGTCTCCCCCACACCTTCATTTTCTCTAAACACCATGGCTGCGTGGTGTCCCAGGGGACGGATGGACACGAGTCGTCCGATGCTGAAGACAGCGGTTTCTGGAGAAAGCGAATTCAAGGAAATGCACTTAAAGCAGAGACTGTGCTTCATGGTCCACAGCACAAATGAGTCAATTAAGATTTTATCTTGCAAATGAAGTGAATGAGAATAACAGTATTATTGGACACATTGTAGATTGCATTACCACCCAATGCCCTAATTCTCTGGATGGAGTAAGGAATGGATCTGGAGTTGAGTAAGAAATGGATCTGAGGTGGATTTATTTGTAGGTGTGTGTGGGACAGGGTGATATTTCTGATAAATCCACGAGATGGCAGGACCCGGCGAGCCTCACGTCGCCTTCGGCTTTCCCATCCCGTTCAGAAGGGAGGTCACGTCCCCCCAGAGCCGGGGCTTCCTCAGCCTCTCCAGGCACGCACTGAGTCTTTCGGTATTCCAACGCTTCTCTTGGGTGGCATCTGAAGTGGGGATTGAATTCTGGGCTTGTTCAAATACATGGTGTCATCTGACCACCATCCCCCGTGTGAGACGTCTTGTAGGCAAGTCCTGGATGACAGAAACACCCTTTGGATTCACAGCATTACCGATGCCATTTCTTTCTCTCATAGGAGGAAGGCACACGGCACATCTATGCTCTGTTAACACCAACTCAGAACCCAGCAAGGGGCTGGGGAGGGACAGGACAGGAAGTGGTCCTGATGGCCTGGGCGTTCCCCACAAGACCCCTACAAGAAAACAGAGAAAAACAGAGGCCTGGCCCATGTGTCTCTAGAAAAGACGCCCTCACGTCAGGAACCCGGGAGCCAGTAAGCACCTCACGGACAGATTGAGACACAAAACACAAACAAAAATGTTCCAGGCCCCAGGCAGCTGTTCCAGTTGGGGGCAAGTTGGCTGAAAGAAACAGGACCCTCTGGAGCCAGCACAGGTCTCTCGAGGGTGCACTGACAGTGAGCTCCAAGGAGGAAACTCCATTGGAGGAAACCCCACAGACACGGATGCGTGGGGGGACTGGCCCCACAAAGTCCACGTCTGCTCTCTCGAGGCCTTTCTGGCCACTTGCTCCACCCCCTGCTCCCTTCCTGCTGCAGCCTGTGTTTCTGCTCACTCTCAGTTTCTCTGCTCCCCCATGATCCACCGTCAATGGGGCTGCGACCCAATTCCGAACTCCCAGCATTCTGCGGAGAGAGAATCTTAGCCCCTTTTTGGATTAGGTGTCTGTTGTAGGCTCAGTGATGGCTCCCCAAAGATGTCCTCGTCCTAATCTCTGGGCCCTGTGACTACGTCACCTTACACAGCAAAAGAGAACTTGCGGACATGACTCATCTCAGGACCTTGTCACGGGGAGATTACGCTAGATCATCTGGGCAGGCCCAATGCAATCACGAGGTCCTTGTAAGAGGGAGGCAAGAAGGTCAACAGAGAAGAAAGCAATGTGAGGACGGAAGCAGAAGTGGGAGTCATGCCATCTGAAGACGCAGTGAAGACGGAGCCTCGAGCCAAGGCGCGCGGGCGGCCTCTGGAAGGTGGAAAAGGCAAGGAAGCGATTCTCCCTGGAGCCTCCGGAAGGAAGCAGCCCTGCTGGCACCTCGCTTTCAGCAGAAGGAAACAGACTTTGGCCTTGTGACCTCCAGAACTGGAAGACAATACATTAGTACTCTTTCAAGCCCCTCAGTTTGCGGCCGTTTGTTACAGCAGCCACAGGAAACTGACACAGTGTCCACATCTGGCCTAACCTGCTGCGGCCTGGGGCGGGGTGGAGGTCGTGGGGTACAAATGGCAGCCTTTTTTGGGATCTGTGGGTAGGGTCTGTAAGAGAGGGGGTGCCTAGAACGAGGATGGGCATATTGACTGCATGCTGTGCCCTGAGTCCATGTTCTCGAGGTCCCTTCTGGTCACTGATTCAGCTCCCAGGGGTTCCCACGCAGGAAGGAGGCTCTCAGAACGAGCAGCCCTGTTGTCCCCCAAGGCTAGTCAGTGACTGGGAACTCTCAGTGATGACCAGCCTCTTTATGGTGCTTGTGTCACAGCCCCAGATGGGATCGACATCAGGAGTCAAGATGGAAAAGGAATTCTTGAGCCACAGAGCTGAGGGTGGACCAGCCACCTCCCCAGGCACCTCTCTGGTTATCTCGAGGCAGCACCTCACACTGGGCTTCTTCACCACATGCTGCTGGGAGATTCATAATCCTAGTCGATTCCAGGAAATGCACCCCATACACTTCGATGGGTGTAACGGAAGTAATCTCCAATGACTTTGATATTACCCAAAGCAAAATATATTTAGGAGCGTACAGCATCTATAAACAGGCGTGTAATGGAAGCCGAAGTCCAACAGAAGCAAGATTTCCATCATCAGCTGTTTTGAGTTGTCGCCAGCTTTGCGGCCGCCGTTGGGTGAATAATGGAGAGTGGCTCCAAACCACGTCTGAATGTGAGAAGGAAGTCAGTGATTCTGTTGCACCTGGAGATCCAACACCTGTGTTTGTTCTAAACAAAACCCGAAACTTGGCAAACAGAACAAAACAAAACTCTGCCGGCTCACCTCATTATACCAGCCGACGATGAGCTCCAAGTTGCCCACAAACTTCCGGAAGGTTTCGTGCTGCGAGAACAGATTCTCGGCGCTGCCTGGGATCTCTTTTTGTTCCTGGAAGTTCAAGTACTTGACTTCTCTCAGAACAGCCACCAACTAAGGCAAATGAAGATGACAAGAAGGTCAGGGGTGACCTCAATGGTACAACACTTGGCAACACAAGTGAGGGTCTGTCCCCAGGACGCTGCTACAGCCTGTCCACAGGGGGACTTCAAAGCTGGGGGGAGGTGTGTCTGGGGAGGGGAGCTGCCGGCAGGATCAGGACCTCTTCGCCCTATTTACTGGTCCCAAGCCAGAAAGTGCTGGCGTCGCCAGCGTGGGTGGACGACACCATCGTAACTTCCCAGCTTGTTGGAGAAAGGCTTCAGGGCTTCACCTGGGTCCTCCGCAGGATCCAGCCTTCCCTCTCCCCCCTCCTCCCACCTAGTTACAGCCAAGAGATGAAAACAGGGCTCCTTCCAACAGAGCTTCTGCCCTGCTGCTCAACCAAGCTGTTCTCCTCCGGGTCCGTGACCTTCATGTGGCTGAATCCACTGGTCACTTCACAGGCCTCATCTCGCGTGACCGCTCAGCTGCTGGTCACTCCTTCTCCTGGGTGCACAGTGTCTGGGGCTCCAGACTCTCTGGTCACCACCATCAGTCTCTCTTGATGCTTTCGAGACTTGCACGTTGGAGAGCCACAGAGCTTTGTCCCTCTCGATCTACTCTCACCTTGGTGACCTCACCCAACTTCATGGCTTTAAGAACTCCCACATTTAGGTCCCCGACCTAGACCTCACTGCTGATCCCCAGACACATATATCCACCTGCCTACTCAATGTCTCCATGTGGATGGCTAACTGGTGTCTCAAATTCAACGAGACACATGTGCTCCGTCGATCTTGCCCTGTAGCCTGCTCCGCTTGCTGTCTCCAGCTGCCATCTCAGCTTCTGGCAATTCCATCCTTCCTTGCCCACCCCCAAACACTGGGGCTGACTCTGCTCTTCCTCAAAGCTGGATTTCCAACCCATCTGGATCAACTGGCTCATCGGCTCTGTGATCAAAGTCCAATCGCTCTTCACACCTTCACTGCTGCCACTCCCGTCCTGGCCACCACCCTTGCATCTCTCATGCTGGGTTCCAGCAAAAGGCTCCCAGCTGGTCTCCCTGCTGCTAGCCTTGCCCTCTCCTCAGTATATTCACCCTACAGCATCTAGAAGGATCCTTGAAAAATGTAAGTCAGACCAAAGCCCTTATCTGCTCGAAAGCCTGCGATGACTGCCGTCTCACCCACAACAAAAACCCAAGTGCCCGACGGCCTGTGAGGCCCCTGTGCTCCGTCCTTGCCCTCGCCCCACCTCCTCTCCACCCACCTCCCCTGTGCTCTGTGCTCCCCCCTCCTCCGCCCTCCCCTCCACTTCCTCTCCCACTACCTTCCCTGAGCTCATTCCACCTGCTCCGCTGGCCTCCCTGCCGCTCCCAGAACACACCAGGCACACTCACACCTCCGGCCTTCGCTGTAGCTGTTTGCTCTCCTGGAAGGCTTTCCCCCAGATCTCTGCTTGGCCAACTGCCTTACTCCTGCAAGTGTGCTCACATCCCAAACTGCAACCTGCCCCATTCCCTCCGCTCTACTGACCCCCTTGACCCGCCCTTCCGCTCCTTTGAGGTACCCATCACCATTTTCTCAGTGTTACAGGCTTCACCTCTCTTGTCGTGCTAATTCGTGATCCCCTCTTCTCCTTGCTCTCTCACACAGCTCTCCCCGTCTCCCTCCACCTCCCCCCAGGGAGGTGAGCCCCAGGAGGACAGGGAGCTTTGTCCGCTGGCTCACTGACTATCCCAGGACACACGGGGGTGCTCAGCAAATACTCGTTGAATGAAAGAAAGAGCGAACTTTAGTGAAAGAGAAGCTTTTGGAGGAAGTCACACCTGGGTGTCCTGCCTTCCTGGTATCAGCCCTGTTCAGAGCGGGGCAAACGCCTCCTTGCTGGGCAAGTGCTTGTGGGCAGAAGGCTGCTCTGCTTTGGTCCTTGGTGCCCATCTAAACTCTCCGGGCCCAGCCCACACTACCAATTCTCTCCAGCTTGCCCGACGTGACCAGGTGTCCTGTTTGTTCAGATGCTGCAAAGACCTTTTTTTTTTCCTTTCTTTTGTAAATTCTCAAATTGATGTTCCCTCTTGGGAGACCAGGAAAGGTGGCCAAGCTTTAAAATCATGTAATTATTGAAGCCATTTCCAAGGTATTTTGTCTCATATCTTAAAAATATCCTGGACATACTTTTCAAAATACTTAAATAATAAAGCTTTAGCTAACCAGGACATAAGCATCGATCCCCCAAGAACACTTGGCAGAAGGGGAGTGGCCTCAGCGGCTTCGGGCTTCTCCCACCCCCACCTGCAGTGGAACCCGGGACCCCGACGCGGCGGCAAGACAGCACCCACCGCTTTGCTGAAGTTGACCTGGATGAGGTTTGTGATGGGGTCCCTCTGTATCAGGGGCTGCCCCAGGTTGAAGTGGCAATCTTTGTCCACTCCTGCCACCCACTGCTGGTAGATCTTCTCTCGGTAGCTTCTCAGCAGCTCCATCATCTCGTCGTATTTCTGGTAGGTCAGCTTGGCCTCCACGCTGGACATGACCCTGCCATCAGAGGCAGATGGGGTGGTGAGGCCCAGGCCCCACGTTCTCGCTTCCTCTGGGGCCTCGTTAGAGTCCCAACTCTGTCTGTCAGACCTGGGGGCGCTGACACAGACAGCTCACTTTCTGTTTCTTCCAGGCCGAGAGCCTGAGTAAACAGACGGACAATGGCCGTCAATCTGCAGCAATCAGTCCAGCAAGTCAAACAATAACCCCGGAGCAATTGGCCCCAGATGGCCAGGACCTGATTAGCAACGGCCAGCTTCCCTCATTTTCGCCCTCCCTTCCAACTTAGGACCAACCAGAGATGGCTAAATACGCCCCCTACGCAACCACATGGGATGCCCCTCTTCTAGTCCCCATGCCAACAGCCTTCGATCCCGCGGGGCACACCCGAAGCTTCCCTCTGTTCCTCCGCAAGCTGTCCCACTCCACTGCCTGCCTTCGAGTCTCGGCCAAACGCAGGTGATGGTGGCCACCTCCCTGCCACGGCAGACTCGGAGTGGACAGCCTGTGCTTGTTCTCATCTGAGTGGCCTTTGTTAAACAATTTCCATCAGGCTGACCATCAGCAGAGGGCAAGCCAGGTTCTTTCTGACCACACTTGCCGAGAAGGCGCCCGCAGGAGGAAAGGGCGCACATGGCTGGGGTGTCCTCTGGGATTGTGCTTTGGGAAGTAAAGGCTTCGCCAATACGAAGCGTCAGATTGCCTCGGGATTGGGATAGATGCCCTCGCCCCCGGCCCCGGCCGTGGAGGGGCGCTGCCCACCCGGTGCCGCCACTCACGGGTGCTCTACATGCTTTAGGTCCTTCATGGGGGTCTCCAGCCTCTCCTGCAGCTCCAGGCTCCATTTGAGCTGCCCGGCCACTGCGGGCATGTTTTTGTGGATTGGGGGTATATTCCCGTTTGCAGAGGCTGCAATCTGGGCATCATACAAGACCTTGGTGTTGTCCAGCTCAGCATCAAACAGCTCCAGCATGACTGAGTACCTGGGTACCACCTCGGCAAGAATCAGAGGCCGCTCCAAGAGGCCCCCACACATGTACAGGAGCTGGAGAGAGACGAGAGATGTGCCTTCAGTAGGCTCCCCACCGCCTGCCCCATGCATCCCGCCCAGCCCCATGGCTGTTGATGCAATGTGTGCAGCCAAGCTTCAGGAGCAAGAAAGCAGGTACCCTGCCAAGATAAAGATCCATTTGGACCTTTCTCTGTGTAACAATTGGTTAAATGAATGCCTCTGTGATCTTCATGTTGACACGTGCTGAGTCCCAAAATACTGGAGGGTGAGGTGGGCCCTTACCAGAACCTGGAGACAGAGGCTGTGTGGGGTGGACATGTGACAGAAGTTCTGGAAGCTCTGCACCCCCTGAAGTCACCCCCACATGCTCCCACAGGGGGAGGAGAAATACCTGAGGCTCCCTCTCCTCCCTCCCTCCCATCTCCTGCCGGGGCTCCCCACTGGCCGAGCCAATGAGCGCGGGGGTGGCGCCCACGGCAGAGGGCTGCTCTAACGATGCTCAGACCAGGCAGCCGCACTTTCTCCGGGATACATGACCGCAGCTCTTGCTGCCTCAAGGGTGGGACCCGAGTCTCAGATTTGCCCCAGTTTTTGGTCTGAAAAATATAACCACTGTCCCTAAAAATGGTGGCTGCAGAGAAAGGAGGAGAGATTTTCAGGTCCCAAAAAGCCAGCTGAAGCAGCCACTGACCCTTGGGAAGAAACTGAAACTCTGAGGTTCTAACCACAGTTCCCCGCAGGGCAGCTACGACATATTAGGTCGCCAGTGTCATTTTTAAAAATGGACACGTGACAGTTGGGAAAATAACGTTTCCCTTCTTGGTTTATGACCCTCCCGACTTCTTCTCCCCTATCCTTTCCTCTTCCCTTCATTTCACGTTTACGTTTTTTTTTTTTTTTTTTGGCTTCTGGCTTCTAGGAAGGAAGCTAATTTTATTTGCTGCCAAGAGAAGGTCATGTGGAAAATTGCTCTAGAACTTTCCTGGCCATGTGTGAATTACTGACAGCGAGAAATAGCATTGAGGCAGCTTGGGAGCATGCAGGGAATGGAGGGGACCGGCGGGAGGGAGGGCGCCCCAGGGTCTGTCCTAATCAGAGCGCAGGGTTGTCAAATGGGGAAGAAAATGTTCTCAGGTACTGAGAGCAAGACGAGCAGATGGAGATGGAAATGGTTCCCAAGAGTTGTTTTCGCCCTTGTTTTTCTTTTAAGCTAGCATAAACTTAAAGTTAAAATTTAGAAAAGGACTTTTCCTTTTAGAGAACAGAAGCTGGATTCAGGCCTAATAGGAGGGACGAGCTACAGGAGAAAGGCCCAGGTGGGTGGGCTTCAATCCTGCGGGCGCCATAGTGCGTGTCCCCCTGAACCGCCTCCCCCCATCCCAGGGGTGACTACGTCCTCATCTCACGAAGGGGATAGGTGCGTCAGCTTAGAGGCATCAACCCTTCCCGTTACTGGAAAACGACACCCAGCCGTATCCTGCGGGTGGGAGGTCTGGGGGTGCCGCCCTCACAGGAGGGGAAGGCTGCTAAGTGCCTGGCATGCCCAGCCGGTCAGCTGCAGCATCGCCTTTTAATTTTGGAGACCCCCTCACAAGGGAGGACCTGCTGTTTCCAAATTAAAGGATCGGCTGGAAACCTCTGCTGGGGACCCTTCTGCAGGTGGGCAGCCCTTGGAGCCTTGTGTTAACATCCTCTGGGTTCTGGGGTTGCACACCCGAGGTCTGCCCCAGAGTGAGGCTGCCTCCCCAAGACTCCCTCAGAGGGAGCCAGCTCCCTCCACAGGGAAAGCTGACAAGCACCTACTATGTGCTGGGCTCCATTTTGCATGAACCCAAACCAAGCGTCCGCCTTCAGGGAGTTTATATTCTAGTTGAGAAGGCAATGAACACATAGAGATCTCTATACAACAGAACAGTGGGAGGCCGAGAGCTAAGAAGGAAACAGAGCAGCTCAGCATCAGCACGGGAGAGGGAGGGAGGGGAGAGGGGAGACGTGGGGGAGGGAAGGAGGGGAGAGAGAAGGATGAGGGGAGGGAAGACTGGGGAGGGGGAAGGAGGGGAGAGGGAAGGAGGGGAGGGGGGAGGCTGCCACTGAGGGAGGAGAGTGGAGGGAAGCCCCTCTTGCAAGGTGGCATGAGGCAGCCACCTGGGGGCAGAGTGTCCCAGAGGAGGGAACAGAGTGAGGCGCTGTATTAATTTGCATTCATTGATATTTTGCCTGGAGCACCAACTCAATCCAAGACTTAAGTGATCCTTACATTTGCAGAGCTTCAAATTCCCTTGTATTTGCATTTTTCAAAAGAACGTCTAAAAGGCAAAGGAACATCCTGGTATTTGCATTAGACAGATCTTTGTGCTCAGGGGTGGGGGGCTTCCTGGGTCCCCAACTCAGCCCCAGGAAGCCCAGCCATGACATCCTCCGGAAAGATGGCCACCACCTGGGCTGCCCAGGCCACTCGACTGCCTCCCGCCACGGGGGCCCGGCTGGCTGAGTGGTTCAGAACAGGGGCCCTGGAAGCGGTCAAGCTCATGGCTGGTTCGGGGTCCTGGTTCCTCTACTTGCTGGCTAACTGTGTGACCTTGGGCAGGTTTCTTGACCTGTGTGAGCTGGTAAAATGGGATGGATACTGTAGGTAATGAGTTTAGCAAACAGCGGGGGTTGTTGTGAGAATTAAAAAAGACAGCACAGTGCTCAGAACTGCGCTTGGGACCTGAGATCCTCTAGGGACCACTGGGCACCTCCTGCGGGCGTGTCACTCCCGCAGCTCCTGGAGGCTCGTGAAGGGAAGGGAAGAGAGAGCCCCGACCTGCAAAGTCCTAGTGGACAAACACACATAAGAGTGGGCAGGGGAATAAGAAGTTCCCCAGCATACACGCACACGTGCTCCTTTCAATACTCAGCGCCCGTTCTCCAGACAGGCTGTAGGTTGCAGCCGCACACACTGCATCCTGCAGACAGCCCCTCTCAGCCGCTTGTGGGGCAAAGCAGGCCACACAAATGCAGCAGAAGGCTGGGCCAGGACAATGAGGAGTGGTGGGCACTGGGGCAAACTGGACCACTCATGTTCTGTCCACAGGGAACAGCAGCTGTTCCTCTCTAGCTGCTTGTTACCATGAAACACTGTGTATCCCGTGTGGCCGGATCTACTTTTACAAGAGAGGGTGAAAATCCGAACTTCTATCTGAGCTTTCTCAATTTGTACACGTTGGCTCCTAGAAACATCCTTAAAGTGCCATGTGAGAACAGAGATCCATATAGACAGAGTAGATTAGTGACTGTCCAAGCCGGGGGAGGTTGGGGGAAATGAGGAATGACTGAGGGGGATGAAGACGTAAAATTGATTGTGGATGGTTGCACGACTCTAAATATACTAAGAGCCATTGTGCACTTTAAGTGGGTGGAGTGTACGGCGTGTGAATTCTATCTCAAAAGTACATGAGCCAGAGTGAGTGGGGGTCTTTGTGCAGCCTGAGTCATCAACGCCACATTATTTTTTGAGACCGGGATGCATGCACAATGCTGGGAAACCCAATCATCATCGTGTCTGTTTAACTTCTGAGCACAGATACATTGATGGGGGGGAGGGATGTAACTTGTCTTTGGGTATTATATTTTTCTGAGTTTATTATTTACAGTGCTGGCTTCCCTTGTGGTAATTTGTTATGGAACCAAAGAGACTGATGCCATAAGACATGACCAGCGCCCAGGCTCCTTCTGTTCTCATTCACGTTTATTTGGCACCTCCTGCCTGCTTGGTGAGGGCCCCAGTGTGCCTGGGACCGAAGGGGTCCCCTGAAATGCTGGACTTTCAGTTTCAAAATCAGAAAGTCCTGGGAAGACGGGGGCAGAGAGACTTCATGCTGTGTCTGAGTGCCCCGGCTGCTCAGCGTATCGTTCTCTCTGCAAGTTAGAGAACCGGCCTGTGGGCCCCAAATGTTGGCCACCATGTGAGCTTGGACCAGAAAGGTTCAGAGGCCCCCCCCACTCCACCCCCCATCGTGCCCATTGGCAAGGGGTCCTCGGGGAGGGGTGCGCCAATCAGCAGTGGGGACCAGAGGGTCTGGCTCCTCACAACGTTAACCAACCTGATTGGTGACAACAGCACCTTGCTGTTTTAAACGCGCTTTCTGATTATCTGTGAGGTCAAACTTCAAACAGACGTGTGGATTGGCCACTTGTGGTTTTCTTTGGAATTGACGTTCTCTGTGGGTTTTAGTGCTTTTCTACAATCCAGCTTTTAAAATGCTTTTTTCATAGCATCATTTCTTTTTTCCATTTGTAAAAGTACCATACACTTAATGAGTGCAACTTTGAATGGTAGAAAAGTCCACAGAAGACAGAGACACATCGGCCACCGCCCACCACTCAGAGATGGCTCCCCACAACACCCCAGGTTTGCTTCCTGAGCCTCAAACGCTGAAGAGCATGTCGATTCAGCTCAGCGAGCAGAACGTGGGTGCATTTTATTTTTATAGCAATTCTGCCTCTCTCTGACTTTTGCTCTTTTATGCAGTGGGGGAATTGAATCGAATAGGAATAAAAGGACACAAGAATCAGTAAAATAACTCACTTCCTGCTCACTTCCTTCTCTTGCTCTAAGAAACGGCAGTGAGACCCAACAGGAGCTGCTCCAGGTGCTCACTGCCGAGCAGCTCCCAGACGGTGAGAAAGGTCCCTGCCCTCGCGAGCCCAGCTCTTTATCTCTAAATGAAGATGATCAGACCCCCCTCTCAGCCGCTCCCAGCATCAGGCACGTGCTCTGTGGTGAGTCCGCCGGCAGCGCAGAGCCCCGACTCACGCGTACCTTTGAGCAGGACTCAATGGAGCCGCAGTCGTCAAACGCTTGGCAAAAGATCGTGGCCAGCCGCCTATCCAGATCTTGAATTTTGGTCTCAAAATCAGCGTAATCGTCATCAAAACTCTAAAAGCGAATTAAAACGTCAACCTCGTAATCAGCGTGCAAAGTAGGAGGAGCTCTCGGTCTAACACCCCCAAGCCCACGGGCAGGACGCGGGCTTGCATCTTAGCTGGCGTGCTCATCGCCTGTGGACTGCTCCAGTGCACAGTGACGTCCTCAAAAAATGTGCTGGGATTGTGTGCCACACACTCCCCCAGCGTGTCCTCCCACTCCTGGGGCATTGGTCAGTGATCCAGCCAAGGCTCCCGACTTACCAAATCGCCAGGGTCCAAGGGGTCATATTTGCAGTCAGCAAAAACCTTCACCAGCTCGAAGACCTCATCGTAGATGTGCGTGACCAGGCTTCCCAGGATGTTCCCCCTCACGCCCCCAAGCTCGATTTTCTCTAGCTTCAGAAACTCAATAGCTGTTTTTATAAAGGTCCTGGTGGAGAAAAATCCAGTGCACTTAGTCAATTCATCTTCGTGACCAAACTCAATGGTTCAGTCACTAATCCCAGATCTGACCCCAGCAGGGAGAAGCCCCGGAGGGCGATGCCCCAGGGCCACATGACAATCTTGGGAGCCCTCTGTTTATTTGTGTTAACGTTCTCTAAAGTCATTTCTGGAACAGAGGGAGAGGGGACGGGAGGAAGAGTTCCGTGAATCATCTCCAAGTCGTGAACACGGAGGAGGAGGAGATGATGGCTCGGTTCCTGTCCCGAACTTATGCTGGCCGAAATGTGTCTCTCAACAAACCACACTTTACTGGGGCCTCCGTTTCCTCAGCTGTGGGAGGAAGCGGTGGGAAAGGCATGCCGTCGTTTCTGATGCTCTTGCTAAGCTTCAAATTCTGTGCTTCCTGGGAGACCATTCCACACTCAGAGCCCGTCCCTGACGGTGGTCTGAGAGGATGCCCCCTACCGTACAGGATGCCTGACGGATGTGCGCGTGTGTGTTCTGCTTCCTCTGAGCTGTGGCTCTCGTCTGGCCTTCTCCTGGAGGCTTTCCTGACTACTGCAGCCCACAGTGGTGCCTACCTTTCCAGAATCCCCATTTGCTATCTGCATTCTTTGTTTTGGCATTTAATCCCATTCGGTCCCATCACGTTATCTAACACTTCTGTGTGCAGCTCTTATTTCCCACTTGAGATCCCAAAGTCTCCTTGAGGACCACAAGCAGGGTCTGACACAGCACCCAACACCATTTGGACTGAAGATGTGCATATGGCGCTCATTTCACTCCCCTAAGCTGGTGCTGAGGTTGGCGCCATTTTCCCAAAGAGTCCAAGACACGTCGAGCCGTAACCAAAGCAAACCCACGAAAAGCAACGGCATGGGCGTTCCCTGAGCTCCCAGGCTTCCCACCCAAGGACAAGGACAAGGCTGGCATGGCTGATGTGGTCCATGTGGCAGGGGGTGGACAGGAAGGCCATTTCCCCCACCCTCAAAAGCCCCTCTTTCCCAGAAACTTCATCCTGACTCAGAATCTGTAATGTAGGAACTAACGGCTACTTGGCCAGAAACTTGGCTGGGACCCTCAGTTCTCAGGCTGGGAGCCTTTCGGGAATGAAGAAGCAAGCACCCCATGATGGAAATTCCGGAATCCTATGTGGGCCTCCCTTCTGCCTCCCAGAGGGCGTGGATGCAACCCAGACAGGGCTTTCTAAAGCCTCTGCTAAAGGCGCCACCATCAAATCAAAGCCCAATGGTTCCAGGATGGTTTTTGCCCCTTTTCAAAGGTGTGAATACTATGTGCAGAAAGTTAAAAAAAAAAAAAAAACCTGCAGAAGGTTAGAAAACAAAAAGCAAAGCTTTCTTGCCCTCCCACATCCTCAACCCTCTCCTCTTCGCCCAGAGGAGACCGTCTGGAACCGTTTGTAAATCTGCGTCTGCTATGTGTCGCCCCCTGCACCCACAGTGCTTCTGCAGGGCCCGTCTTACGTCTTAATTTGTACGTATCCCACTACCTCCCTCCCTTTGGCCTCCAGGCTTCCTGACCATGGTCACTTGATTTGTCGTCAGCCTGCTCAAAGACAAAGGGCAGGAGATAAGGGGAGGGGCAACCAGAATGGGTCACTGTTGCTCTTGGCTAACAGCTCCGGGCTAGGAGGAGGCTGGCCCAACGGCTCGGTTTCCCGATGACATGGATGTTTGGGTGTGACTTTCGTTTTCTCTCCCGAGAGACTATCTGAAAGCGGGGTGAGGATGGGAGATGCAGCTATCCTGAGGTAGGGCAGCCTGCGCAGAGTCGGCGAAGGTGAACCAAATTCCACCTTTACCTCAATGGTCTGGAGGCGATGGAAGAAGGAATTCATCCTGGAAAATGCAAGGGAAGAAGGGAATTCCCAAGGCACCGGCTCCTTGTTTTTCTAGGAGAGAGCGCCAGAGAAAAGGTCACGTTGGCCCCAGCCGCTCCGTCGGACTCCGCGCAGGGCTAACACCCACTCAACCTCGGGGGGCTGGACGGCCGCTCTGCAGCTCACGGCGCACCTTAAAGAAGAGCTTCATGTTGGCGCAGCAGAAGTCATAGATGCGGTAGAGCTCCTTGAGAACATTCACAGCCAGGGAGATGCCGCTCAGAACCTCCTCGATTTCCCCTTGCAGGCCTTTCAGCACCTCGTCTGGGCTCAGGAAAGTTCGTGTCTGGGGCAGAAGAGAAGACACCCCGAAGTTCTGACGAGTCATGTGGGGGCTGTCCAGGCACCCTGTGTCTGAAGGCTGCTCTGGCGCTTAGAGATGACCCACCACCGGGCCCCACCATCTGCTTCTTACGACACATCAGCTGTCCCTCAGGTTCACGTCCCAACCCGCCTGCCAACCACTGGGCGGTTTCCGGCAGACCAAGCTGCTTCTCTCCCCTGCCCCTTCATCCCGAGCTAAGCCTGCAGCAAAAACCGATTTTGGTCACAGATGACTAGGGGTCCAGAAATCCAGTCCTGCTACGGGCTGCAGGATCCCGGGCTCCAGTGCCCTTCCGTCCTGCAGGGGGGGCCAGTAAATGCGTGCTCGTGAGAAGGAAGGAGAGGGAATCTGTGTTGAGAGAGACAAGAGGCGGCTCGGCAGAGGACCAGATAAAGCCCACAAAGCCCCTGTCCGAGTCTTGGGGTGCTGGGATGTGAGGGGTAGCCCCCTTCCCTTCTGCCTCCCTCCCAACATGGGGCAGGTTGGGCTGCCACTGCCCAGGTCTTGGGAGAACTCTGGGTGGCCACCAAGAGGGCCCAAGCTTAGTCCAGGCCTGAAAATCCCTGTGCCAATATCTCTGCCTGCTTTTAAATGGCCGGGGTGTGTGAGCAGGGGGACAACCGGGTGGAAGGGGAGAGAGGATCCGATGGTAACGATGGGGCGGCCACGGGCTGGGGGAGGGTACCATCTCGATGATCTGGTTGCAGAACTCCTGAAGGATGACGATGATCCTGGAGGGTGTGTTATAGTGCTCGGAGGTGGCCCAGATAAAGCAGATGGTGTACAGCACCTTGGCAATGAAGGTCGGGAGCTGGGGAGAGACAGGCCCCGCGTGCGCTTTGTGGCGCCACCTCAGCTCTCCCCTCCCCACAGCTCCAGGAGGGGACCCCCAAGTGGGAGGAGGAGGCACTCCCTGGGACCACCCCCCTGATCACAGCAAAGAGGCCCGCAGCCCCCGCTCCCCAAGACACGAGAGCAGCCCCTGCAAAGTGACCTTCCTCCTGACAACATACCACCGTGAAGTCGGCCTGCTCCATCTCCTCCAACAAGATCCGCAGCGGCTTCAGATACAGAACAATATCGTTGGCTTCCTTCAGCCCTGCGCAGAACAAGAATAAGTGCCTGTGCTCGCGAGAGAGAAAATCGACCCCACCTGCGGTGGTCAGAAATGACGACGGTGCAGCTGTGTGTGTGTATCGAGACTTGCTCCTAAGAAACAGGGCCTTCCTCAAAAGGAGGGCCCAGGGAAGCTGCTTATGGGGGAGGCGTATGCCCCCCGGGGTTGGTGCCAGGCCTCCCCCAGCCCCTCCCAGAAGGCATCCCCAGCTTCTCACGGCTCTTGGGCGGGTCACCAGCTCACCTTCAGTGATGTTCATATACACGTTCTGCAGGGCTGGCCAGTAGCAGCTTTTGGCTTTTTCCAGGATCTCAACTATTTTGTTCACTTTGGGCCTATTTAGCTGAGAAGGAGAGAAGAAGAATATCAACCCTTCAGTAGAAACTGGCAGACCCCAGACGAGGGCCACCTGACCCTGCAGCCGGCTGGAGCTGAGGAGTGACGCAGGTTATCTGGGTCCCCTCGGGGCTCCTGGGGATCAGCACAGAGAGGGTGGGTGCTCATGAATTCGCCTGGCTGAGCAGCTGAGCGCCCGGTCACCGCGGCGACAAAGAGGCGTCACCTGCTCATGGATGCACTGCAGGTTCATGAGCCGGGCGTCCCAGAACTCGAACTCCACTCGGGGCAGGGGGTGCAGCCCGTCCAGCAGGGCCTGGGCTGAGTCCTTGCTCAGCACGTCTCTGATCTGGTGGGACCAGTCGATGATGATGGTTTCGATGGCGTGCAGCAGCGAGCTGTCCAGGGAAGCGGGAATCCTGCAGAGCAGAAGGTCGAGAAGATGCTGTCACGGCCCCGGGTACAGCCCTGGCCCTTCTGGGCGGGAATCCTCCCTCATTCAGCCAACAGGCCCCAAAGAACCAGCAGAGGCACCGGTCCTGCCTCATGTCCCGGGGCTTCTCACAGTCACCTGCGGGAGGCCGGAGGATTCCCCAAACCTCCCTGCTGTGACAGACCCTGAGCAAATGCTGGGTGTTGTCAGAGATGCCAGCACCCCGAAGAAAGGGGCAGAGGAGGACCAACTCTGGAATAAATTCTGTGCTCAAGGCGGCTCCTCCCGGCAGTTCTCATGGGGGTCACCACAGGGCATGTGTTCGGGGTTGGTGGACAACCCAGGGAGGACCTGCCCGTAGGATGAGCCCCCCAGGAGAGGTCGCCCTCTGATGCGAGCAAATGCAACAAGCTATCACACTGTAACGGCTTCAAGGGCATCACTCAGACACCAGGCAGTTGTAAATGGTGGTCAGGCAGGTGCGAGGGGACAGCTTGGGGTTCACGTGCTTCCTGGGGTCCCTGGGACGCTACACCCCCTTGACTTGCAGCCTCCACCTGCTGAAAATCCCTTCCATGCCCCTCACTGCCCCTCAGTCCCCACATCCAAAAGCTGGGTATCCTTTTCCTGGCTGTGTGACATGTATGACAATGTGACATCCTTTGCATGTCATGTGATGCCGGGACGGGTGCACATGTGTGATGGAGGTGGGGCTAGAGCACAGGTGTCCAGCGGTTGCCAGAGCTGGAATTGAGGGTGCTCCAGCGCCTCATCCTGTCCTGTCCTTGTGCCTTTGACCTTGGACTCCAGCACCATCTTGCCCTCGTATGTTTCGTTTGCAGTGGGACAGACTGTCCTCGGTGGTCTGGTGTGAGATGCTTCTCCGCCCAGCGCGTTCCCCGGGCCAGGCCTGCCTACCTCTCCATGGACTCCCGCGTGCCGTGCAGGCTCCGCAGGTGCTCTGGAACGGGGAGCAGGGTCTTCCCTCGGATCTTGCCCCCCATCACGAACATTTCGTTCTTCAGCTTGTGGACTTGCTTCACAATGTCTTCGGAGACCACCCGGGGCCATCCGCTCATGTTTTCACTTTGGTTCAACAGAGAGTAGAGGACCTGAAAGAAAATGGGTCTCTAGTTCTGCCCGCGCCATCTCCAGCTCAGTGACCCCCAGGAGGAGTGGGGAGCCCTCCGTGCGTGTTCACAGATGAGCACAGCAACGCCCAGAGGACTGGGTCACTTGCATTCTGCCCGGTCTGACTGCCAGAGCGTGCCAGCGTGCCGCAGCTGCCGTACCTGCCAAGAGTGTCACCCAGAGGAGGCAGGACAGCAGAGAGAGGCAGAACTAGCAGCCCATTTTCTCCCTTCCTCACTCAAAGTCTTAGAGCTGAGGAGGCCTGTCGACTGTCCGAATGGCCCACACCCTCCACAGCTGCCGGCAGGGACGAGGTTCTCATGAGATCCAGAGAGACCAAGGCGATGGCCTGGAGGCCCGGTCAGACGGCAGGCCTGTCCCAGCTGTCAGGGCAGCGGGCCTGGGCTTCTGCATTTACAACCAGCTCCCAGGCCGTGCTGATGCTGCCGGGCTGCGGACCACCCTCTGACTAGCCGGCTTCTAGCCCACTCCCCGAAAGTATGAGAAACAGAGGTTGTTCCTCCTGAGCCCCCCGTCCCTGGCCCAGGGTGGGCCGCCTGGGTGCACCCACCTCCTCCACGATCGCAATCAGCTGGTCCACAGGTGCCGGGCTTATGTCCCCGTAGATGAAACGGTCCTTGTAGTCGCTCTTGCTGATGTTTTCAGGTTTCTTCTTGATGAAGTAAACTCCTTTGGACTTGAGCGACGCTGGGAAGCCCAGGCAGGGAAGGATCATGCCCGAGGGATGGAGCGTCATCACCAGGACCGAGACTTCCGGCTTCTCGAAGAACTCGGTGAACAAGGCCACGTTCTCTTCCATTCCAATCATCCTGCTCCACTTGTCCGGCTTGAACTTCAGGATGAGAGAAGCTATTCCCTCCAAATACTCTAGTCTGACATCTGGTGTAATCGTCATCTTGACGTTTCCTTACACCACCCGCGGTCACCTGTTAAATGAGCAGAGACACGGATGCGACACAACTTCTGGGGATCTCGCTTTCCCATCCGTCACCAGAACCATTGGACATCCCTGTTCTAACCAAGCAGGAAAAAAGGGTCCTCGTGAGTGTGTTGCTTTCAGCTGTGGATGGGCTGAGGGAGGCACAAGGAGGTCACGTCCGTCTGCCCTGGCTGGACAGCCGGCCCTGCCTCGCTGTGGGTGGCACCGTGGAGCAGGGCCACACAACAGTGGTGTGTGCTTGTGTGAGTTGTGACCATGAAGTAACAGGCTGGGAAAGGTGGACATGGATGCTGGGGAAAAGGAAATGATGGCGGCGAGATAGTCTGAAGGCTTGAGGGGTGGGGGAAGGCCCAACGAGAAGATGGCATCGTCAGGTTGAAGGGTCCCAAAAGGAGATGATGGAAGGACATGGCACCCCTAGGACACGGGCAAAACCCGGAAAGAGGAGGGCTGGCCCTGACCTTCAGTGTGTGAAGCCCATCATGCTCTCCCTGTCCTAACCCCAGCCAGAGTGTACCCCAACTTTTGCCCTGCTCGTCAGCCTCTCCCCTCCCCCCTGCACTCTCCACCACGTGCCCATAAAGGGATCCAACTGCTGACTCCTCACAGACCCCCCAGAAGCTGCTCACATTGCCCCTGGGAGAAGCTCAGAGACAGCTTCTCCGGGAGGTGGACCTACGCTGGCCCTCAGGACTTGACAGGAAGAAGCCAGGGTGGGGGGCTTCCAGGAGAAGACTGTGGGCTCACGCAGGGCGGAGAATAGTCTGGAGCGGCTGCAGTGAGGACACCGGGGAGACAGCCGTCCAGGAAGGGGCCGGGTGGGCGATGGGTCTCCCGTCCGCCAGGGCCTGGGTCCTCTGTCCTCTGAAGCCCCCAGCGTTGCCTCCGAGCACCCACCTGACGGCAAACGGCTGCTCCAGTCTCAAGCAGGACAAACTGATGGGCAGCTCTTTCCCAGACCAGTAAAGCAAACGGCTCCCTTCCCTGAGGGGCTCCAACTGCCATGGAACTTCTGGAACCTTCTCAAGTGACCAGTGGCAGCGCAGCAAATGAGCAACCCTCCATCACGCCCCACAGTGGACAGGCTCTCAGGCTGTAATATTTTAAAACTCCATCCAACAATCTTTGCCTTTGAACTAGAGCATTTAGCCCATTTCATGTCCCGTAATTACTAATATATTGGCATTTAAATTATCATCTTCTTAAACCCTTTCTATCTGCCTGGCCTCTTCTAGGTTCCCTTTCTTTTCCTCTCTTGGCTTCTTCTGGATTAAATAATTTTTATTATTTCATTCCTCCTATTAGCTCAGTTATTATACATCTTCTGTCTTTCTTTCGGGGCACGTGGACATTATCACACACCTCCTGACCTGTCACAGTGTAACAGTCCTTGCTTCTGCCCTCTTCCTGGATGAGGCATTCTCTCCCAACTTATACGTCATTGTTGTGAATTTTAGTTCTAAAACCCTTATTATATTAAAAAATGTAATTAAGTAGTTGGTAGTTTAAATAAAATATATATTCATTAGATTTCCCCCCATGATCACTTTGTTTTCCCCTGTGAGCTTCCACCTGGGATCAATCGCTTTCTGCCTCTGTCAGCATTTTCCCTTTATCTTCTGGAAAAGCCAGCTTTGGTGGCCGGGCGGAGGGAGCGGAAGACGCACTTTATTTCCTGGAGCTCATCCCAACAGTGAGCGAAGGTCGGGAGCACGACGATGGCGTCCACTCTCACCATTGTTCCTCATCACCATGCTGGGGGTTCCAGCCGGGGGGCCTTGGCAAGAAAGGAAAAAAGAGGCTTTCAGACGGAAAAAAAGAGGTGAAACTCTCTCTGTTCACAGATGCCATGATCCTGTACGTAGAAAATCCTAATAAATCTATAAAACAACTATTAGCAAGGCTGCAGGATACGAGATTGACATACAAAAATCCTAGGTGTTTCTGTAGACCAGCAATGAACAACCCGGTAATGAATCGCAGAAAGCAATCCTCATTTTACAATATTATCGAAACAACTCCATTTACAATAGCACCAAAAGAATAAAATAGTCACGAATAATTTTTTTAAAAACAAGGCCAAGACCTACACACGGAAAACTACAAGACGTCACCGGAAGGCGTTCAAGAAGCTTTGAATGAACGGAATGCCATCCCCACTCACGGACCGGAAGGCGCAACACTGTTGAGATGATAGTTCTTCTCAAACTTATCTACAGATTCAACACAGGCCCTCTCAAAATCCCAGCTGGCTTTTTTGCAGAAATGGAAGAGCCCAGCCTAAAATCCATATGGAAATGGAAGGGACCAAGAACAGCCAAAACCATCTTGAAAAAGAGCAAGGTTGCAGGACTCACGCTTTCTGATGTCGAAACTCAGCACAGCCAAGACTGAGTGCTGCTGGCGCGAAGATGGACTCACAGGTCAGTGGACTGGAACTGAGAGTCCAGAAACCAACTCACCTTTGTGGACAGTTGATTTCAGACAAGAGTGCCACAATTCAGTGGGAAAGAACAGTCTTTCGACTAATGGTATTGGAACAACTGAATATCCACATGCAAAGGAGGAAAGTTGCCTCAGGCTAGCTACAAAAATTAACTACAAATGGATCAAAGGCCTAACTGTAGGAGCTAAGTTATAAAACTCTTAGACTAGAGCACAGGAGTAGATCTTTGTGACCAGGGAGGAGGCAGCGGTTTCGCACATGGGACGCCAAAAGCATAAGAGACCAACGAAAAAACAGATAAATTGGGCATCATCAAAACGGAAAAACTTCTGGGCTTCAAAGGACACTGCAAAGAAAGTGAGAAGACAACCCACAAAGTGAGAGAAAACATTTGCAAATCATGTATCTGATAAGGGACTTGTATTCAGAATATACATAGAACTCATAACAATAATAAAAACACAAACGACATAATTAAAAATGGGTAAAGGATATAGAGAGACGTTTCTCCAAGAAAGAGATACAAATGAATAAGTACATGAAAAGACACTCAACTTCATTAGTCATCAGGGAAATGAACTCACAGGAGGCTCCTAGGAGAGTAAAATTTGCAGACACAGAAAGGGGAAGGGAGGTCAGCGGGGGATGGGAGATGGAGGGATGGGAGTTACCGTGTCCTGGAGACAGAGTTTCAGTTGGGGAGGGTGAAAAATTCCTGGAGATGGATGGTGGCGATGGTTGCACAACAATGTGAGTGTGCCTGATGTCACTGAGCTGTGCACTCAGCCATGGTTAGAATGGTGAATTTTACGTTCTATTTTACCACGCACACAGAAACCCCACTTCACCTTGAGAGCCAGGCTGTCCCGCCACTTTCGTGCCTTCCCCTTCACACCCCCGCCATCCTGCCATCCTGCCATCCTGCACTCCCTCGGGACTCTGGGTTCTAGATCACTGTCAGATTTCACTCCTCTGCATCACCCCAGGGGACGTCAGTGTCCACACAGATGACCTCATCAGTGCCCTGGCCTCCTGGGCCACTGAGCAGTGCTGGGGACAGGCACACACCTGTGCACCCGCCGAGGCCCACATACTGCTTGCTATTTCTGCTGGGTCGGTTTTTTTTCAATTAAAAATTTTCTTTTTGTCAACTCGCCGTGCTGTTGACACTTCTGAACCTGCATTTTTCGACTGACCTTTCTCTTCCCCTCAGCAGATGACTCGGCCATTAACTCGGGTGGAAAACAGAAGCCCCCAGAGCAGCTTTCTGAATCGTCACAACAGACCTGACCTAACAGAGGTGGCAGCCCTCCCTCCTGTGGGTCAACCCTCCCTGAGCTCCGGGTCCAACCTCCACACAAATTGTACTCCCCAGGGTGTATGTGTCGCCTAGACACAAAGGATCGAATGTCTGGTGGTGGAATCATGGACACGGCAGGGAGTCAGGGAGACACCGCTTTGGCCCTCAAACCACAGCTCTGGGCCCCTGGGGTCTGTGCTCTGCCTGGCGTGAAGGAGAGACTCACAAGTGACGTGGAGAAAGGTCACACCTGTGGTCCCACCTGATCAAAGAAGATAGAGAAGGACTCACGTTTTCTAGATGACACAAGGAACCTTCGATACGGACACACTGTCCACGCTGCAGCAGAAACAGCGGGCCCTTCGGAAACGGCCAGGGCAGTGTGCACGTGAAGCATCTTGATGTCTGCGTCTGGGGCAGAGCACTGGGTGGCCAGCTGCGGCCCACCATCCCCTCATTTCCTCTGCTCTGACGGTCACAGCCCGCGTGGGGGACGAGCCGAGAGGCTCATCGGCTGCTCCAGTCCCCTGGGAGCACTTCCTCCCTGCTGAATTAACTGGGAAGACAAGTTCACGACAGACGTGACCCACCATTAAATGCAATTGCAGGACAATCTTCCCCTGCTGGGGATGCTTGCAGACAGCGGGGGCCGGGCCATCTGGGTCTCATCACTCCCCCCACCACACACATCCTCTCGCTGTCTACTTTGGCCACATGTCCTCATGCTGAGTTCCCAGCAGAGGGGACAGGAGGAAGGGCCGCCTTGGATGTCCGCGCCCCCGGGTTGGGTGGAAAGGGAGGGCTGAACCCGCCTGGCCCAGCAGGGGACTCTTCCTTCACAAACATGGCAGTGTGGCCAGACAGATGTCTCCCCCTGCTAGGTTTTCAAGGGTCACCGCAAGGCCAGGCACCTTGGAGGCCGGGGGACCTTTTCTCCTTTGGGGTCTCTGCATAGCAAGCCCTGGAGTAAGGCCCCCCACAAGGCACAGAAATGTATGGATGCCAAGTGATCCAGGCTGGGAAACAGGGCAGGTCAGTGAGAGGATTTCACAGCAAAATCTGGCTTTGTCTATACAGGGGGAGCGGGCAGTGTTGCCTGTGGAGGCAGGGGCTTGACAGACACGCCTGTGTGGGCTGGTCCCGCAGGATATGAGCTGGACATCAGCTAGAGGCGATATAGACAGAGCTTATTCGGCACTATTGCGAGAGAGCAAAAGAGCTGCTCTCGACTCCAAAGACAGCTGGGGATTTACAGCCAGTGAGCGGCGCGGGGGAAGGTGAATGGAAGATCACTAACCGCAGACACCAAGGGAGGGGGATTCTTGCGAAAGGAACCTAACAGGATTCTCACTAAAGGCAGCTGAGGACGCAGACATCAAATGCCAGGATGAGGAACCTGATCCGATGTCGATGTCGGGGGTGGGGGTAACATAGCAGGGCTTTTCGCTAAGATGGCTTAGGCAGGCCCAGGGCAGGCCCAGGAACAAGGCCTGTTGAAGAGAGGGCTCAGAGCAACCTGTTCCAAGTTTGGTCAAGGAGGGGGTCTTTGTCAGGCTTCAACCTAATAAGGGGTTCTGTGTTTTGGGGAGCAGGAGGTTGACAGACCTCAGGGCTTCTCTCCCCTGTGGGCTGGTCTGGCCACAGGGGTCTGGCCCCTGTGTTCTCTGCAGTCATGGGGGGCCCTTCTGTTGTTTGGGGCCCATTCTAGATAGTGATGACCTGAGGCTCTCGCCCGAGCCCATGTTACTGGTAGAAGACCCACGGACACTCCCCGAATAACTGGGGCTGACGTCATGGCTGGACCAGCCCTGTGCTTCTTGTTGTGATCCCAGGATGGACGCACTTCAGCAAAAACCATCAGGGAGAAGTGAGGACCAAGATTTACCTATCACACAGGCCCTGGAGGGCACCCGGCTCGACCGAGGGCCACACAGAGAGGTCGTGGGGACTCAGAGAGAGGGAGAGCACGCCTTGACCTCAGGCTCTGCAATTGTTAGGGTCTAAGAGTGGGGTGTCTGGGGTTTCGAGGGGGTCACTCATTATTGGCTAACTGGATGCATGAGAGTGGGAATTAGAGCGTGGGAGACTGAGGCAGGGTCACTCAAGTGGTGCCCCAGGCTTATCCGTTCCCACCACGTTTTCTGAAAGGGGACCTTCATGGGTATGGGGTCCGGCTCCCTATCTGGTTGTTTTGCTAGTGGCTGTGTCATACAGCTGGCAATCTGTTCATTCAAAATGGATGTCTTTTGAAATGGATGCCTTGGCATCAAAACCTTCATGTCAGGCAGGCACGCTATACCTTCCGCTTCTGGGACCCATGCCCTGTCTCTGCCAGTGTCCTGAGTCCATCAGAACCTGCTGTGGACGAGGCCACCCATCCCTGATACACAGGGGCCCTGCTCTCTGCCCAGCTGAGGCCCAGGGGGGCCGCACGGGCTGCCCCTCCGCTTCTTTCTGCCCCCTGCCCTTCCGCTCACCTGATTGCACACACGCTGCCCAATTCATTCTTGTTCTAAGAACTTATGGCGCCTGAAGTCAAAATTTCTATTAAATGTAAGATAAAAGA